TAAATAATAGAATTGAAGCAATGGAGGTGAAAATAGCAGCCCTCGAGACTCAATATACAGAAAATGAGCATCTACGCATCGTTAACCAGACGGTAGCTACAAATTCATCATTATTATTCCAAACTGAGGAGGCCATTTCTGAATGGGATGAACGTAAGAAGCGTAGCAAAAATATTATAATAACAAATATAAGTGAGTCTACAAAAACCAATAAGACACAGAGGATCCTAGATGAAACCGATAAAGTACAACGTCTACTCTCAGATATTCAACTACTTGATCGTAATGTGAAGGTATTTAGACTGGGAAAATTTGATACAAATAAAACTAGACTAGTAAAAGTGATATTTAGTACAGAAAATGATGCTAGGCAAGTCTTTTTCAATAAGACAAAATTACCTGGTAGTATTAGGGTGTTTTTTGATCAAACAATGATGCAAAGGGAATAATTACAAGCAGGTTAAAAATAAACTCAAAGAAATGGTCGAAAAGGGTGATACTTCTAAAACTATCAAATATGTGAACTCTGTCCCTAAAATTGTTAATTCAAAAAACATGTAGAGCCTAATATTCAAAGTTGCTGTGTCGGTTCTCTAAATTTTGAGCAACATATTATATATTCAAACGTTAGTAGTTTTTTAGCTCACAAGGCTGATATTCTCTTGAACATTATTTGTTATAAGCCATATATAGTTGTCCTTAGCGAAACATGTATCACTGATGATATAGACGATGCTGAACTTCATATTGAAAGATACCAGATGTTTAGATGTAATAGTTCAAGTCGTTATACCGGTGGAGTAGTAATTTTCGTAAGGAAAGATGTTGAGGTGAAGTCTAGTGAAACTAATATAATTGACATGGTGTGCTGGTGTTTGTTCATAAAAATCAAAATAGGTAACAATATATGGAACATTGGGGGACTTTATAGGTCTCCAAGTTCCAGTAAGCCTGTTTTTATTGATGCTCTGGAGGAAGTAATAGAAAAAAAATTTGCTGATGGTAAAAGAAGTTTACTGATTGGTGATTTCAATTTCAATTTTTTTAGTACCGAACATTATGAGCAGAAAATAAAAACACTATTTAATACGTATGGGTTGGATCAAGTTGTTCAGGATTATACAAGATGTTGTAGTAATTCAAAAACTTTGATTGATTATGTTGTTACTGATTATGATAATGTTAGAGCAGTTGTGAATGAACCTAACATTTCTGAGCATGGCATTATATCCATTAATTTATCTGCAGACTATTCACAATTGCCTGAAAAATCAATTACTTTCAGAAAATTTACAGATCAAGCGTATCATAATATTAATATGCAATTAATATCCTGTAATTGGAACAATAATTCAGTTAATGTTGATGACATTTTACATGAATTAATCGATAATGTGTCAAAAATTGTTGATGAAAATGTACCTGAAACAACAATATATATTAAAAGTAATTATGTACCCTACTTTGATGATGAACTTAAAGAAAAAAGACGTGAGCGTAATAATGCATACTACAATTTTAGGCATTGTGAGGGTAGTCTAAAGGAGGAACGTTGGAATGCCTATAAGATCATGAGAAATCAATATTGTGTTTTACTAAGGAAGAAAGAGAGATTATATTATGAGCAAACTATTGATAACAATAAAAGTAATAGTAAGGAAATGTGGAAGTGTCCGTCATTGTTAAGCCAAAACATGATGTTGGTAGCTGTATACAGTTTGAGATTAATCACCAAAATGTAATTTTAAATAAGGAAATAGACATTGCTAATAATTTCAATTCATATTTTATAGAGAGTGTTAATGAAATAACATCAGTTTTTCAAAATGTACAACAGTGGACACATGACTACCCTGTTATATCAACTAATTTCACTGAATTCATGCCTTTAACAATCAATGACCTAAGAATCATTATATTCTCTCTGGACAAAACTAACAAAGCAGAAATTTTAAATAATAATTTCCTAAAAAATAGTTTTGATGTAGCTGGTTATGCAATATTAAATGTAATTAATACATCACTTAGAACCGGCGTGTTTCCTGATCAATTTAAGGTCTCTACTGTTGTTCCTGTACCGAAAATTAATTCAATCAATGCTGAAAATTTTAGGCCATTAAATATATTACCTACCCTGGAAAAAGTTTTTGAACTATCTGTATATAACCAATTAATTCAGTATTTTAATACCAATGAATTGCTTCTAGGCAAACCAATCAGGGTTTAGAGCTAGACACTCATGTGAAACGTCTCTACAATTTATAGTAAGTGAATGGAAAGATATAATTGATAGAAATCAGTACATTGTTGCAACGTTTCTCGACCTCAAAAGGGCATTTGAAACAATTGACAGAGCTATTCTAATTGAAAAATTGAAGTATTATGGGATATCGGGGACTGTATTGGATTGGATTCAAAGTTACTTATTCAACAGAAGACAAAAAACTAAATTTGGTAAAGAATTGTCAGATGAACTTATAATAGGGAGTGGCATACCACAGGGTAGTGTGTTAGGTCCATTGCTATTTATTATTTATCTGAACGATATTAACCACATTCCTGGATCACACTGTATAAATCTTTTTGCTGATGATACATTGGTTTATTGTGTACATGAAAACTTGGATCAGGCAATTGTTGAGATGAATAGGTCATTAAAAAGCATTGATACATATTTATTTAATAATAAACTCAAACTTAATACCAGTAAAACAAAAAGTATGATTTTGACATCATCTTATAAATATGTTCAAATTGTCTGGGCAAATGCTGCCATAAAAATTAATAACATTGTCATTGAAAATGTCACTGAAATGAAGTATTTGGGTCTTATAATTGACAAAAACTTAAAACTAAATAGTCATGCTGATTATATTTGTAAAAAAATATCTAAAAAACTCTTCTTTTTCTCTCGTATATGTAAGAAAGTGTCTATGTATGCTAGGTTGACTCTCTTTAAAAGTTTAATTCAACCTCATTTTGATTATTGTGCAACATTACTTTTTCTACTGGGCAAAAATAAAATAGCACAATTGCAAAAGCTTCAAAATCGGGGTATGAGGTTAATATTGGGATGTAGCCGTTACACAGCAATTAAATTGATGCTAGAGTGTCTAAACTGGTTCTCAGTTGAAGAACGTATAATATTTATGACTATGATCTTTATATTTAAGCTGCAAAAAGGATTGCTACCCTGTTACATTCATAAGTTCTTAGTAAGGAATAATGAAGTTCATGATTACAATACGAGAAGTAATAACAATTTTTACATTAAAAAAACTAACACTAAATTTGGGATGAATAGCATGTTTCATAAAGGCTTAAACAAATTCAATAAATTACCTCAATTTGTAAAAGAATCAAATTCAGTTAGACAATTCAAGTCATCATTAAAGAAGTTCATCAGTGACAGCTCCTTGTGATACTTATTTGTATTCCTTCTTTCCTTCTTTCTTCCTTTGGATTAATTGATATGATCCAATCTATCAATCTATTGATATGTATACTTTCATTTTCTTCAAATGTACTCCCATATGTTGCTCATATTTATATTTACGTAACTTAACAAGGTTGTAAGATATCCATAGATTTGTAATTCATATATATATATTTTGTATATTAGGCTTGCCTACTTAAATAAATAAATAAAAAATAAATAATTGTTATCGCTACCCATAATGTTTCATGTTTCAATACATATTGCTATCTTTGAATATAGTCTCGTACTTTCAGTTACCCCTAAACTATTAGTGCCTATTTGAATATTACCTCTAATGTCCTTTTTTTTTTTGTACATTTGTCATACTTATGATAGCCACATAAAATGATGTATGTATTGTTAATCGAAGCCATGGGTAGAAGGACCTCGGTCAATAACCCTTTGGATCATGTTTGGTTCAATAAAGTACTATTATTATTATTATTATTATTACCTCTCGCAAAATATTAAGCCAAGCATTACCCCTTATAAATCGATATGGAGGGACTAACCACCTATTATATTGTGACATGGTGGAAGCACAACTATTATGTTGTCAATTTTATTATATTGAACTAGGTAACTACTTGAATTTATGGAAACAACTTTTTTGTTGTGACAAGTGGAAACACAACCAATTTTTTGTGACATGGTGGAGGCGCCAATGGCTCATTCCTGAGGTTGGTTCTTCCTAACCAACCTCACATTTCGAAAATTCATGTTCTTTTGTTTTTTCAATTAGATAATTTTTATTTCATTGAAGTCAAACAAATATTTTAGTTAGACAGTTTTCATTATTTTAAGTATTGAATATAAAAAAAAAGGCACAACTCTTTTGTTGTGACAATATGAGCTGTGCATTTTTGTCCATCAGAACAGAGAGTAGTTTTCTTCAAATGGAGAGAATCACAAGCATGAAACAAGATCCAGAAACATACTTATTCCAGGTCTGCATGGATCAGAAATAGAAATATACAACAAAGTGGATAATAGTATTAAAACTACTCCCAGTATAAATATAGGTATTCAAGAGGAGATTGTAAATCTTCCTGACAAATTAGAATATCTACACTATTGACAAATTCCTGTCATAATTATGTGTTTTAACAAAATGTGTTGTTCATTATATATATTTTCTATGTTCATTATCAATCACAATGTTTTTTATTTATTTATTTACACATATTTTATATTACTGATGTATTCTTTGTTGTCTCACACCTGTACTTTTTAACAAACGAAATGAAATCTATCTATCTATTACAGCAATTTCACAATACTAGCATACTTTTTTGACAAGTGGTCAGGAGTTGATAACATTGAAGCATCAAAGTGGTTCTGCTAGCTTAATGGAGGTAATTGTTTGTGGTAAACAGACTTTGGGACTTTGTTTTCCTTGAAAAATCAATTTGACCAAATTGAGCATTATGGATGGTTTGTTTTTCAACAGTGTGTTTGGTATTTGTCTACCAAGAGGAATTATGATATTGTGTTTGTTTTTATCAAATAATTGAATAGTTACCTGTGCCAAACAAGGTTTCATATTCACATCTTTCATGTCAATACTGTTGGGGTCTATTTTGTTGAGCAATATACAAAGTAGGGTACCATCACGCAGGATGTTTGCTAGATCAGCAATAGAAGCTGTTGGCCAATTAACTTTATGGTCTTTCCTCAACATGTCCCATCTTGTGAGCCATGCAGCACATTCTCTCCAAAGCTCATCATTGTTTTCTGACGACCTATAGGGACTGATTTGGCCACCATGAAGATTTAACTAAAACAACAATTATAAGTATTTATAGTACAATTAATGATTCTATTGATGCTACCAATGTATCATTATCAGTACACGCTGAGGCCATCTCAGAGCAGAATCGTTCACCAGAGGAAGATTATCTTCTAGCCAAGATATGTGATGGATTTATTCCAGGATTTCATCATCAGGACTATCAGGAGATATGTACATCCTTCAGGTGCTAGTCATTTCTTGATACATATCCTAAGTATTGAATGATATATAATAGTGAAAATTCTGAAACTGATTTCAATTCGATTTTTCGATCTTTGATCAAAGACATAAACGCACTCTGGTGGTTTTGGAACTCTTATATTTATTTTTTATTTTCATATTTTTACATTAACCCTACTCTTTGACAATAGCAACACGAAGAACGTCATCAGTCAACGTGAGTGAAACGTCTCTCGCCAGTCACTCAGTTAATAGCATGCTGCCATGCTGCGGAAAATCTCAAAGTTATCAGAAGGTTATTGAGGTAGGAAAAGTTAACATATGAGTCCAATGAGAAAAATGTCTCCTGCATGATAGGGGATTACTTCTAACCTAACTCGGTCTGAATGAACCCTCTTCCTGAAAAGTATATTTTTCGAAAAATCACTTAGGTGAAAATAGAAGAATATATTGTGAGTCAATTGTGAGTATGAGGAAGGAAAAATATCGTTTCTGCATAAAAAAGGCAAATTATTCCAACCGAACTCGTCCTAAATGGTCCTTTTTCATGAAATGTATATTTTTCTAAAAATGACTACTGAAAAAAAAAGAAAAGAAAAATATTGACGCTTCGCAGGGATTTGAACGCGAGCCGTGGTGGTCACCTCAAAAGTCTATTTATTTGATCTAATAAATGAGTTACATCACACATAAATACATTTCACATTTCAGTATGGGGAGTATGCAGTCCATATACTGTGAGTATATGGGGGTTTTGCATATATCTATCCTCCGAGCTGAGCGGTGGCTGGTGTCGGCCAGGGAATATGAATGTTAGTGTGTTGCGTTCGTTTCAGAGGCCGATCTCCTAGGCATGGCCCTTTGTATCGGTTGTCTCACTAATTGTACCCAAGGGGGGGGGGGGGGGTCGATCATGTTCATCAGTGGCGAGATTCTCAGTGTTCGAAGGAAAATCAAATTAGTGAACCTTCTTTCAATTTAGCTCGGCTAGGTACACCGCCGATTACGCCATCTCCTGGCTGCTAGGCCATTCGAACGGCAGGGCGCACCCTTGTGCACATAGCCGAGTTTCAGTGTTAGCTATCGCATTTAGAGATAGCGTGACACTATGTTGCTTTCGTATTAGGGACTTAGGGAGATAGCGGTTACTAATCATCGGGTTCCCTAAAGACATCGGTAGATGCATATATCAACCCGTGTTTTTTATGGATGTCATGGTGAGCTCTTGTTTGGCTCATCGTCCGGGCAAGATCACTTCCAGCGATGTGGTATTTATAGAAGTTGTTGGCCGTTTTGATAATGTATTCTCTAATTCTTGGCAAATTACCACATCTCTCGTGATGATCTGCCACTCGGGAGTATCGATCAACATTGGTGATTATACGAAGTACTTCGTTCTGCAGCACCTGAAATCTGTTCATGTGTGTTGGTGGAATGCTGCAGAACACCGGGCACGCGTACGTCAATACAGGTCTAATAACTTGCTTGTACACCTGGACCTTATTCTCCAATGAGAATGGAAAGGTCCTGGCTAACAGCAGGTACATCTTTTTGATGGCACCTTGTGTTTTTTGAATAAGATATTTGGTATTAGACCTGAAAGACATACGGGTGTCCAATTTAACCCCCAGGTATTTCACAGGGACCGTGTCCGTCACCTCGACCCCTTTGACGGTCAAAGGTCTGTTCAGCTTTGAATCATTGACGTTATGATGGAAATTGACCACTTCTGTTTTAGTGTCATTCACACAGATCTTCGACTCGTCAAAGTATGGCATGACTCCCTTGTCCAGCTGAATCTGGATTTTGGTCCTGGCAATACCCCAGTCGAACTAGTGCGCGTATATTGCCGTATCATCGGCGGAATCCGAACCATTCATTAGGAATCAGATGTAATTCTTCTACGTGGTGTTCTATCAGCTGGCTGTAAGAGGACCCTATCCACGACCTTGGCCACCGTGCTAAGCAGCGATATTTGGCGGTAGCCATTCGTTGTTGTTAAATCTTTGCCTCGTTTAGGGATAGGTACAACAAGCCCAGTTTTGAAGCAATCTGGGTAGTGCTGGTATCTGATGATGGCATTGGTCAGATAGTGCAGTTGCATTATAGCCTTGCGAGACAGGTTCTTAAGGAGGATCACGTCCAACCCGTCAAGTCCTGGCGCCTTGTTTATATCTAGGTGCTGGATGATACTCCTAATCTCTGATGGAGTGGTGATAGCTTTTTTTAGGACTTGACTTGGTAGCAGGGTGCTGGGTACTGCCCTTATTCGGGCTGCCGTGGCCACCATGTCTACCTGGACTGCGTTGATGGGGTTCTTATCCATCTTGCTGATGTTTTGGAAGTGTCTCCCAAGCACCGCCGCCTTCTCCGGATCTGACATCGCTTCCTTGTGTTCATACACAATTGTGGGCATGGCAACGAATTGTTTTTCAATCCCTTTGGACATTTTCCACAATGTGTTGTCACGAGGGTCCAGACTTTCCAACTTGGCTCTCCAGGAGTCGTTCCTGAGCTCACGAATTCTGCGCATTCTACTTCGTTGCAGATACGCTTGAAGAAGACTTTTTTCTCTGCTTTGAGCTCAAAGATGTCCTCTGGGAGGTCATCCTTGTTGGAGTCGATGATGACCAGCCTCGTGGTGGAATTTTTAGCCATGTTGATGTGCTGGTCCAAGATGGCTCTGAACATCTGCCAGTTCATGTTTTCATAATTGTAGATCTTTTTTAATGACCTCTGGGGGTTTTTGACCAAATTCGAATACAACTGGCAGATGATCAGAGCTCAGCTCGTCCAGCACCTTTAGTTCAGAGATATCCACCACGTTCCTGGACAGCACGATGTCTAGGGCTGTGGGTGTCATTCCATTGACGGGATAGTGCGTGGGAGAATTAGGGTAGTCCAGGTTGACATTGGCAGTCTGAATGTGTACGCCTTCAACCTGCTCCCGTTCTGGTTATTCTGGACTGTGTTCCCCCAGTCTACATGTCTCGCGTTAAAATCTCCGCCGATAATTACCTTGTTTCCAGCACTAACCAGAGCCTCCAGATCCTGTTCAGTGAATCTGTTTCTGGGCCTGTTGAACACTGAGAAAATGATCTCGCCACTCTGTAGTCTCACCCCTGCGTGGTCGATAGAGCTTTGCCGTGGTGGGACCACAGAGTGGGGAATGTTATTCTTGATTAGAATATTTACCCCCCCCCTCACCTATGGTCATGATGGAGTTTGGTCTCGGACAAGAGTACAATGTCCAACCGTGGTGGTCAGATACACAGATAACTGAGCTATAGCGCTTATCGAAAATTCTAACTATGAAGAAAGAAGAAATATCGTGTATTGGCTTTTTCATCACAACAAGCAGCACAGCAGCATGCTGCCAATTGAATAACTTGCGAGCACGATGTGCGAGAGCATTTATCAGTTCTACGAATTCTATGTCACTATGTCGATGCTTTGTCTCTGTTTTTTTGCTCTTTGGACACAAAATATCCAAAAATTACGAATGAAATTATGTACGTCCGTACCTTGGATATTAACAATCAGAACCCGTCTTTTAGGACTGGTGAGTTTCAGATTATTCAGATGATGAGATGGAAATATCTGATATCCGAACCCAACAACAGGTTGGCACTCTGAAGGTGCAAATATGTTACTGCATGGGAGATACTCTTTAAATGTTCACCTATTCAGTCACTTGACCACGAAATACATTCCGAAAACGTCAGACATTTTGAGGTCTATTGAGGTCGTCACTCTATTCAATCTACTCACTCCAAGTAGCTAGATTTTTTTCTCCATAATAGGCATTAGCAGACAGTAATATGAGGCTGTTCTATTTCATGCGTGAGTATTCAATATCCCCCCGGTTCGCCGCGGGAGGGAGAGAGACATATAACGACCTCTCGCCTAATAGGGTATACGCGTGTGAAAATTTTACACTGGAATATATTTTTGTTCCATTACTCATATGTATATATGTCGAATTATACATCCGAAAAACATTATTAAGCACCGAATATTTAATAATTTCTGATTGAAAATCATAATATTTCCAACATTCCGACCAACAGCCGAACTGCAGCGATGATTTCCGACTGGATGTGGCTGTTTTTATTTGTCAAACATTCATGTCCGAAAAATTGATAATAATATAAGAAGAAAAAGTGAGGTTACGATTATCTGAGCTTGTAGTTTCTATAATCTATCTCAATTATATGATCTCAATATTCTGAATGATAATAACTGAATAATAAGCAAATATCTACAATAAGAATGATCAAACAGGACTTCTTTTTGCATGTTGTTTCAAATATATATTACCACCCATCAATTTATATCTCATATAGTTTTCCATATCTTCTTCAAGCTGAAAACTAAATCACATATTATATTATTCTCCTAATAACATGAGGAACATAATCATTGATATATAATGGGTTTCACTAGGACATACTTGAACGTATAGGTACTCACTTCGAAATGGTCTTCACAAACAAATCCTCTGGTTTTCTCGGATAAATCATTTCTATTTATGGCTCGCAACCATAATTTTCTTTTCTATTTATTTTTATCACTCGATCCCACTGGCAATGAAAGGAATATTTTTCCTGGTGATACTTTTGTTGATGAAAGGCATTGCGGCACTAAACAGTATTTGGTATAAACATTATCATTTTCCATTTTCAAATTTCAAATTTCTGGCGTTTGAAACTGTTTTCTTCTCCTACCTCTTCTTCTTCTTTTTTTTTCAATCTGAATCTTGTCATTCTGTCGCGCTAGTCTATGGCTGTGCGGCCTAATACTATGACGTCATAATATTAGTGATGGCCACTAACCCGTTTTCCTGTGACTTCATATTTAGTCTCATTTGAATGAAATTTTTCAGAGTCACAAGCAAATTTGAGATTAATGAATGATATCCAATGTTATTATAAGGAAGAAGGAATATAATTTCGATTAAACAAAAAATCATGCGTATTCCTTATTTTGCTTTTGTGGTCGAGACGGTATTTTTAAAATTCCTTTGTGAATATCGAATAAACGGAAAAGAAGAAAATATTTTATCTGCATGAAGAGACTACTTTTCCCAAGAATCTTACCTTAGTCAGCCTAATATACAGGATGTTTCAAAAGTCAGTATCAAAATTCCAGAGGCTCATTTTTCAGGTCAGAATAGATTTTTTTTCAATATAAACATGTTTCTGAAAACGCTCCGTTTACTATATACGCATATATACAGAGAGCAGCGTTCTAAGCTTCTAATTTTTTTTATCCATTGCTGGTAGAGATTGCAGTAAATTAAGTAAAATATTCCATTTTGTAGTTAATGAATTTTATTCCAGTTTTTGAACTTAACTACTATATCACTTTAAAGTGTTGGAAAAAGAAAAATGATATACCTATACCTATCTTCTGATATGTATTTCTAATTTGCGAATATTGGGATGGAATAATCGACATATTATATTTAATTCGAGAATTTATATGATATGCCAATAATTATAGATGTATTTTATTCTATTTCCATAGTGAACCATATCATTCTTTAATGAGAATAATTCACCAAATTTAGAATGATTATCAATATATTGTAAAGTCTTATATTGATGCAAAATTTCAATATGGATAAACAAATTGAGTGAAAACAATAAACAATAATTAATAAGACATAAACAGGTTGTGACTAAATAAGTGTAAAACATTTCATATAAAAAAACTTCATTGGAGCATCCCATGTTAAGATATATATAGTTCCTGGCTTGAAGGGGGTACATGGAATTTCTTTAACAATTTTTTTCACAAATTAAGAACAGAACAACAATACACAATTAGTATTACTTCAAGTTCAAAAATTCACAAACTGACAGCTTAAAACCAATTTAATTGTCACTATCGCTAATAGCGGCCTACTAAATTAGTTTCGTATTTTCGTTTTATGGCGATATGTATGTTGTTTCTAAAATAATTTTTTGCTGCAAACTGCTTCATTTTGGCCAAAACATTCAAGCGACATATTTTGTTTAGAATGAACAAATTTTATGTACCCCCTTCAAGGGGCTGTATCTTAATATGGGATGCTCCAATGAAGTTTCTTCATATGAAAGATCCTATCATTTTTTTCGATGAGGAATCACCCCCTCAAATGTTTTACTCTTATTTAGTTACACCCTGTATAGAGGTGTGCGCTGTTTTTCTATATGGTAAGGCCTTTGTCGATCTGAATTGCCTACTAACTAGCAGAGCTAACTAGCGTGGGTGGTCTGTGAACTAGCTTTTCCATTCGCAGCAAGCGCATGATAGGTGTTCCGTTTCCGACAAATGTCTCTTGTCAGTCATGCAAATAGTAGCATGCTGCTTTGCTGAGGAAACTCTCAAGGTCATTGTTTCTGCATGCAAATTGAGAAAGGAGACTATTGTTTCGAACTGATTTATTTTAACCAAAGAAACACTAATTCATATCAAACTTATAACTACTATATTTATGTAAAACGATTTATATCATGCGATATATGACTGTCTCTCTGACACTCGCTGTTTGACTGACTGGCTGCAGTTGTTCGGCCGTCCTTATATATGAGATCCCTCTGGTAGGCTTTGCTTCTCGAACGTTCTCGAATGATCTTCCGTACCCTTCTTTTTGCTCTAGAACATTGTCGATCTAAATGAAAACCTAGAGTAGGTGACCTAGTGCGAGGAGGTATAATGAGCTCCTGCCTACTAACTACCTTAACTACCTAACTAGGTTATCATCCAGAACGACAATGTCTAGAAGCCTCTTAGAACAATACCTCTCTCTCTCTAATTGTTCCATCGATTGTTTCCAGAACATTCCAGAATCTTCAGTCAGGTTATTTGTCACCGTGGCATATATTGAGTGCTGGTGCATGTAGGAACCATTGGGAGGTTGGAGAACAATCTGGGATGCGTGTTACAGGATGATCGTTGTACTCCTGCTTTCCTGCTGATGTTTCTAGAGTTCCTCTGAGGGGAATATCATTACACTATTTTCAACCTAGCTCGGCCTGACTGAACATATTTCCTGAAAAGTATATTCTTCGAAAAATTATTATTTGAGTGAAAAAAAATTATATTGAAAAAAAGCCTTGCAGCAGTTGCAGGGAGTTGAACGCGAGCCACCGCCGTGGAAGTCAGATTTATAGTCCACCGAGCTATCGCGCTACCCGAAAGTTTTATATGAAGAAAGAAGAAATAACGTATGTTGCTTGTTTATCACAAGCAGCTCAAAAGGATGCTATTAGTTCAATGAATGGCGAGACACTCTCATTTTTTCCGTGCATACCGAATTCACTCGATTCAAAAATAAAGCTCCTGTAAGCAATATGAATTCAGTGTACTGAAAAGTAGTGAATATATTGAAAGTAGTAGATATATGAGATAGGGTGCTATTTTCATTCCAACATTTTGTCATGTGCATAAATCGATGAAAGCATCGAACTGTTGCAGAATTCCGCAAATGTTGATGGAAATCCATCGAACTGTTGTAATAAAATGCCCACTTTCAAATTGCTCCGCGAGAATCCAGTGGTTTGGAGGAGACTGACATGACAATTGACGCATTTCAGGTACATTTATCAAAATTATTTGGGAATTTTTGTATTGTGAGATTCTTGAGAGATTTTGGAAGATAGCGTAGTAAGTATTGATCGATAAAGATCGTACCAGCCTCTTCTGCTTCTGAAGATACATGACGACCGACACACAAGGAAATCCGTTTTTTCACGAATGTCTTATATAACTCATTGTTTCATCGTTCCAGCATTCCATCAGAACAATTGGTGAAACGCATCTATCAGTGTGCATTCTCTTCGAATTAATGAATGAATCATCGCGGTGGGGGAACGTTACAGCGACTAAAAGCTTTCTTAGTAGTACTAAGATCGTACTAGAAAAGGCGCAGTTGATTGTGTATTCGAATTCCACGCTGGCCAAGAAACTTTGCACGCTGGTGACTCGCGTTCAGTGTCTCCGACGGTGGCATTTCTCAAGGTCAAGATATTTTCAGAAAAATATACCTGCCTGGTAACCGGCGCCGGGTGTCGAATCACTTCCTAGAATAAGCTTGTCATGCTCTAGAAATGTCAGTGTCATCCTCAAAATTGCAAATGGCAGATGCGATGGCAGCAAGCAGTGGCGGAGTAGATTGGTCGTCTGTTTTGAAACCTTTATTATCTGCAAATTATGAAACCTCTAATAAATCCGAATTGATAGAATTATGTTCAGCAATTATCAAAAGGTAAGATGAATGTTTTTTTAGAAAATAAATTACCTCGTCTATCATTCAACCCCTATATGAAGTTTCTTTCATGACTTTCATGAGACATTTTTTTAAACTGCTTTTTTATTTCTTTTCTTTTCATAGTGAATCGGAGATTTTGCGTCAAAAGGAGAGTACCAGAAATTTCTTCAATTCGTTTGCAGTAATAGCTGCTGATTACATTGGCAGTAGTACAACAGGGCGTAAGTAAATTGAATCCTGAACAACTATGTAGTTACATTCCTATTACTTCTGATATCTGGGATAGCATGACCATTATAACATGACTTGTAGGTTGAATAAGGATTAATATCTCAGATACTCCTATATCACATAGGTCAGAACCATGAAGTACTCCTAATAAATAAGTCAAGTTCTCAAACTTTCATGAAAGAACACAGTGAACTAGCTAATTGCTCTTTCATTCAACACTTGACAACGATATGAAAATAAAGGAAAGTCAATGCTTTTAAACATGTTTGTGTTGAAACAGGTAGGTACATTCTTTTACCCTTGTCATAAACAGGAACCAATGGCCAGGTTATCATCGTGAACAAACAAACTACATACCAATATATCTCTATCAAGAATTAATAATTAGATATTTCACTGATCAAGAGATAAGTATTTCACCAAGAAATGCTGGCTATAGAAACACATTTTCGTATTTAATTTCCTTAAATTATTAGATAATTTCCTTAGTTCACCAGAACTATTGATGAAATAGGTGTAGAACTCCAGAACTCTTTATAATACAACAAAAAAATATATCAGAACTCATTTTCTCGAAAAAACGGCGCTGCGTGAAGTTAGTGCCCAAAATTTATTTTTTCCAATGACACCTACAATTTGCTGGAACTATTCAAAATTTCAGTCAGGAACTCTAGAACTCTATCAAATCTACTCAGAACTACAAAAAAAAATGAGTTTTTCGAAAAAAACGGCGCCAACTTCACATGAGTCACATTATTGTGGATTGTGGAGTAATGAAATTGAATTAACTACTAAATATTCTCTGCTTGAGTAGCACTTTCCTACACTTAATTATATGTTGTTCATTTGTTCAAAAAGGGCATTCCACACCATTGTTGTTTATATTCACCTGGTTTTGGACAGGTGGGGTAAAATGCACTCAGATTCAAGACTGTACCTATCAAGAAAAGAGAAAATCATGATCAGAAGATTCCTAATAAAAATGTTTCATGTTTGGCATGTATACACCTATACTGTGAAATCAGTAAGGTACATCAAATATCAAAATTTCAGATTTGAATTGCACTCTCAGGCCTCAATTTATTCCTTTGATATTTGTTTGTGTAGCTGCACCACAAATCAGCTGATTCATTGTGTAGTGCATATTACAGGACACCAAAAAGCTAATAAAAGAACCTAATGGCACTCTGATTGTACCATAAGCAAACATGACACTATTTATTTTCGAACTGATTTATTTTAACTAGAGGAACACTGATTTATATTGAACTTATAACTACTATTTATGTGAAACAATTCATATCAGGCAGTTAATGACTGTCTCTCTGACATGCTGCTGACTAATGGCGGCGGTCCGGACGTTATTTGTCACCACCACATATATCCAGTATTTGGAAATAGGCAGGTACATGTTAGAATCATTGGTATTTTGGAGAACAATCAGGGAAGCGTGTTACAGGATGATTGTTGTACTCCTGCCTTCCTGATAATGTTTCTAGAGCCCCTCTAAGGGGAATATCATTACAGTATGTTGGGTATCCCCTTATATGGAAAATCTGTAGCTACATTTTAAGAAGAGATAGAGAAGAATCTTTCCATGGCTCAAGTAAAAAAGATCAATGAATCAGAACTACTTTCATCTATAAAGTTTTTTTTTCTGTGATGATAAAAAAGTTTGACTTTTTTTTGGTGCAAAATGTCACTTTTCCTATTATCACTTTTCTACTAGAGTGCGGGAAAGCACAACCTGGATCCAAAGTATTTTTCCCTATTTTTTGAGAAATGCCCAACAGGAAAAATGTGTTTTTCAAATCAAACACTCCATATGATTTCACAACAGTACACCCCATCATAACTTATTTTTGCAGTTCAAGTATGGCATTAGTTATTAATTTTTGTATCAACAAGGTATTTGCCCACAAATGCTCATTCTAATATCTCCTGATCTTCATCTTCAAAACAATTAACCAAAATTGTTAATGTTAGATCATCCTTCAAATTTGCATTATTTCATCATAAACATCTTATTTTGGCGAGATATATACCCTGTTAAATAAAAAACCTCACTTTCAGATTCACCCTGTATCCAGGGTTTATCACATAACCAGTCCTTTGAAAGTTTTCCATGTTACCATTTTAATAAAAATCTGACAATTCAGAGCGAGACATATTGTCAGGATAAAATAGATGGTTACTCCACCATGTCATGATATAATGGTTGGTTAGTCTATCCATATTGATTTATAAGGGGTTTATGCTATAGTTTGCTAGAGGGATTCCCTTTCGTGCGCTCCAAGCGATAAAAAAAAATCAACAAAGAATATAAAGACCTAATAACAACTTACATTATAAGGACCATCACGACGAGCTCTTGTCAAGTCAAGAGTAGCCCCAGGCCAGACTAACTTCGGAACCCTCACATCCAATATTTATATACATCAATTTATCAGATTCGCACGATTCTCATGAGAGTTCCTTGGTTAGTTTTTATAATTCAATGTCAACGGATGATTTGATTAACTTTATGTTTATAAAACCCCCATGCTTTAAAATTTCTAATATACTGTATGTTCTACTCATGACAATATGTCAGTTTGTACAATCGATTTGAACATTTATGATTTGAAATATAGTCAGTGGCGTAGCACTTCTTGTCATGTAGTCAGTGGCGAAGCACTTCCGGTTGCACCGGAAGTCACCGGAAGTGATATATACTTTCTTAGTTCAAATGGAACATGCTATATTTCACATTTCAATAAACTTTTCAATTCTACTGGGATTCTACATATCATTTTGCATACGTATATACATACAGTGTCATTAATAAAGTCATCATATGGGAAAACTTTTAATAATGCGGATGCGTGCGTAATTTTTCAATTCGTGCGTAATATGCTTCTTACAACACTCATTAGGTATTATTATATTGATAATATTCTATTGATAAATGACTGGCATCATTTTGAATTTGAAAAAATCAATTTAAATAAATTTCGCTCCTGAATGAAAGACGATACATCAACTTTGCATCAATCATAGGCTGTGTCAAGTCATTCGTTCGACCACAGTGGTGATACCAGCATGGTCAATGGTTGACTCCCATAAAAAATAACGTGGTAACTTTGCGGGCAGGTTTGAAACGTTACCGATATTCCCAGACAGCTGGTTGGCCAAACTGATGGTCAGACTTCATACTGAACGTATGTGCCCGGTCAAACTACATACTTGACACAGCTATAACAGAAATTTGAAGTGGGGATTATTATTTTCTGAAGAAAATCACATTTTTGTCGATTATTAGTGATTGAAAGTTGGTAGCATTGATTATATCACCAGTTCTCATAAGCTTCCTAAGAACTATACTATTCAACTTCAATTTCGGAACCGGTAAGTTGTATTTTGGAGAAGGTAAAACTCGATTTCAGAATTGGTTAGTTCGATTTCAGAAATGGTAAACTCAATTTCAGAATCGGTGAGTTGAATTTCAGAGAAAGTCCATTCAATTTCAGAAACGGTGAGTTGTATTTCAGAAACTGAATCCTAATAATTGCTTAACATATTTTTAGTTGCATGTGAGAAGAACAAACCATCTTCAGAATATTTGAATTTTCAAAAACCATTGAAGAACATATATTATACTTGAACGTAATCCTTATTTAATCCATACAGACATGTCTTTCATTCGAATCGCCAGAAGGACAGTGGCGTTGCACATGATTTATATAGAGATTCTGCACCGACATTCCCAGGGACTCCCTGACTCTTCAAAATCCTCTTCTTACATTTGTTCATTCTAACATTCAGTCAGATTTATGTACGACATCTAATAAAATTTGCTCTCTGCTTTTGTACTTTGATAAATACATTGTTTTTGAAAAGTGACTTTGCCAGTTCGAAAATAAAATTCATGATAATGATACTAAAATGAAATGGTTTTGTTGGTGTTAATTTTTTATAATAGGAATTGAAAAAAATATCAAAAAATAAAACTTGTAATAGAGAACGTTCAAATTCGAGACACATATGTGAAATAGGAAAAGAAACAATTTTCTTTCCTGTCGAGTTTTTTGGAATTCTAACAAATAAGCCTATTTCAGCGATTAATTTGAAAAAAAACCTTTTCATGTAACGAAAGTCACCTGACCCCGACCGAGTAGTCCATTTTTCATATTTTTCAAAGCAAAACTTGACGCCCAATTCGACTTTCGAAATAAATGATTATAATTTTTTTCCTATATGATGCCGACTTTATCAATGACACTGTATATGTTCATACACTGATTTCAAACCGTTTCCGAGTTATTACGATTTTTGTGAAAATTTTCTTTGCACTAGTATATTCAAAAATATGTGTTTCCATCATTTCAAAAACAGAAACGTTTCAACATTTAACCAAAGCTACTTCGAGCTACTTCACAAAATGATCTCCAGACTGAAAATTTTTTCAGAAGTTATACTGTGTGATCAGAGTTCTGTTATCATTAGGGGATTTTAAATAACGTTGAAGGTCATTTTTTTGAAATGGAATGCCCTGGATGCACGATCAAATTCTGCTTCTATTGTATAGGGTTTTCTTTATCCATCTTCGAAGGTTCTCAATTTATGAAGACTACTTCATGAAAGTTATATTGTGTGATCGCAATTCTATTGTCATTTGCGTTATCTTCTACATGTACAGGGTATATCTAAATAACACGGAAAAAATTCAAGGGGTGATTCCTTGTGATATTTGAGGAAATAAAGTTCATATAAACATGTGTCCTAACTTGCTTTGTTTTCGAGATACAGGGTATTAATATTTCCATGAACAATCTTTTTTCTATTCATTTCTCAATTGTATTTTCATTAATTTCAACAAAACGTTATGGTTTTGTTAATAGTAATATGGAGCTGCTTCTATTTTTTTTATCGCTTGGAGCGCACGAAAGGGAATCCCTATAATGTTCACTTAGATTCGAAATAATATTTTCAGTGGCGTCACAGTGGGTAAATTTATCGATATTCATGGTGAATGTCATTGTACACCACCGGTTTTTCTGAGTTTCATATTTTCATTAGATTGGACTATTGAAATTACAAATTTTTTATCCTCTGTGTGATTTTTGTATCTAGCTTAGTTTTTGAGGAAACTATAAAAATTCGATTTGACTCCAAATTTTAATGTAGGCGTTTTCAAGACTTCCATTGATATTACTCAATAACCCCAATTAGAATCATTTTGAAATTTTGGGGCTTTCTCAGTCTCCACCCATACTTAATTCTGACACCATGAGAGCTTACACAGGGGGGTTATACATGAAAACAACTAATACTTCCAACTTCAATATCCTGTATCTCAAAAACGGAGCAAGTTAGGACACATGTTTATATGAACTTTATTTGCTAGAATGTCACAAGGAAACACCACATTTTTTCGTTGTTATTTAGATACACCCTGAATAAGCGATAGCTGTCTGAGGAACCTATTGTGTCCTGTCAGTACACCCTTTGCCGATGCGCAGTACTTGGCGATCCCTGACAAGCAACCGCCTTCTTCAACTTGCTTGGACCGGCCACCAGGTTTTTTATTGCCTCCAGCCGCCTATATTCTATGCTTTGTTCGCCCATTCGTTGAGGGCGCACTTAGCTTGGCTTTTTGCATTTCCTAGTATATGCCCCTGTCCCCAGACCGGTGCCGAGGAACCGATTCTAGCCAGTTCGTCTGCTACTTAGTTCCCGGGTATCCCTTGTGACCAGGAACCCATACTAGTTCGACTTACTTTAGTTCAGTTAGTTTCTCAAGAGCATCACCGCAATCTTGCACCAATGCTGAGCTCAGTTTGGGGTGGCAGATAGCTTTGAGGGTGAAGATAGAAATTTCCTGTTCTAAAGGGCTTTCACGTTAAGTTCATAGTGACGTCAATATGTCAACACTTTGTTGTAGTTTATACATTTAATTAACTATTTATCGTAAGTTAAGTAACATCTTTATTTATTCATCAATACAAACATATTAAGATCTCTAAATATTAGTAAAAAAATATTCATTTATTTTCGAGTTCTATCAATTTATGACACAGAGAAAGGGAAAGTTTTATGAGGGGGCTATACAGGGTGTCCAGAGATGAAACCGACAGAACCTATGGGGTTATAGGGATTGCCAATATGCTTGCAAAATGCCATATACAAATGTCCAAAACCCTTCGTTACCGACATACAGAGTGATTTGTGGATTTTGACAAATAATTAAATCCGCCATATTGAATGTGGTAATTGCCCGATTGGGTTCAAATTTGGTACATGAATTGAACTGAAACGCTTCAACAAGTAGACCTGTGAACGAAACCAATATCAGGACCGGAATATTATTTCTTCTCATGTTGAGTTATTGTGAGAATAACTCACCCTGTATAATAAGTATCAAGAATCTGAGCTCGATTAAGAATCTACGGATGAAATACTAATGGAACTTGTTAAGTCAGTTTCTGGTACTATTTCAGTTATTCCGTAATAAATTATTAAGACATAATTGTTGTTATTCTCTTCGATTACTCTGTAGAAATATTTTATAAATCACTCTCGTAACCTTGAAAAAACTGAAGAATAAATTCTGATCAGGACCGGAATGACTCTTATTTTTGTGTTCTTGTAAGTATAACTGAACTAGTATAACATTTAACATTAATCTGATCGTAGATGCGGAATCAACTAAAAAAATCGTATAGGATAATCATATTTGCTTACTAATTCACTTGATTTTAGTCATAGTCATAGTTATATTTATCGATTCATTCGATCACAGTACATGATATAGGAGAGATCCTGAGATCCTCTGGTAAAACATTATACAACCCAAGTCCTAAGATGTCCTCTTTGTTAGGTTCGAACGAGCAAATGGGATATGAAATTTACTTTTACTATTAGTGTGGTAATCATGAACATCTTTATTCTTAATGAACTCAATTTCATGCTTCTGCACATAAGCTAGTATGTCAAGAATATATAAACCTGCAAGAGGTAGAATTTAATATTTTTTAAAAAGACTGTCGGTGACGCTCTATCAATGCATCTGAGTTTTTGCACTTTGAATACATATTGTGAATATGAAGTACCACCCCATAATGTTATACCATAAATAAGTCTAGACTGCACTTCTCCAAAATAAAATGATGAAAGGATCTCTGTGATCAACACTGTTTTCAAAGTTCTGATTTGATAGCATGTTCTATTCAATACGCTCGCCAGGTCAGTACAGAGAGATTTAAATTCTAGGGTACTATCAAAGTTGATACCCAGATATACCGTTTTGTCTTTTCTTTCTATTTCCTCTTCTCGAATTGAAATTTAATATTAGTTTAATATTCGGTTGTGTATGGATGCTCATTTAACTTGTTTTAGAAGCATTAAAATATAAAGAATTTTATCCGTAGATTCGTCTGGCTCAGATTCATGATAATCATTATACAGGGTGAGTTATTCTCACAATAACTGAACATAGAAAAAAAAAGGATATTCCTGTCCTGATATCCGATTCGTTCACAGGGCTACTTGTTGAAGCCATTCAGTTTAATTCAAAATTTGAATCCAACCAAGTAATCCCTGTATTTGATATGGGGGATTAAATTTTTTGTCAAAATTATTTTGAATGTCGGTAACTAAGCGGTTTTGGACATTTGTATAATTATGGCATTTTGCAATCTATTGTCAATCCCTATAACCCCATAAGATTTGTCGGTTTCATCGCTGGACACCTCATAAAACTTTCTCTTCCTTTATGTCATGTCTTATTGTTTGTTTTTCTATGATTTCTTATTTAACCAATAAGGATACTATGTACACTATATTTCATATGATCTATACATTATTTACATTATTTATCATAATTTATCGTTATATATATACAACAACGTTTTATCCAAACTCCGGTATGATCACGAATCACCTTCTGTTCTGTCGAACTGTCAATGTCTAATTCATAAAACGCACTTGTCAAACACAAGTTCATAGAATTGGCAGTGTTGCCATAATATAGTGAAGTACATCTTACCACACATTTCAAACTCTATAATTCATAAATAATTTTTTACTAATATTTCAACATCTTAACATGTTTGTATTAATAAATGAATAACAATGTTGCTTACGTTCCTATAAATAGTTGATTAAATGTATTTTATATCTTCTTAATTGTGTCCTGACATTTTAATTATAGTTTTTCAATCCTCCATGAATATTCAAATTATTTGTCAGAAGTGCTCTGGAATATTCTCGGTAAGAAAATCAAGCTAAAAGCATAAGATATTGCTTGCACCGAGTCATGTTGCTTGCCATTTCAACAATTTTAGAACAATTTTTTTCAATATGAAATTTGTATTGTGACTCAATGTACTACAAAAAAGCGGTATTCCTGAAAAAATCAACTATTCCCGTAGTTTCAACAAAATTTAAATTTCAGTAAATCAGAGCATCAGTCAACATTTTAACGATTAACAGATAGGCTGTATAAATTGCTCAAAATTTTCATCATTTCCACGTTATCAGCAATTTTTTTTTTATTATTTTTGTACTGAGTAAAGCAGAGCCGTCTAGCGCCCAGACTGAGTATCTTTATACAGATATGAGTTTGCTTGTATACATTTTTTTCATCGTATAAATTTTTGTACATGAAAATAATGAACTTTGTGAACAATTTTCATGAAATATCTGTATTCATTTTAAAGTTCACTATGACTTTAAATTACTAGAATTCAAATTATGTCAACACCATGAGAGTACTTAATCGAATTTTATCAAGAGTACCTTTTTTGTAGTAAACAAGCTATGCATTTTCATATTCAATTTACTGAAAAAAAAAAAAAATTTTTACGTCCATGGAATGATGTTCATCATAATCATGACATGGGTTTTATTGCCCAATGAAGATATGCCAACGTACCAAATTGGACTAAAATCTCATGAGCCGGTTCAAAGTTATGAAGCAAAAACGATTTGGAAATTGTAACTTTAGAGCCTTCTAACGAACAAACTAAGCATTTGTATTTTTAGGTGAATTTGCTGTAATCTATTTGTTTTGGTCTGTGGTGGGATTTTGTAAACACCTTTCAGGGACACCCGAATTATAGGAATGATAAGTTTACATCTTGGCTAATTCCATATACTTGCAAAAAATATGAACTAGAAGAAAAATGCAAAGGGATTGAACATAATTAAAAATTATACACTCATCCGATGGTTTCAAGTTGTGAAAATAGTGACAATGTGCCCAACTCATTAAATTCTACCTGTGATAGTTCTTTCAGCAGACATTTTTAATTATGTATCTTTTGTTTTAGTTTTGACAAGCCAGCTGGAAACAGTCAATGCTGCATGCAGAGTCTTACTAAAGTATTTGCTAAGTGCCCTAAATGCGAGTAGCAGTGAGTCAAGTCCAAACAGTTCACAAATCGAACGTTATCTAAATGCGATACGTGTTTTGTGCATTGGAACTGGTCTACTTTCCACTTCGGAAGTAACTGTCCTTGTTGACAGTATGAAAGGCGAAAATTTGCCCCAACATGTGAATTCCTCACCTACAGGTAAGAACATTTTATATTCAATTTGATCCAACAATACAAACTTGAAATGGACAGGAAAACTATTCCAATATAGATTTTACATCTGCAAATATACTGTCACACACGTTAATTATTTCATTTTTGTTCAGCACAACCGAGCAAGTAGTAGTAGTAGGTGGGGAGGCTGTAGCCAAGCAAGTAGGCCCTGATGGGCCCGCACAACCGAGCAAACTCGAACCGAAACTGAATTCAACTGTTTGCTTCGAGTATAGATAGATAGATAGATAGATAAACTTTATTTTCCTTTTGACAATTACATTTCAAATTGTATAGGAATCGTCAATACAGTCTTATAAACTAAAGGGACATATACTAGTCTACACAATAAAAACAGTTATGTAACAGAAATTATTTCAATCTTCTTTTGAACATGGCCAATGTTTCACAGTTTTTCATGTTGACTGGCAGTGAGTTGAAAATTCGTGTGGCCATGAGATTAGGAGAACTGTATGCTAATTTACCAAATGGGACATATACATCATTTTTTGCTGGGTATTCACATTATGTTTGGATTTATTGGTAACTAAATATTTATCATAATTTTTATATACAAACACACAATATTCAAATATTGAAAGACAAGGTAATGTTGAAATTTTATAGTTGATAAATATATTCCTGCAGGATTTTCTCATAGGAACACCTACCATTATTCGTACTATTCTTTTTTGAGCTTTGAAAACATCTTTCCATTGTGAAGATAGAGACCCCAGAAACATAGACCATACCTAACTTTAGAGTCAATCTGAGTATAATACAAGGTCAACAATCGATCCATATTCAAAACGTGTTTTAAGTTTCTCAATTGATATGATATTGTGTTCAATTTGTATGTTAATAGTGCGCAATGGTTATGCCACCCAAAACATTTATCAATAGAGAGTCCCAGGAATTTGGTGCTTTCACTATCTGTTATAACAAGATCAGAATTTTCCTTTAAGTAATAAAGTCACCCTTTTTGTGACGATTGTGAAATGGAATCGAAACTGTTTTATCAACATTCAAGTAAAGGTTATTTGCAGAAAACCATCTATTCAAATCTTGAAAAACTTGATTGCATTTATCCTTGAGGGCTGAATCATTCTTATCAGAGATAATTATGGAGGTATCGAGGTCATTAACATAAAATAGAAATAATATAGGTCCCAAAATTGATCCTTGTGGAACCATTAAATCAGTTGAAATGAAGTCAAATGGTATTTTGTTGATTTCAACAAATTGTTTCCTAAAAGAAAGGTAGTCTGCTATCTAGGCCAGTGGAATAGCACGAATACCATACCTGGAGAGTTTATTCAAGAGAATGTTATGGTCAACGCAATCAAATGCCCTGCTGAGATCACAGAAAATCCCAACAGGGCATTTTCTCGCATCAATACATATAATTATCTCACTATAATAGGAGTAGATGGCTGTGGTAGTTGATTTGTTGTCCAGGAATCCGTGCTGATTCGGGGTGAAAAGATTGTGACTATCACAAAATGGAAGTAAACTTTTTAAAAAAGCATATTCAAATACTTTTGAAAAACAGGATGGAATCGTGACTGGCCGATAGTTTTCTAATGAATGCGGACTATTCTTATCGATCACTACCAATTAAATACAGAAACGTGACATCTCAATCAGTGTTATGCGCAAAAATTCAATTTTTGGAGAGATACATATGGACACCCTGCGGCCGCGAATGAAATGTCACATTTATCATTATTTCCTTCACAATCAGGCACACTGAAGTTGATTCTGGCGAAAGTCTCGAAAAGATTGAATTTCATTTGCTTCGGATCAACGATTTATTTTCAGTGGATAATCCATATAGTCAGACTCGTAAAAGATGACCGGCGAGAAGAATGTGAGCCCAGAGCACAATATAAATGTTGCGATCATCAACTCACTCTCAATTTAACGAGCACCCGCTAGAAATGGTGGTATCCCCGTTCATAAGGGCAGTCGGTCATATCGTTCGTGACTTGATGAAAGCGACGTATCTGCAAAACCAAATTGTTCAGATACTCTAAGCTCAGCGTACTGAACGTCTTCATCGTCTCCCTTTCGTCCCCAGTCTTCTTTGGCGAGTGGACCTATATTATTTCATTATCACTTTGGTTCAGAAAGAAACAACAATACCGATTCCGTTGTTGGGTACAAATACTGGAATACTACAATTCTTATGTACTGTCTGTAGGTTAATCGACGAGGTGGTACATTCATTATTCCAGACTTTTTAGGATTTTCTCCTCGTTTCTATAAAATAAAAATATGAATATAATTTCAATATAGTGTGCAGTAAGGACAAATCAGAGGATTTGTCCCAAAATGTCACTTCGTTTAAAGGATTTTCCTCTCAGAGAGCCTAGAAGAAAAATTCACCAGCTTGTCAGTGACAATTTGTATTGAAAAAAGTGTGGAGGAGAGAAATAAAGGTATATAGAAAGGATATCAAATTTTTACTTAGCTTTGGACATTTCGGGAACGAATCTGCTCCCGTTTCAACATAAAAATGGATTTTTTGTATCGCAAATTCGTATTTGTCCTGACACTTTTCAGTTCTCAGTGACAATTGGTGACGTTGGCAGAAGAGCAAAATCAAGGAATCTGCTTGCATTCTTCTGAACGGAGACAATAGCATTACTTCCTGTTCAGGTTATATAGATAGAACATGGTATTCACTATTGAAATCTGAAAATGAAATTGGTAAATTCAAGATTAATTAATGACAACATCCTGTAACTCATTTGATTGCCAACGTCACCAATTGTCACTGAGAACTGAAAAGTGTCAGGACAAATACAAATTTGCGATACAAATAATCCATTTTTTATGTTGAAAACGGGAGCAGATTCGTTCCCGAAACTTCCAAAGCTAAGTAAAAAAGCGATATTTCTTCTGTATACCTTTATTTCTCTTCTCCAAACTTTTTTCAATAAAAATTGTGATTGACAAGCTGGTGAATTTTTCTTTTAGGCTCTCTGATAGGAAAATTCTTTGAAAGCAGTGACATTCCGTGGCAAATCATCTGATTTGTCATTACTACACGTATATTGAAATAATATTCATATTATTATTTTATAGAAACGAGGAGAGACAATTCTAAAAAATCCTCACATATTTTATCAACGGAATTTCTGTCGGGTTGAACAATTGTGGTGTATGTGATAATTAAATAATGCCATAATAAAATTGAAACATTGCAAAGTGACTTGAAAATGTAGACGGGATAATGAAAAAGGAGCCCTCATACTACTGCTAATGAAACCAATTTGGTAGGTTTTTCCTAAATTTTAAAAGAATAAACACAATCAGCAACTTAAAAGGTCTTGTAATACAGTAATACAGTCCCAAAGAAAACTACCCACCCCGATTCTCTAGTGAAAAACTCGTTGCTAATTGAATATAGAATAAATACTCATACTGGTTGTGAAGAATATCATTATTACCCCCCAGGCACCAAGGTCCTGTGGTAATAAACAAGAAACTGTTCAAATGATTGTATAAAACTATATCAAATTATGATATATCATTTCAGGAAATGAAAAAGAAACAAGTAATAAACAAGACAATTCTAAAAATCGTTCTGACTTATCAGTCAGCATCTTCGAACAGTTAACCTTACCGTTACGAGATGGCCATACTACTACGCATGATCAGTCTGCTAGTGGCTCCTATAACATAGCTGAAGCATCTAACCTCAATGATCCTACTTCTGAAATAAATGTAAGTAGAAAAACAGATTCAAATTTTCCATTAAAATGAGGTCTCATATTTTTAGAAGTTATTCTTGAAAGGAAATACTGAAAGTCTACAATCTTTGAGGGCTGGAGACACCTTAACTGATCTATGTCTTAGTTTGCCTTCTATAAAAAAGGCTAAATTGAAAGTTGAAGATGCTCTTGCGGGAAAACCATTTTCTCTTCCTAGCAACCATGCCGAGGCAACAGCATTACGAAATAGGTGAGAATCATCATTTTCTAACACGAAAATGAAGTACTTGGTTCAAACTAGTTATTGTTTTCAGTCTCTCTTCTATGTTGTCGGAAATCAACCTGGCAATGTCGGCTATAAATCTACCAGTTTTGGAACCTCTGACATCGAGCAAATTAGACAAGTTATGTAGTCTTGCAATGGCAGTACTTCACTGTGCTCTTAGCCAGGCTGTTGCAAGTGCTGTGATATCAATGAGTACAGTGGTATCGCCAAAATGTTCCAATCAACAATCTCAAGCTGGAATAAAAGAAGATGACCTGGATTCAAATGCTGTATCTCTCGTAGAAGAAGTTTTGAACATGTACAATTTTATAGGAAATACGATAAAAGTATCCACAAGAGCTGGTGGCCATGTAAGTTTGTCAAATACTTGTAATTAGTATTCAATCTTTGCTGACAACATGATGGAATCCTGTTTCTTCTTTCAGGTATATCAAAACTATTTACTAGCTGGTGCTTGGGTCCTGATATCAGGACTTCAAACTCATTTAGCAGCCAGCACTTCTTCTGACAAAAACCCCCACCTTCGAGAAAGAGAAGAGAAAGGTAGAAGTCCTTGCAAAAGTAGAGATTCCACTTCGACTAGGTCGGGACTTCAAAAATTTCAGCAGTTCTTTGGAGTTTTATCTGTGGCATTGGCTACAAAAGCGCTGAATTTGGTATCAGAATTGTTTGAAGATCTACACCTTGAAGTTTGTGGAGGAGCTGCAAGCATAGTACAGGTACATAATGCAAGTTCTCCAATTTTAAACTTGATAATTAGCCCATTCCCTTCTACTTGGCTGATCCTCGTTTTTGTGCAAATTTTGATTATTTACACTAACAAGATGAACCATCCTTATGAGAGCAATCAAGCCAGAAATTATATAGAGTAGGGGGCGGTATATTGGTAAGTGTGGATGATGACAGATGCGCTGCGACCTGATTAGATCTATTGTGTCCCATCTTCTTCTGCTACCTCAACATTTTCTTGTTTATGGCAGCCCCTCAAGCTTAAATTCTTTTAGGAATCTGAGGATTTTAAGGGGTCTGTTTTTGTTATTTCTTTCACGGTCAGCTGGTATGTATGCTCCCAGTATATTCGATATTCTGTGGTGTACAGCATAACACTCCAGTAAGATGTGGTGGGGTGTTTCTGGATGTGTCCCGCAGAATCTGTAGGTGATGTCCTCCTCTTAGCTAGCTTCCCTAGATGTTCTTTGAGTCTACAATGCCCCGGTGAAAATCCCGTTATTGCTTTGAGACTAATTTTGCTGAGGTTGATCAGTGTCTTGGATCTTGCTCGATTGAAATTAACGAGATCTTTGGCCTGCCGCCAGTGTGTTACTCTCATTACTTCTTCAGCTTTATTAAGTTCTTCTTGAAAATGAGAAATTTCAAGGCCGCAGAATGGTTCTTGTCCTATCAGTGATGTTTATGGCTCCTTTTCGTTCCAGGATGTCTGCTTGTTTAGTTTCCTCCACTCCGATGTGCCCCGGCACCCAGAAGGGGATTACCTTATTGTTTCTGTCTAGTTTGTTGAGTTTGTCTAAGCATTCCCAAATCATCTTTGAGTTGATGTTGAAGGAGCTCCACGCTTTGATGGCTGCTTGGCTGTCAGAATGGATAGGAATTTCCTTGTTCTGGCATCTCCTGTCGAGGTTGAACTGAAAGCACCTTTCTATGGCGAGAATTTCCGCTTTCCGTGGTATCTGAGCGACAAATTGAACTAGTTTTGTTGAGTACCAAAGGGTAAAGATCAGTTATGAAGGGTAATGCAGAATATATTCCAAGACTATTTTCTTATGATTTTATGTAAGAAGGAATGTCGCATGAGAGTTGTATTAAAATATTTTCATAAATCAAAAGTCAATATCAAAATTGGTGATTTTCCTGCATCAGAAAGAAGGATATTCCTAGATAGTTCAGCAACTTGCAAATAGATGGACTCGGGCAGATTACTAGTTTGATGAGTTTTGCTTGCGCCACCTTCGAACCAGACAGGAACAAACGCTAAATCTAGCTTCAACATTTTACATGGAGGTGGATAATCTTTTCAGTAGCAAATAATCAAAGATTAAAGTTATTATAGAGTATAGTATAGTATAGAATATGGAGGGCTCTTGGCACCTCTTCTCTATCCGCGGAAGTCAGTCATCATCTGACGTTGCGATTATATGAAAACTACGGGAAAACATTCATAACTCCTGGCTTAGATTGAAAGTTAGACATGTTTTCCCGTAGTTTTCATGTCATTGTAACGTCATATGATAACCTTGGCTACCGCGAATCTGCCACAAAATGTTTTTTAAATTAATTTTGATTACCATAAATGCCTTGATATTTTATATAGTCTAACATTTCAAAAAACATTTTTATTGGCAAAATATTCCTAAGAGGTACATGGTATCCCATTTTCGATGTCGACATTTTCGTTAAACTAGCAATACCACTAACAAAATTTTCATAGATCGCTTCGTTTTTGAGATACAAAGCAAAATTGAAAATGATGCATATTGGGATCTGTATCTCAGCTATTTTTCAACTCATAGAAAAAGTAAGAACTGTCTCTTATACATTTTAAACATAGAATCCAGTGACATTATCAGATTTTTAAAATTTTTAGTTTGGGAATAATCCTTTATCGAAGTTGTAACGGTGTGAAGGTTTCTTTGGTGTAGCCTGCCTGAACAGCTTTGGTAGCGCTATGTGCTAATGGCGCTTCCTAAATCTTCCACCAGCACATCATTGAAAGCAATCTGCTTTGTCTCGAATCTACTACTTAACGGAATACTACCCATAAGTCAATCCCGATTCTCTGCAAATTATTTACTGCCTTGTGTGAGTGATTGAATATTAGTAGAAGATCCGAACCTAAGTCGACCTTCACCGAGCTGATAATAGAACGAAATATATTTTATCATGAATTTAGTATATTAGAAAACATATTAAAAATGGGTTGCCTAAAAAAATCCTGGGCAGACTATTTTTAATTATTTTTCGAAAAATTATTTTTAATTAAATGTTGCAACATCAGGATAATAAAAAATTGTTGTCCTGACTGATAGTATAAAACGTATAGAATGTGCAGCCGTTGGGTTGTCTACTATTTACCTGGAAGAACTACTGGGTTGTCAGGTAACACAGGTATATCGATGCCAGTTACTTTCACTGGATTGGATAATTTAAAAAAATGTATATCATCATAAGCGCTGTTTAATTGCGAACACGTTGATATAGGGTTGTCTGCGAAAATTCCGGTCCGATTAGGGGTTTTTAATTTCAACGCGCGTGGAAGTGTGTGACAGAGAGATCCGAGGTAAGTATACTGTGTGATAATAAAGGACCCAACATCGCAGTCGCTTGTGATGGGACCCTGAATAGTAGAAAGTGTGCGAAGTCAAATCCTGAAAACTATGGTTGGCATTTTGATGATTTCTTGAAACCAACAGGTTTTATCGGAGATCAAACTCCTTTGAAAATCCAGGACATTGTCGAAATGGAAGCAAATGAGGAAGAATCTAATGAATCAGACGAATTCGAGAGTCAAAATGATACTTCTGATGAATCAGATATTGAATAGAAAATATTTATTAGAATTTATTTTTCATTAATATTATTTTTGTATTTATACTGTTTTTTAATAAAATTTCAAATCGCAATACAAGATGTCTAGTCTATCTTTTTTGTTATTTCTTAATTTAAATTTTTGGCGGTCCACTTTGTTTTTATTTCCAGAAAGAGAAAGTAAGTATTTGATATTTTTATTGTCTATTATAGATTATAGATATATCATTATGGTTATAACGCAATATACTGATATTATATTGTTTTTATATATTAGTATTATATTAAATATATTTAATTATTATGTAATTAATTAATTATTTTTTTTTGCTACTGAAATATCAGTTGCTCCAAAATAACACGCACTGTTTACTATATGAAGGGTAGTAGAGGTACCTCTACCCTCCATAGTTTACACACCGAGCATGCGCACTTTCTACTATTCAGGGTCCCATCACAAGCGACTGCGATGTTGGGTCCTTTATTATCACACAGTATACTTACCTCGGATCTCTCTGTCACACACTTCCACGCGCGTTGAAATTAAAAACCCCTAATCGGACCGGAATTTTCGCAGACAACCCTATATCAACGTGTTCGCAATTAAACAGCGCTTATGATGATATACATTTTTTTAAATTATCCAATCCAGTGAAAGTAACTGGCATCGATATACCTGTGTTTACCTGACAACCCAGTAGTTCGCCCAGGTAAATAGTAGACACCCCAACGGCTGCACATTCTATACGTTTCATACTTTCAGTCAGGACACAATTTTTTTATTATCCTGATGTTGCAACATTTAATTAAAAATAATTTTTCGAAAAATAATTAAAAATAGTCTGCCCAGAATTTTTTTAGGCAACCCATTTTTAATATGTTTTCTAATATACTAAATTCATGATAAAATATATTTCGTTCTATTATCAGCTCGGTGAAGGTCGACTTAGGTTCGGATCTTAGACTATATGGATTTCAAGATTTTGACAGGTTATCTCAAACTGATAAAGTTGTTCAACATCTCAGGACAACGTCTTGAATTGTTATATTTAAAATCTTGACTTTTTATTTCCATTCCGTTTACAGGGGATGTAAATTTTTTTTTTAAACTGAACACTGTATTTTGTTGCATGTTTTGAAGGTCATTTTTTTATTTCAAAAATAATAATTTTCACACATTTCATAGGTGAGAGAATACTTTGATAATGAACTAAATAGTTGAATCCAAGTTTGCTACGATCAAATTGACTCTTGATTATTTCGAAAATTTTGGTAGCTTATCTACGGGAAACTGGTAATTTCATACCCAAAATTTTAAATCGTTTCAATCTATATATTTTCGATTCACCCAGTTTTCACTTATGGAATAATGAAGAGTGTATTTGATGAAATCGAAAATTCCTTTTATCTATCAAAACAGATTAGTAAGTTGCTTTAGGAAACCACACTCCCGCTATGTGCTCGTGTGGTTTCCAATCAACATACGGACCCGGATTAGCCATAAGGCTAACCTTGGCAATGACCTAGGGCGCACGCTTGCGGATGGCACACAATACGGGAAAATCTGACGTCATCTGACGAATACGGTCACGTGACTGCTGCAAACTGCCGCCATCTTTCTCAATATGTTTTTTTGTTGATCGTTATTATCTGTTATATATATGCTTACTTAAATCGCAAATTTAAGCTTTCCATACATTATGGAATTTGGATCACTGTTATTGCTTGATCGATACGAATTTTTATCTTGGAAAATACTTTAAAATGTATTCAACAGGACTAAAAATAAAAATGTGTTATTAGCTCAAATAACCACAACGAAGCTCTAAAACGAGGTTTACTGTTATATATGCCCAACAAATTCCATGCTCAGACCTATTGGAAGGGGAAGTAATTTCGAACTTCGGCCTAAGACGTAAATAACCGCTAGTTCCGGGACTGGTAACATACCTAATTCGTTTCTCAATCGAAGGGATTTATATTTCCATAATCATCGATATACTAGGTGTATTACATACGATCATTTATGTCATTTTTCATTATTTATGCTCCGAGTGGGAATCTCATTTCATTGTTTTATAGAACATGGAAACCATGCATGACTCATGGTTTGATGTATTGCTTTTTACACGATATTTTACTTCTAGGTTGAACCTGCTCCTTTAGCAATAATGGGCCAGTTTTCTTCTTTACAAAGGGTTTCAAGAATTCTGAGTGCAGCTCCTTTGAATCATCTTCTATTCTACCTAGCTATTGTCAGTTATAGGAAAGCTTGCACTCTAAAGAGACTTCATCCACCAGAAGGAGATACATTCAGCCAGTCTGATTCTACGACATATTACGAAGATATGATTATGTGCTCTGATGAGAGTTCTACAGATGAAGGTATGATGAATGTACATGTCATATACCATATATGCAGGCAATTAAGTACTTCTATAATAGAATAAAAACCACGTAATTATAGAACACATCATTAATGAGGAAAAAATTGAGAAATGGCTTAGCTCCAATCTTCTTTCTCTCAATTATATTTAGTCTCAATATATAATTTTTTGACAAAGAAATAAACAAAATATTCATCTTGATATATAAAAAAAGAATGTTTGAAACAAACTGCCCATGTCAAATACCTTGGTATTTGGATTGATGAGAAATTAACATGTGAAAAGCATATTGACATCCTCAGAGGAAAAATATCTACCATTATTGGTGCTTTAAGAAGATGTCCTAAACTTATACCTAAAATTCAGTAGAGCATCATATAATCAATACTCCTGATATTTCCTTTCATCAACAAAAAACTTGAATCAAATTTCACATTGATAAGGAATACCCAATTTCATGGTCATCACACTAGACAATATAAATTGTTTCATCTTGAAGCTGCCAATTATACACTTAAAAAAAACGTTTACACATGAGGTGATCTCAAAATTCAATAAATTACCAGATGATATTAAAAACAGACAAAATATACTATTCCAAAAAAAAGTGGAGAAATATATCCAGATGCAAAGAAATGATCGAAGCTGAGACTTTATGAATTCTTTTTTTTTTCTGTGTTTTTTTTCTTTCACTATGAGTACTGTTATTTTGAAATATCTTGATGGTATGTAAGTTTTGTTCACGAATTGTAATTTTATTCATACAAAGTCAATAATCTTATACCAGGAACAGTAATCCATTCATGTATTTATATTAAAATGTAATATCAAAGAGAAATTTAATGCGATGACTAAAATAAATATTCATGTGCTTATTATGTCCATCATTAAAAAAAGCAATGTAAATGGGCTAATGAAACTGTCTGCTGGATCTTTGTGTAGAGATTGAAATTGCATATGCTAGGAAATTGCTAACTTTATTCTACAAACGAATATATCACCATGTATCGAAGTCTTTTTTTATCTCATGGGGCGTATAGAAATCCAATACATACAATAAATGAGACGACATATGAACTATTCAGCAGTCAAAAATCAATAAAAGTCGATATAACCGTAATATCCACCAATATGTTCAAAAGTTACTTGACACTATGCACAGAGAAATGTTGGAATTTGATTTGTTTGTTTGTAGTCTCCCTAGTTTAATGAATTCGAATATGTTTGAAATTCTAAGAGCAGCACAATTTTTTGTTACAGATGATGACAGTGAACCTATTTTGGGACAGTGGTTTGAGGAAACTCTCGCTCCTCCCGAAACTACCGAATCAAAAACTCCATCAAGCTCGGAAAATGTAGAAACCAAGGCAGCCCAGAGCGAAAGGGCACGATCAGTGGTTCCAGAGAAAGGAGAAGCACACGGTTATATAGCGTTAGCTACAAATATATTTGTGTTCATGAATAAACATTTCTTATGTTCCAAGAGTAACTTTATTGTAAGATATGTGAAGAATGGACTCACAGAACAGCAAATGATTATTTTGTCAGCCATTATTAGAGATTTGGACAGGGAAACAGCCAGAACAGAAATGGGTGAGTCTTCCAAATCATTTTGATATATATATATATATATTTCACAATATGTTGAGTGGTCCACATAACATTCTTGTGTATTTCAATTAATAACTACAAAAACTTCCACGAACCTTGTCTCAACCAATGAAGCTGGTATTTCATATTTCTTTAAATCCATGTTCATCATTCAGTTTATACCGGATGATCATGCGAACAAGGTTAACCTTGGAAGTTTTGTATGGTTGAGAATAAAATTTTGAAATTTTAACTGATAAAAAGATACACTGGTTAACGGTTTTATGTTAGAACTGATTTTTTTGTATCTAGGTTCCTTGTACTTATGTATTTCGTTTCTCTATACAATATTTCAATTCAATGCATCAACATCGTTCATTCAAAAATCATTATAATTCGAAAAGGATGTAGTTTAAGTTCTTTGGAACCCAATAGATAGTTTCAAAATATTAGCGCCTCTTTTCAATGTTAGGCAACTGTGATTTGCATCAGTATACTGTATGTGTTTCATGCAGTATACTTCTGCTTGGGGTGTTGAAAAATAATAAAATGTTTGTGCAGAAAATGTATTGGAATTCAATTCAAAAATATTGTTTCAGGAACTATTTCAGCCTATTTTGGTGCTCCCCTAGGTCACCTTTATTCTGAATTTTCTGGTGCTCTGACAAAATTCACACACAATCTAATTACAAACAACAATTTGGCTACCTTACAAGCATGTCTGCTCAATCATCTTGGAGTGTCTCCGTGGAATACTGATGTACCTCACGGTTGGCCATTGCAGGTGTATCCTCGTACGCTGGCAGTCTTAGCCCAGGTAAATGATATTGATTGTTTTCTTCACAAGTTGAAATCAGAGATGTAAGTAATCAATCAATAGCAATTCGTGATTCTAGCGAATATTCCGATATTGTACTGATGAAACTGCCGCTTTTTGATAAAACATCGTTTACATTGAACTGTCGAAGTCAATTCGATATGATATCTTGATTTTTGGACCTATCTTATATTGTATGTAACAAGTCAATTACCAATTCTTCCAGATATCAAAACGAAAACTTGTTCATCTTCATTCAACATGATAACATAAATGTACCTGATAAAAACTGATTGTATATGCAGTTAGCAGTTTCATTAGATTAAAAAAAAGAATTTAGATAGAATCTAACTTGATTTTTGCCAAATAAACCAGTTGGCATGGTATGAAAAATAAGATTTGATAATCCCGTCTCATTTTATTTTATGAGGTCCCATAAAAATCATAGATGATTACTATTAATTTCGTGAAAAATCGTCAAAGTTGTCATTGGTTTAATAAAATAATCTTGTTCTAAAAACGGAAACTCACACATTTCGATTGTTTTCTTGTTCTTTATTTACAGGTTCTACTTCTCAGACCTCAAAATGAGAAAGAAGCATCAGTTATTAGTATTTGGCATAGACTTGTTAATACATTGATTGAAAATGTTCTGAACAGTCCACAAACATCTACAGTAGAATCAGAGAATGACGGTAAGACATTAAAATTATTTTGCATGGTTCACCCATTCCAGTTGGGATTTTTTTTTTAAGATTTGAATGTGGAACACGCTCAAGTTCTCTTGTACCTTTTCCACTCTTTGAATTTGATGCAGAAGAAATCTGTAGTCCTTCTTATGGCTGGAGGAGTCTTGAGATGTTCCGAAGTAGCAAGAGGCCCTTTGAAAGATTCACAACTTCTACATTTGTCTAGATTGCTGCTTCTTTTTGATTATATCATGAAACATTTATATGATGCACCCACATCTCTTCTGGAACAGGTAATATTACTTCTATTATGAACATGTTGATTGTTATTAAACATTGATTACCTTTAGATTCAGTGGAATTTGTTTTATTCCACTAATTTGAACACAAATAAGGACAATGAAAATGGGATTACTAGAATGTATGCTGCCTGGCAAGACATTGAGGAAAACTACCGAAAAATTTCAGCTGCAGATGAGTTTGCAATGAAACCTCGCTTTTATGTCCTAACAAACTTAGAGATCAACAATCAGGATGCACCTAAACTTGATGGCCTTGCTTGCAATTTTATTTTAGGGACACCTGATAAACTTCGATACCCCTTATTGCTGGACGCTCTTATTGAAATTTTGAATATAACTCATGTGACCTCAGGAGCAAACGCTGCAAAGATGAGTTTTCTAGGACTGTGTGCGACTCAGTATTGTTTCATGATATGTTGGAGGTAGAAATCTACTAAAATATTCCTGATCAATTTCTACTTTCAATTTTGCAGGTTATTACAACTCCTTCCCCCTTCAGCCTCTTACATGGAACGTCTAACGACTGGAGAAAGTTTAGCTATAGGGCCCCTTTTATTACACTCTTTGATATGGGGCCCCAGGGCTTCTCAGAAAAACTTTAGCAGATGGTTGAAAGATTGCTTAGTGAAACAAGGAATGTACACACAACATACAGATAAGCTACTCAAAGCAGTATCAGAAACGGTTAACAATATGAAATATGATATAAGCAATGCTAAAAACTGTATAATTGCCTTGACACCTGATGTCAAGAAAGGATTAGTTACTAAAGAAAATCTTCCTCCGCTCTGGCATCTCTATCTTTTAGATGCTCTTTTAGCGAAAGTACAAATTTCAATGGAAGAACCTGATAGTAATTCAGAATCTGCATCTATATATGTACTAGAAGGTACTTACGTTCAAGATCTGCTGCCACATGTATTGAGGCTCACTCAGGCTATTCTCCACTGTCTGCGGTGGTCTGTGCTTCACATTATCGTAGATCAAAGTGATGCCTCTGAGAAACTCTCTCTGCAAGATTTTGAAGGACTCCAAGATGTGTTGGCGATCGCGTCAAATAAAAATACTTTGACTAATACCTTAGCATCAGAAATAACTTCACTTATGCCTAGTTGTATCAGTTCTGCACAATTACAAGCATATAAGCCTGTTCTAGATGAAGCTTCCTTGGTGAGTTATATAAACTTTAAACAAACACTGAAATATACCTAGTGAAATTCGCAATACCTGGTATTTAATGACAACCATAAAAGTAAATAATTGGAATATTCCTCAGAAACTACCATCACTTGTTCGAAAATTCTTCTACTACTTGCTAACTTTGAAAAAAGTTTTTGTGTTTGCAGACAGGGATAAAATTTCACACACTAGGGCCATCGATATTGCAAATTAATAGGCGAGAACACTAATTTCTATAAAAAAACATCATGACGTTCATCACAATTGGATAATACTAATAGTATATTGGAGTAAAGTGAATAGGTCGTCGTGCTCGAAATAGAGCAAGTGTTTCAGAAACCACTTTTCCACGAATACTTAACCCTATTTTTTTTTCATTGGTACACAGAGATCATAAATACTAGTATTATCATTACAAAAAAATGGCAATAACTAATAATGTAAAATAGTTGAATGTCATGGAAATGAGGAAAAAATAAACTGAAACATTTGTTAGTGATATTTAAACGTTGGCATTTATACTTCACGATTCTCGGGTCGTTGATGTTGCCGTGGTAACATTGAAAAACGTGTTTTTGAAAAGTTGGATTCGAATATGCTGAGGCGTCCTTCAGATAAGCAAAAGTTCCACCAGATCAAATTCCCAATTAAATGATTCTGTTTGTACACTACGAAAAACCACTAGTGGTGCTGACGAAGCAGTAACTATATTATAAAGCGCAGCAGATTTGAAAATTGAATAAAATGCAAACTGTTCCAAAATAATCGAATTCTTTATTTTATCCTGATTCATTAAAATTTTGAGGGCTTACGCGGTCATGAAATGACTGTTGTACACCATGAATTTTAGGTATCATCACAAAATGTGCCTCTTCAAAGAAGTAAACGATATCGTCTCGAGGCAACACAGCGAATTGTCAGACTCAAAAATCACATGGGTCCAATTATTGGACGAAAACCACCTTATAGGGGTGCAAATGTAGGTGTTCATTCACGATTCGCTGAACGTTTCCGAAATGAACGCCTGGGAGATTGTTTAATTCGAGCTCATAACCTTTTGTTATTTTCTGAATTAGTAACATTTCCGGGATCCTGAAACGCATTAATCCACGCGAGAATTCGATTTTGATTGGGAATTTGGCCGCAGGGAGTGTTATTGAACCTTGAACGGAAGGCATGCTGCACATGAACGATCGAACGGGCGTGCACCTAAAAGACTCGTTTTCGAATGGACCACTCCATTATATAGCGACTGAAACCCCGTGGAACATAAACTTCCCATCCTACACTTTCGAAATGTCTAGGACAAAAAAAACAACACCTAATATTTCGTTGAAAAAGACACCTGGCAACACCGAAAATGGGATTATGATGTCAGTACTGGCTAGACGAGTGTGTTGCCAACAGTAACGTTTGAACATTTTTTCACTGATGTTTTTGGGTGGTGTGCTTGGGAATATCTTCGCATATCTCGAATTATATTCACGCATTTGTGTTAATATTATCAGTTTTTATCTTTTTAGGTTTCCTACCAGAATGATATCATTCCTTCAGAGACTTTCATACTAAAAGTTGTAGATGCTCATATCTCAACCCTTTCCATGAGCAGCCCGTTCAGTATAAATTTGTCTCTCAAACGACTTCTGCAGTGCTTAACGAAGTTCATCTGTGATCATGCTCCCAAAGCAGAAAATACTGACACCAAAAATAAAGCCATAGAAATGCTTGTTTCGATAACTTTAGATTTGAGAACTGAATATTTACATGATACTGTTACGAAAACCTTAGATAAAATGATTGGCGATACAGAGACTGATGAACACCAGAAACGTGTCTATTTGAGGGTCTTGGATCATACTTATAGGTTGATAATCAACTCTACTTCATCAAGTTGTGGAAACTATGGTACTCACATAAACGAGAAAGTGTTACACCATTGCTTGAAGTTTTACGAGAAAATATTGGAAAAATCATCTGGTAGACAAGCACTGGAATCATTTTTTGTTGGAGATAAGGACCTTGTGAAAGTTCTGATGTCAGTTTCTAGTTCACAAATGACTCAACAGTACAGTACGAGAGTTTTACATTTCTTCAATAAACTATTCCAAGCTGCAGAGAAAAGCTCAACTGATCCAAGTCTGAATTATCTCTGTTCCAGCATGAGCAAAATTGCTAATGTAGATAGTGAGAATCTGCAAATATGGTTGAGACAAATTATTATTGGATCTAGTAATATCTCACTTCCGTTAACAACAGTAACGCTGAATAAAGGCGAGACACCATCATCGAATGGTTCCAAGTGGACAATTACTACTGCAGAAAGCAAAGAGAATAGCTCTTCTCCAACTTCCAATGAGGAGCAAAAATCTCTAGTTCAAGAAAATAGTCAGTTGCTTCAATCGTTGACTAGTTTTATAGTGAAGCAGAACAGTAATGTATCCGAAGATGTTTCAGTCACTATTCTCAAGGCACTAATACAGTTAGGGAAACATTTGTTGTCCCCTGCACTTGAGGGAGCTGGTTTTACTGACTTGATGGTCGACATGACCATGTTAGCTGATGCAGGTTCTGGCAAAGGTAAGGTTTGTTTGTTTCAGTTCTAGATTAACCATTTTCATGTTCAGGGTGTTTTCTATCAACGCTGCCAAAATCGTTTTTGATGATTGCTATAGAATTGACTTGGCGAACATTATCAGTATGATTGATTGATACAATACACCCTTACTGAATTGCTTTTTCAATGATAACTCAATAGGGAAGCTTCTTTCGGACAATTCCCTCAAATAATTTCAAATTACTTAGTAATATATTTTTACTATCTATACCTTTTCAACTTCAATTTCGGAATCAGTAAGTTATATTTCGGAAAAAGTAATCTCGATTTCAGAATTGGTTAGTTCGATTTCAGAAATGGTAAAGTCAATTTCAGAATCGGTGAGATGAATTTCAGAGAAAGTCCATTCAATTTCAGAAATGGTAAGTTGTATTTCAGAATTGGTAGGTTCAGAAAATAAATTCTTATATTTGTTTGAAATGTTTCCAATTGCATGTGAGATTAACAAACCATATTTACAATATTCAACTCTTCAAAAACAATTCAAAAACATAATTATAATCTCAATTTAATCCACAGATGTCTTCCATCCGAATCGCAGAAGGATAGTAGCGTTGCACATGATTATAAGAATGCAAACACATTTGAGGTGTTATCATTTCCATTGAATGATCTGCACATTCTTCAAGACATCGCAGTCTGAATTCTATCTGGTTGAGCAATCTGTTCGGATCCCCAGCTATGACCCTTTGGCGATGCTCTTGCAAAAAGCTCTTCACTTCTGACTTGAAGGCACTCCATATATGTTCAATCGGATTCAACATAGGGCTGTAAGGTGCCAATCTGCAAAATATAACATCTTGAAATTCTTCCTCCATGCATATTTGTTCTACTCTTGAATGTGCAGGTGCATTATCCTCAACTATCACTATGGCATCTGCAGGATGTCCATTTCAAAAGCACACTCTCAAACACCGTTCCATCGAACCTACCAATTCTGAAATACAACTTACCATTTCTGAAATTAAATGGACTTTTCCTGAAATTCATCTCACCGATTCTGAAATTGAGTTTACTATTTCTGAAATCGAACTAACAAATTCTGAAATCGAGATTACTTTTTCCGAAATATAACTCACCGATTCCGAAATTGAAGTCGAAAAGGTATAGAGTGGTCTTAATAGCATTGATCTTTTCAAAATATGTTATTCTGGGAGCAGTAAACTATAACGTAGAAAATGAATATGGAGCGAACACAGTTATGATATGTTTCGTAGTGCAACATACGGAAAGAAGTACGGAAAGAATTAGGAAGCATAAACCTAAAAACAATTTATTCATATTGATAATGCGCAGCTGCCACAACTTTCATAAAAAGACAGGTTGAATACGTTTGGAAGAAATTGAAAATTTGTATTGTTGATTTGAGGAAAAAAGGGTCATTCTTTATAAAAAATGTATGCAAAGCCTGGAACCGAAAATGCAATTTTCGGGGGTATCGAATTTGTTCGGTCGTCTACGAGGTATGTCAAAAACTGTTTTATTTTGTTCATGAGGAAAGTACCTTCATTTTCGACAATATTCACAATTATACATCTATCTACGATGAAAATCAATTCATTATTTTTCACAATTTCTGATCGATTCATATGGAAAACTTGTATTTTTAGTTTTACGGAAAAAAGTCAATATGAAATGTTTTCGGTGTGAAAAATAATGAAACCTGATTTTCATCGTTGACAAATGTATTTCAGATAATTGAATGAAGTTTTTTATTTTGGTCAACTTTTTCGTTGAAAATTTTCGATATAGTCGAAAATAAAGGTACTTTACTCTTGAGCAAAATTAAAGTTTTTTTTACATACCTTATATGCGACTCGGAAAAATTGACATCAGATAATTGTATTCCCGGTTTCTGATCTTGTAGAACTTCTTATGAAGAAGGATTTTTTTTTCAAATCAATAATGAAACAGTTTTCCATTTGTTGCCAAATTTTTCAGACATGCTGTTTATCCTCTATAATTTTGTACAATAATTGTTCGGAATGAAATTTTTGAATAATCCCTGTCTATATGTCCTGCAGACTTTTTTGGCATGCGGCTGCATGCGTACTTTCTCTATTAGTGCGTAATATGCTTTTTGCAACATGTAACATACTATTTTACATTCGAGTTTCTGTGATACACTTGTTACTTTGAAAAACTGCCCGAAAAAGTTTGATTGTCAACATGAACTGTTTTTGACCACTACCGGTAAAAGCGGAAGTCCTAGGAGTTCGGAAATATTTTAGATGGAGGTTTTCATGATGATAGTTCAATGCTTTACCACATATTTGGAAAACAATCAAAATATTATAAATATAGGCGACTGATATATTTGACTGATACCAGGTTTTTCAATTGAAGCGCAATGAACAGATGAAAGGAGGAAATTTAAACATTATTCATTCCAGGAAATCATACTTTCAGTTCATCAAAGAAATAAAATTCAAAATATTGAATAGTTACTCATCAATCGATTATATTTAACATTATTGTCATATTATTCAGGTCACAGTTTTCTATTTCCTGCTACTGCTGAATGGATAGAAATCTGCAGTAAACGAATCTCTATGAAGGAAGTCACGGAAAATGTCAGCGCAGATCCCGATTGCAAAAAGCAGAACACTATGCTGGAAGCAGCATCTTGTATTCTTGAATATGTTAGTGATGTCATTGCTGGAATCACTTCCCAACAACCACACTCCATAAGACCACTCAGTCCCCCATGGGAAAGTGAATCCCCTCTAGATCTAGATTACGAGTGGCAAGATTTCACAAATGATGATGATGAGAGTGGGGAAGACAGCGATGAGGATTCTCTGTCCAATAAACTTTGCACCTTCACTGTTACCCAAAAAGAATTCATGAACCAGCACTGGTATCATTGTCACACTTGCAAAATGTTAGATGGCGTTGGTGTGTGTTCCATATGTGCCAGAGTGTGTCATAAGGGTCATGATTTGAGCTATGCCAAGTATGGTAACTTTTTTTGTGATTGTGGTGCCAAAGATGATGGGTCGTGTCAAGCACTGGTGAAAAGGAGCCCACAGTCTGTCGAGACAAACCAAGCCGTGGGACTGGTTTCGACTCAACCTTCAGTTGGTTTCAGTTCGGAACAAATGCTGACTAGTTCTCTGAGAAGAAGGGCATCCTCACCTATCCCTTCAGATAAGGTATGTGGTATTATACTAAGTAACAGGTTTGCAATTTTGGTTGGATATTTCTAATTGCTATTTTTTGTTATCAAATCTGAAAATGTCATTATTCAAGTGTTGTTCTACGTATGTGTGACAGTTTTTCTTGATCTCTTGAGATTCCCTTGGCCGACTGTGATCATTAAATTTTTTCAATATTTCCGACGATAGTAGCTTTTTAGTAACAGATACGAACAGTTATTTATACAATTTACTTGCTATCAAAATGTACTACTCTAACTTTTTTAATCATTTTAATATAATTAAAGTAAATTTAATTGAAAACTACTTCCATATTGAATCAACTGAGAAAGAGTAAATATTCTCATCACATAGAGAATGCGAATTCTCAATGTATTGCTTTATTTATTTATTTATTTATTTATTTATTGAACAAATAACTTCCAGACAGAATAGGCTCTGGTATAAGGAAGTACATAATTATATACCTATAGGTAAACATAGCATCATTCAAAATATATCAACAACTGTAAATTGGCAAACAAAGAATAATATTTGTAAAAAAAAAAAAAATGGCATGATTAATTTCATCAAGTCCGCTGAGAAATAATTAGTTTTTTTACTTCATTTTTGAATATACCTATATTTCTGCAATACAATTTCAGACGTCCCCACCTGAAAATTTTAACTGTGACACCCATAGATCGAAATTATTGAAAAGCCTCTTGTTCTTTCGACTTATTTTGATAGGTTCTATAAAGTTGTGAGTGAACAGCTTAACTTCGATAAGATTTTTGTTGACAAAATTTGAATCTCGAGTGTTATGGGTATTAGACATATAATCAACTGTTAACGTGTCAATAAGTTAGAACGTGCTTGAAAGTCTGTGTTGATATCATAATTTATAGGACTATGTATACAAATCAATATATTTGGGAAAACTAGACTAGGGTTATTTTATATTCACATCTGGTTACGGAGAAACCTCCATCTTGAATTCTTCAAGTTAATTTCTGACTACATCTGATGTGTACTAGGAGAGCCAAACATAAAATTAATGACGGTTGACTTATTCATTCAGGATCCATAAATCAGAAGAAACATCTGAACAATAAAATGAAATTAATAGAGATAGAACACCGACACAACCTGCTGTCTAGACCGCCAATGTCATAAGAATGGAACTCATCCATTTACAAGATCGACTTGAACCCCATGAAGCATGCACATTTAGGACCTGTATCTTACTCACTTCGAATCATGTATCCTAACCCTAAGTGATTTATTTATTTATTTATTTATTCATTTATTGACAGGCGAAACCAGTGTAAATGAAAAAAACTTAAATGTATAGCCTATACAAGAGATTCCTAGATATATCACAGAACATTGATGAAGATAGATTTATACATATATACACATTAAATATAAAGACATCACATTAGGGCAAGAATGCGTTTGGCTCTTTAAGTGCCATTGTTAAAAATGTCCCAGTTCACTCTGTTACTCAGCGTCATCATCCTGTTTATCGGGTTATTGTTTGCATATATAGTTCTATGAGTTTCTAAATTGAATGTGCTGCTATAACGTAATCGTTTTTGAGGAACATGAAATTTGAGGGAGGCCAATAATTCAGGACTATCAATCTGATCATTACATATTTTTTCAATAGTGATGATATCCATGTTGCTTCTACGCTCTTGTAGGCTTTTCATGTTCAGGCAATTCAAAATATTATCAATTAAATTCCTCCATAGGAATCGAGCTTGAAGCCAATATAACGTAAAAAACGTTTCTGAACTCTTTCTATTTTCATGATATGAGCTTGGAAGGCAGGACACCATACAGAGCTGATATTTTCAAGTTGAGAGCGTACAAATGAAAAGTAAAGGGATTTCAACCCAACAATATTATGAAAGTCCCTTGTTGATCGTTTGAAAAACCCTAGCATCTTCAGAGTTTTATTATAGTAGAAGATCCGAACCTAAGTCGACCTTCACCGAGCTGATAATAGAACGAAATATATTTTATCATGAATTTAGTATATTAGAAAACATATTAAAAATGGGTTGCCTAAAAAAATCCTGGGCAGACTATTTTTAATTATTTTTCGAAAAATTATTTTTAATTAAATGTTGCAACATCAGGATAATAAAAAAATTGTGTCCTGACTGAAAGTATGAAACGTATAGAATGTGCAGCCGTTGGGGTGTCTACTATTTACCTGGGCGAACTACTGGGTTGTCAGGTAAACACAGGTATATCGATGCCAGTTACTTTCACTGGATTGGATAATTTAAAAAAATGTATATCATCATAAGCGCTGTTTAATTGCGAACACGTTGATATAGGGTTGTCTGCGAAAATTCCGGTCCGATTAGGGGTTTTTAATTTCAACGCGCGTGGAAGTGTGTGACAGAGAGATCCGAGGTAAGTATACTGTGTGATAATAAAGGACCCAACATCGCAGTCGCTTGTGATGGGACCCTGAATAGTAGAAAGTGTGCGAAGTCAAATCCTGAAAACTATGGTTGGCATTTTGATGATTTCTTAAAACCAACAGGTTTTATCGGAGATCAAACTCCTTTGAAAATCCAGGACATTGTCGAAATGGAAGCAAATGAGGAAGAATCTAATGAATCAGACGAATTCGAGAGTCAAAATGATACTTCTGATGAATCAGATATTGAATAGATAATATTTATTAGAATTTATTTTTCATTAATATCATTTTTGTATTTATACTGTTTTTTAATAAAATTTTAAATCGTAATACAAGATGTCTAGTCTATCTTTTTTGTTATTTCTTAATTTAAATTTTTGGCGGTCCACTTTGTTTCTATTTCCAGAAAGAGCAAAAAAATTTCAAAGTAAGTATTTGATATTTTATTGTCTATTATAGATTATAGATATATCATTATGGTTATAACGCAATATACTGATATTATATTGTTTTTATATATTAGTATTATATTAAATATATTTAATTATTATGTAATTAATTAATAATTTTTTTTTGCTACTGAAATATCAGTTGCTCCAAAATAACACGCACTGTTTACTATATGAAGGGTAGTAGAGGTACCTCTACCCTCCATAGTTTACACACCGAGCATGCGCACTTTCTACTATTCAGGGTCCCATCACAAGCGACTGCGATGTTGGGTCCTTTATTATCACACAGTATACTTACCTCGGATCTCTCTGTCACACACTTCCACGCGCGTTGAAATTAAAAACCCCTAATCGGACCGGAATTTTCGCAGACAACCCTATATCAACGTGTTCGCAATTAAACAGCGCTTATGATGATATACATTTTTTTAAATTATCCAATCCAGTGAAAGTAACTGGCATCGATATACCTGTGTTTACCTGACAACCCAGTAGTTCGCCCAGGTAAATAGTAGACACCCCAACGGCTGCACATTCTATACGTTTCATACTTTCAGTCAGGACACAATTTTTTTATTATCCTGATGTTGCAACATTTAATTAAAAATAATTTTTCGAAAAATAATTAAAAATAGTCTGCCCAGGATTTTTTTAGGCAACCCATTTTTAATATGTTTTCTAATATACTAAATTCATGATAAAATATATTTCGTTCTATTATCAGCTCGGTGAAGGTCGACTTAGGTTCGGATCTTAGACTATTACAGATAAATTCAATATGAGGAATGAAGCTAAGTTTAGAGTCAAAAAGTATACCTAGATCTTTCATAATGTCTAAATTTTCAATGACCACATCATTTAATGAGTACTCATCAATGTTAATCATGCTGTGGTTTCTGCTGAAACGAATATATTTACATTTCGATATATTCAGAACTATTTTTTTTTGTGGCACCACAAACAGAACCTGTCCAAGTCCTCTTGAAGATGAGTTGAGGAGGAGGGTCCCTCCAATTTGAGATATATTTTCATATCGTCAGCATATAATAATATTGAACTGAATTTGAAGCAAGAAGAAACGTCATTAACAAATAAATTGAACATTAAAGGTGCTAAATGAGCTCCTTGAGGAACTCCAGAAGTGATTAAAATTTCATCTGACAAAGGGGAGTTAATCTTAACTATTTGCCTGCGATTATCTAGATAGGATTTTAGCCAAGTCTACAAACTGCCTCCAAGGTATTTGGACAACTCAAATGCCTTGGAGAAGTCTGTGTATACTGCATCAACGCTGAGTCCCTTCTCCAAGGCATCGACAATGTATGTCTCATAGAGTAAAGTGATGTCGCAAATGACAGTTTGGATCTTTGTGCAAAATCGTGTTCAGGCGAGCAATTTGGATGGGATTTTTGGGTTGATGTGATATAACATATAGTGAGTGGTCGAGATAGTAGTTTATGTCGGTTGAATAAAACAACTAATATTGCTAGTAGTACACTTATCTAAACTTCGCCTCAATTTGTATTTAAGGGATTTACTGATCATGAAAATATCCTATTTTAGTTCATACTTGTTTATTAGTAAAATCAATAATTTATCTTCTAGGTTCTTTATAAAGAGAAAAAAGCCGGATGCATCGTGAAACAACTAGATAGTTCCAAAGAATTCATCATTAATTATCTAGGATCGAGCTCAGTAACTGGGTCTTTATTAGAATTTCTCCAAACCTTGATTCCAGCTGTTGAAGAAACATGTCGTCAAAACTCGCCTGTAGGATGTCACGTTCGAGGGGTCAAAGCCCTAGAACAACTATACTACAATAACGAAAAGAAGTACATTTATACAGATCAGCTCATGGTTCCTACCCTAGGTTCTCAAGAAGGTGCTTTTGAAAATGTACGCATGAGTTACGCTGGTGAGCAAGGACAGACGATAAGACAGCTATTATCGGCACATATTGTGAGACGAGTTGCCATGTGTTGCATGACCTCAACACAGGGTCGTAGACAACATTTAGCCGTTTCCCATGAAAAAGGAAAGATCACCGTATTACAGTTATCTGCTCTTTTGAAGCAAGCAGATTCTTCTACTAGAAAATTGACTTTAACAAGACTTTCGACAGCTCCTATTCCATTCACAGTACTTTCTTTGTCAAGCAATTTGTGTAATGAAGATTTTCTAGCCGTATGTGGATTGAAAGATTGTCATATACTCACTTTCACCTCAGGAGGATCGGTTTCTGACCACTTGGTCCTACATCCTCAACTTGAAACAGGGAATTTCATTATAAAAGCTCTATGGCTGCCTGGTTCCCAAACTGAACTAGCTTTGGTTACCGCAGATTTTGTTAAAGTATATGATCTTGGGATTGATGCTCTAAGTCCTCGTTACTTCTTCTTGGTTCCAAGTGGAAAGATTAGAGACTGTACTTTTATGTATGAAGATGGAATCTATCACATACTCCTGATGTCTTCTCCTGGTCATATTTATACTGAAGTCTTGAATGAAGATTCTTCAACCAAGTATGGCACTTTTTATGTGACGAATACTTTGGATGTCTATCATCTAGATGTAACGGTAATTTTAATACTAGAAAAATATGAACAAATATACTAAACTTTTTCCTTTTTAGGATGTCAATGGACAGTTAGCGGGGGGTGGAGTTTCGATATACTATTCTCATACTTTAGGACTCTTATTCTACAGTTATGCCCAAGGCAAAAGCTATATTTCACCAATTCTGCCTAAAAACAATACTCTGCCACTTGTTTTCCCAATAAATTTACCCACTTCTAATAATAATACTTCGAAAAGTAATGGATCTAGAAATTCAACCAACCAGCCTTTGTGCCAGTGGACTGAAATTCCTAATCATCCTGGTTTGATTTGCTGTGCAATGCAGTCTAGTAATAATCCAGTCATCATTATGTTGAAACCAGACTCTATTATGATACAAGAAATCAGGGTTGTCCCATCGAAATCTAAAATTATGGATATGGTAGCAATAAGACACAGTTCTGGCAATGATCTGAGAACAACTCTGATTTTGCTATGTGAAGATGGAAGTTTGAAAATGTACATGGCAAATATGGAACAGACAGGTAAACCAGTTTCACAGCATAAGGATTAAACAACAGATTCACTTGTATCCACGGTACATGCAGTCGAAGTGTATTCCTGCTGACCTTGAACCACTACTTTGCTCTTTGAATGGTGAACTTGGATGACACTTTGCATCCCCACAACACTGCTCAGGATGTCATGCGCGTACTTAGGTATTTCAACGAAGTGACGCTGCTGTTTAATCCAAATGATGTGCCAGTTATAATAATAATTGAGACATAGGCCATTTACTGTAAGTTGAAAGTGACGTCATACTGTACCACAAAATATACTACATGGTAAATCGGCGAGCCGCGTTACCAACTTATGTTGGCAGAATAATACATGGATGCCAGGTTTATTTAACATTTTCAGAAGGGATTAGTTGTGATCAACTAATGAACCCCACAAAATAATAATAATGAGCAACACAGTCAGCTCCCAACCGCAATTATTTTAAATCATCTTTCAACTCAATTTACTATATTGAAGGAAAAAATCAAATAAAACAGTATATAGTATATGCTTTAAGCAATTGCTTGAAGCGTACAGTAGTACCAAGATAAGGACTCTCAAGAGAAATTAACATGCAACATAACTGGCTGAGTCAGAATTTATATACACTACTGGACACAAAGAAATAAAAGATCATAAGAAGAGCTGCTATTTAGAAATTGGTGATTAACTTTTATTTTTTTTTATTTTTTTATTATTTTTATTTATTGAACGAATAACTTCCAGACAGAATAGGCTCTGGTATAAGGAAGTACATAATAATACAGGTACTTATTGGTAAACATATCATCATTGAAAATATATCAACAACTGTAAATTGGCAAACAAAGAATAATATTTGTAAAAAAAAATGGCATGATGAATTTTATTCAGTTCGCTCAGAAATAATCAGTTTTTTTACTTCATTCTTGAATGTACCTATATTCCTGCAATTTTTAATATTGCCAGATAGTTTATTGAATTCAGTTAAGGCTGAATGGGTGAATCTTTTTTGTACGATTACGGAGCTAGCGGCGTCAAGATGAAACAAGTTATATTGTCTAGTTTCATGATTATGAATTTCAGAATTCTGTATCAAAATAGTATTCGACTTCCATTTTTTATATATGATATTATATGATATTTTAAGGGTTTCAATTCTATATATTTCATCTAAAGAATACGTATTTGTTATTTCATACAATTGATTGGTTGGTGTATCAAATAGGAGACGATACAATGCTTTTAACGGTTTTCTATATAACTGCGTGGTTACCATCTCTTCTTTATTATCAAGTATGAAAACAATTTGAAATGGAATCTTTTTCAAATTCCTGGTGTCAATCCGATGACCCTTGTTTAAACTTTGTGTAATGATAGTGTTGTAGAACAAGATAAAACCAATCGTTTCCTTTTATGATATTGCTGACATTGAATAATTCTATCAATCCTAGATCTCTTTATATAGACAGCCATATATCTCATTAATAACAAACAAGAAGTGAAAGTTGACCCATTTCAGAAGCGGAGTAGAAGGGTTCGCACCTGACCTTGTTTATATTCATTATAAGTTACATTGCTTCTGAGAATGGTCATTCGTCGAATTATATACCCTTCAATATATATCTTTTCAGGATTTTGGATGTCTAGAAGTGTGCAAGCCACAATACCCAGTACACTACTCAAACCGAAGAAAAAGAAAGTTGTGAAATCTGGAGGAAAATCGTCGAATCAAGTCACATTTCCTGTTGATTTCTTCGAAAACTGTGTCGCTATGAATGACATCGAATTAGGAGGTAATGACCTCTTACAAATTTACAATCAAGCTCAGTTGAAACATCGGTTGAATACCACGGGATTATATGTGGCCTGTAATAAACCAATAGGGTTCTCCATTGATATCACAAATAATGACTCCAACATGGTATTGACTGGTATAAGAGTATTGGTTGGAAGTCAAGACATTCAAAGATGTCCGTCTTTTATAGAGGTGAGTTGATTATTGTTTCTCATGTGAAGAATACTCTCTGAAGAACCCAACCTCAAGAATAAAAAATCACCATTCTATACAGTAAATATGAATTCTTCTCACTTTTTGGTCCGATATGAATGTTTTTCTCAATTGCAGAACGTTTTATCCGGAATAAATGTAGCTCTTGTGGATTTTCGATTGCTCTGATATGTTTGCATATTCTTGTCACAGACCACGATATGCATATAGTTTGACGGATATAATCAAAATATAAGAATATTAGATTTTTATGTCTTATTATTATCTTGAAAATTGAACAAAGGAATAGACAATTAAACATCAAGAACACTTCTTCAAAACTTTTGAAATGATTGGAATGTGTGTGATTGTGCCTTCCGCATGAAAGTTTGTACGGATTTGACATCAGAATTGCTACAGTGTAAAAATTCCTCATTTCTCTTAATTTTTAGAATTTTATCCTCCGTTCTATAAATAAATATATAGGTATTATTTCAATATACATGTTTGGCAAAAGAAATCTTCTCATGGGGAAACCATATATTGAAGTGAATACGCAACGAATGGATTTAGACCGTTGCTTCATTGGCTGATGACCTTGAGCGAGAGTTGGAAGACTTGTGATTGTCATTGATTTCATAAACAAAACAAATATTCATAAATCAATTTTTGTCGACCTCTAAAAAATCATATTCTACGTTTTAATCACCGAACGAAAAACCGACTATTTCCGAAGGCAAGTACTTTTCGTCCGCAGACACTAACTTTTCGTCCGCTGCAGGGTTGCCAGTTCTACTGAATGTTAATTAGATCTCCTGATTGCACATTTCATAACCTACTGAAAAATATTTTGAGACTTATTTATTATTATAATTACCTATATCATTATTAATCTTTAGTTAATCACATAAACTTGAAAATTGCGCTCTGTTTAAATTAATTTTACAATAAAAGTAATACATTTAGATATAGGTACTAATGATAGGTAAAAACAAAAAAAGGAACATACTTTATCTGATTCAGATCGAATTTTTTATACTCGTTTAGTTTGGATTACAATGCACGAAAAGGTGTGTGAAGTTATTCTAAATCCAATGTGGCGGACTATCCAAGATGGCGGAATAGTTATTTTTAATGCACCCTTACAATATGGGTATCAAATGAAAGGGCTCGTTGGGAGTAGCTCGAAAAATAATGTGATATTCTGAATTCAATATCGCGGACCATCCAAGATGGCGGAATAGTTATTTATAATTCACTTCTACAATCTGGGTATCAAATGAAAGGGCTCGTTGATAGGGAGCTTTATGGGAATTTAATACTCCTGAGTAGATGTTGTTTGATACCCTGTATTTGGGATGATAATATCCATGGATAATATAAAAACGTATGAATGTTGTTGCACTTAACCTTCTTAATTTTCACATTTTAGCCTAGCAGCAATCAATGGTATTTGGCTTTTATCTGGTATTTAAAATCCACTCATGAGCCATCGAAACAACAGCAACATCAACACTGCCAAATCTTGCCTTTCACCTACGTATCGCGTACGCTTAGGCTATAGTCCGAATTCAACTGGTCAGTAAATCCACTGACTGTGCTGAAAATCTGTGCTTCGAAATGTAAAACCAAAAATATTGTGCTGAAATTCGGAACAGGTTTCTATGGTTTTCATCAGTAATCAGTAGCATTTGATCAGCTGGTAAAATTTGAATGTCATTCTCAGCGTCAATTATTTTAATAACAGGCATTTTCTGATATTGAATATGATATTATTGATTTATTATTGATAAGACAAATGTTTGAAAAAGAACGGAAATGAATGTTGCACTACTTCCCCCTCTTAAATAATGACAGTTCACTAGTCAGCAATTTCAGCAGTTTGGAATGAATAGTATGTCTGCGCTCACAAGTATCTGTCACGTTCAGTGAATTTTTTTAAATTTCGGAATGAAAAATCAGCAGATTCAGTAGTGTCAGTTGAATCCGGAGAGCCTTAGTTACATGTTTGCCACACGAGCTAAGTACGTATAATGGCAACGTCGCTTAGGTTGCTTTCTCTATTAGATATTCATGAATCTATGTGTATTCACTTCAATTGATAATTTTACTATAAGAAGATTTATTTTGCCAGACGGGTATTTCTAATAAGAACAAATCTGATATGCCTCAAATTGTCACTGCATTTAAAATTTCACTATTAGAAGCCTAGAAAAGAAGTTCAATCGATAGTCAATGAGACCTTGTAGAAAAAATGTTCCAAGAAGATGAATATACGTAATATTGAAAGAAAATAAATTTCTACTTAACTTATCTGGAGGTTTCAATATATAAATGGAAAATAATTTCATAATCGATCAGATTTCACTGGGTCAGTCGTGTGCTATTTGTTGGACACAATGAATGTCAAACTGAGTATCATTTGTCGAATGCGATGTCTTGTCAATGTCAATTTCTTGGCGTGCCAAAACAAAAATTATCACCGAGGTAAGATAATCTTGAGGTCGTCAAAAAATTCGCGGCCATGGTATGCACACTATTTTTCGTGCAAACGTCAAAATTAGTGAATTAAATAATCGAAATGACATTCTGAATGAATTCAAAATATTTTGACAGTTCTTGAGAAAACCAAAATATGATCTGACCATGTTCTGACACTGAATAACCTTACTATTGTAGTTTAGGAATGTCAAATTCGGAAGTGGGCTCTGATTTGGTGGCTGTTGCTATGGGTAACGGCTACGAAGTTGTACTGGGTGCGCCTCTCAAAATGGAACCCCCCCCTTAACACCTTTGTTTCCAGAGATGTGACAAAATGTTAAATAAAAAAGTTGTTTGAAACGACCCAAACTCTCATTGCAAGAAGTTGCATTATATACAGGGTCATTCGTTTTTCTGGAAAGGACATTAATTTCGATTTTTTCAATGGAACACCCTATATATTTTCTGATGTCGATAGATTTTTTTTTATTTTAAAAAATATCTATGAATTGGATATTTGAATGGAAAATAATTAAGTTATTGCTGATCAAAGTTTACCAAAATACCGTATCTTTAAACTGTCCTTTCATATTTTTTTGTATTGAGATTGAAAGATTTCAATTTCATAATAAATAAAATTGACATTTTCATCGACCCTAAACAATATATTAACATTATTTTTTAGCCCACTATGTTTCTACTTACATTATTTAGATGATATGAAGTGAAGGTTCATAAAGCAGTATTTTGGTAAACTTTGATCATCAATAACAACTATCTTTCATCCAAATATACAACTCATATATATTTTTGAGATCAGAAAAAAATGCTCTATCGACATATCGGGAAATATATAGGGTGTTCTATTGAAAAAATCAAAGTTCATGCCCTTTCTGGAAAAACTAATGACCCTATATATTGAAAAATTTTACGAAATGAAAGTTTGGGTCGTTTATACGATCCATTTTTTCAATCTATTCATACTTGGTGGGGATGGTCCACTTATATTACCCATCAGAACTGAATTAAATCAGAATCATTTCTTCATCGAGGATACATCTGATTGAATATTTTATTTCGATAATATATCTATCTTGTCATTTTTTTATGAGATGATATAATAATAATAATAACATTTATTGATCCCAAGAAACATACAATGTTTATAGAGGGAAACAACAACAAAAAATAAAATATAGTTATTTCTCTTTGCACTATTTATGAATAATAAGAGCAAGAAGTCCTTTTGGTGTGATAGCAAGTAGTATTGGGATTATTATATTCATTAGACACTCTGCCTTGCACTCTATGATTCCCTCTCATGGTTTGCCAATTCAGTCATAGCAATATTTTCAGATGAATAAATACATATTTTTTAGATATTTGGAAGAATCGTACCTTTAACGACAACTCGTAGTAGATGGTATGATATCCCATTTTCCAGAGAAGAAAGTTTACAAGCCGACAAAAAACTTACCATATTATTTGGTCCATCCCAAGATCCTGAAACAGTTACCATGGTTGATAACTTGAAAGTATTTGGCAAAACAAAGGATTCTTTTGGTTGGCCAGAAGAAACAGAAGATAATATACCATCAACAGGTAGCGGAGTTATTCAGCCAGTTGTCGCAACAGAAGGATCCCAAAATACTGGAACTACAAATCAACTCACAAAATTGGAAAAGTAATGTGAAAATATTTTTATTGTATTCGAAAATTATGAATTTACTTTACAGGCTAGTTGTTGGCATCCTAGAATCCCTCGATGGTACTTTTTCACTGCACTCTACTGATGAAAAGCTTTCAACTTTCAAATCAACAACTCTCAAAGTTGCAACACAATTGCTCACTTTACCAACTCAACCGTCGATACAAGTTCATTCCAAATCACTATTGTCTGCTTTGCATAATACGAAACAGATGTATCATAACTACAAAGATCAAGCATTGTTACAACATGTTCTGACAAGTCTCAATACTATGACGAGTTCAGAGGTTACAGACTTGGATGCTGAGAGCTACTATAGATTAGTTCTGATAGTGAGGGGTATTGCAGTAGCAAGACCTCAAAATTTGGTGAAATTCTCTGATAGTCATACCTCTATACAAGATGTTGTGTTGGACGATCCACTAGACATGAAACCAGGTAACTATTCGTTTTATGAATATCTCCCAATTTGTTGATATCATTTTTTTCTTCTAGTGAATGCAAAAGAATTGAAAGGCAAAGTTTCTAAACCCAAAAATCAACACCTTCTGCTCCAGCTCATGGATGTATTGTGGATATTGCACTCTCTGAATCCTGAGATACCTACATTGTCATTAGTGGTATCCCAAGGGCTCAGACATACTGAACAAGTAGTCCATGCACTGATAGAAATTGTCCATGCTTTCAACAGTTGTGATACATATAGCAACATCACAATTGGAGTTTATCTACAGTTGCTTTTGTGTGAAGACCCATTGATTGCTTTCAGTGCCAAACAAGCCTTGAGCAAAGCGTTGAAGCCTAAAACCAAAAAGAGGAAGGTTTACATTCCAAGTCCACCTCATTGTGTCTCACCGCCACCTAAACACAGCGATCCTGATGAATGTAAGTAACTTCATATCATTATTTGTTGAAAAAATCGAAAAATAAATTAATGTTGATCTATTTATATTAACTTATGGAAACATTGAACCTAGTACCAGACTACCATGCTGAACAGCCTGTAAAATTGCTTCAGGGGAATCCGAGATATTTTATATTTTTTCGTATTTAATCCTGCAAAGATGGGAGTCAGCCTGATTGATAATATATTCCATACAGGAAAGTTACAAAATATAAACCATTTCATTAGATTATGTCATATGATTAGACACATCTGAATACTTCTTATATATTCATCAACATTGTGAAATTTAAATAACGAGATGAAATATGTCTCCAAGGCATATGTGAACACATTGTATTTTATCAAAAGGCACTATCACTATCCGGAGCAAAATGATTGAAAAATTGCACTTTTCTGTGCGGTGATTTGCATTCAATTTCTCGATTTGAAAATGAGATAAGAAATATGCCATTCGATACCAATTCAATGATAAATCTCAAAAACGTACCAATCTGAGTCAAATCCATGGCACAGCGATGTATCTGATGCCATTATTCCGGAAACACTTCCGTCATGTGATAAAGAGTGGAAACACAAAGCAAATGAAAGGGGATTTTGTAGGCGAAACATGTAGTGTGATTAAGAATTTTGTGGAAATCTTATCGTTTGTGAAGTTTTTACAATAATTATCAAATACCAAAAGTAGCAACTTAATGAAAAATATTCTTGTTCCTAGATACGAGAAGATAAAAGCCCAATGTATTTATTTTTTTATTTTTTTCATTACAATTTTTTTTTGTATCCATTTTATCACTAATACATTGTTGACCATAATTATTAACAAAGTATTATTGAATTCCAAATCTCCCACGATGCCCTTCTTCTAGAAATCATCACTCATGCGACGAAATTTCCTCAAATTCATATTATGGACAAACTCTTCTTTCCCATCGTTATTATAATTTACATATTATGCTGATGTCCTTTGAGTATATTTCACCCTAATTATCTTGAATGAATTTAGTCATAAAACCTTTTTGTCATGTATCCCCAACATTGAAACACTTGCAGGTCACTGATGATGATCAAAAACATCTCAAAACGTGACTTACAGTCACAGAACATGCCATGCCAAAAATTATGAAAATCGATCTCAGCCTACTCTTTTTATGAGCAAAATTATTTTTTTCAAAAAAAAAACTTCAACGCCTTGTACCAACTCAACGAGACGATTTTGGATATAGGGAAGTTGGCCTAAATCAACTTGTTTGTATCCCAGGATTCCACAGCCGAGCCATGTCCCAACCTTTTACAGACACACTATATAATTTAACAATTAAATTGGGAATTCTCGAATGCTGATTGGCCCGTTGGAATCATTTTACCATTCAGTTTATAGAATGATTCAATTGTCTGTTCTGCCAAGTGCGCAAGAAGGTTCAAACTGTTACTCATCTACTTATATCACTTTGTGTTAGGAAACATGAATAGAAGTGAGAGTGTTCGGAATTAGATTCCACTTTGAGAATAGACTTGAAAGAATTGAATTTCAATCAGAATACAGATAACGCTTTGATACCGTTTTCCACTCGTCTCACTAGTCCGAACATTTTTCGCACTCAATGTTGGTTTGTATCTGTTCATCATCTGTGAAAATTGATAGATATCCCCTAATGCAAGATTTTTACTTGACCCAGTTAGAAACGGTATCAACATAGAGCCATTCTGTGATATTTGAATCAATAAACATATTTGTTGTTTCGCCAAAAAGAATCATCGTAGCATCTGGTTCGTCCATAGTAAAAACAATATAGAAGTTGATGATATTCCAAATTAATCAAAATAAAAGATAACAATTTCAATATTTTCAAATGAAAAATAAAAATATATTTCAACATTGAAAATCACAATCTCAACTTTTGATGTGACCAACATCGGCAATATCGACAGCTCCTCGCTCTGATATGTGATGTGCAATACCGAACTTGCCTATTATATTATAATAATATCAGCAAATATCTGTAAATTATGACCTTGAATGACTCCAGTCTCTTCCGTAGCTAAAATTCCATCTGCAGTTGCCCAGCCAATTCATGAAGATATTCAACCAAGGCAGCAAAACCAATTTGATGTTGATGCAGTTGAGCCTATAGGTCTCTTAGAACAACCTGTTCACATACAAGATAATCACAACGTTAACCCACTAGAAGCTCTACTCGGAGGTGGGATGGGCTTTCCTCCTTTGCTTGACATTCCTCCCGATGCAGATGATGAAGCCATGGTGGAATTGGCAATTGCTCTCAGTTTACAAGTAAGCGAATCGTTAAATATTCATAATACTATCCACATCACATATTTTCGTATGTTATACATGAGTATTGATGAACAACATAATTTGTTTCGAAAAAGAGTAGGGATTTTTGATAATCATCAATAAAATTGCTAAGATTATTTCACTCATCATTTCATGAATAAAACAATAATTTCATGTCATATTTTCATTTGCAGTCGGTTCGTTATGTGATTACAATACATTGCTAGCAACTAGGACGCATCAAATATTGTCACGCGTCTCGTCACAGGCCGGACATTTTCTGTAATACTAGGGTCCCTTGATGAAAATTGACGTTAAAGTCATCTTAACAGGGTACGGACAGATCCACGTCTCCTCTCACTCTAAAGTGTTTGTGAAACAGTTATATAGTTCCATCCTTATTCAATTCTGGGGATAAACACTAGATTTTTGACATTCGTTGTTTTTTAGGTTATATTGAGGTCACTAACGGATCATACGTAATTTCGATATGGAATTCCTGATTCAACTATACCAAGATATAGATGAACACTCTTCTAGTTTTAGAATTTACTACTCCAGCATAATCTCTGCAAGGTAGGGAATATTTAAATTGTACTGAAAGCTTAATACATTTCACCAAAAGATACTGTTCTTAGACTGTATACCAGGCTTGACTGAATTGACTGAATGAATTCTGATTTCAAGCTGAACAGTAGTTTATCTAGGAGCTGAATACGCTGAGCCTTATGATTGAGAAATGGTGGAAACCTAAACTACTGTACTCATGTCATGTGTGCTAAATATATTTTCGGAAATCCAACTCGGAGAAGAATTTATGGAGTTACTAATATCACACTAAGTATAAAACTTCGTCTAGGATGAAAAGTAGGCTGATAAAAAGTAATACGTGAAATTTGCAGGAAAATATAGAATATAATGTACTTTACCCCCATGTTATACATATGATTCTTCCGTGTCCCTTAAATAAAAAGTCATTTTCGAATAATTTATTGATGAAAGTAATGAAGGAGTAGATATACGGCAAGTAAACGCAGTATAACTTATAGGCACGTTATTTTTACTCTTGCATCCCATATATTTTCTATTTGTGGTACATTAATAATTATACTAATTAATTAAACTGATGTCTTTCGCCATATTAAATCCGTCATCTTGAATTTCACAATTTTGACGAAACAATCATTATCTCTCACCCCGAAAACCCCCAGATACCAATTTTGAATAAAATCGGATATTTATTCAAAACTCGTCCACCATATTGGATCTGCCATCTAGAATAAAATCCCAATTTTGGCGAAATAATTTCAACATCCGACCCCGGAAATCCCCAGATACCAATTTTGATTTTTAAATAGAATCGGATTATAATTACAAAATTCGTTCGCCATATCGGATCCGCCATCTTGAATTTCCCAATGTTGACAAAAAATCATAAAGTTTGACCCCGATAACCCTCAGATATCAATCTTGAATAGAATCTGATCATAATTAGAAATTTCTTTCTATATATATATTGGATCCTTCATCTTGAATTTTCCAAGTTTGACGAAACAATCATTATCTCCAACCCCGGAAAACCTCAGATACCTTCCAATTCTGAATAGAATCGGATCATAATTATAAAACTCGTTCGTTATATGATCTTCCTCAACAAGTAAATACCCTGTACATACCTATTATTAAAATTTTGAATGATTTTCTGTACCGCCCATGGATGTGACGTGACAGCATTGTCAGGGATGCCAGTAGACAAAACTAAAGTCTCTAGATCATTGAAAAAGAATGTAGCTATGATCTGTCCGTACCCTGTTAAGATGACTTTAACGTCAATTTCCATCAAGGGACCCTATGTAATACTTGCTTCTGCACAGCTCTCTCGCAATATTTGAAGCGTCCTGTTTCTAGACGCTAGTCGCTAGTTTCAAGGGGAGCGTATTGTTACATCCACATTTCGTTACTCCCACATTGGGTTGTTCCCACATTTCGATATGCCCACATTTCGTTAGCACCACATTTCCATACACCCACAGACTCCGAACATACCGAAGGAGGCACTGTTGCCAAATACTATCCTATATACCAGAATTCAACGAAACTGTCATTGTGGGCCTATCGATACATTGCGTTACACCTACATTTCGTTACACCCACATTGCTTTATGCCCACATTTCGTTATGCCTACATTGCGTTACACATACATTTCGATAGGCCCACATTTCTCTAGCCCCACATTGCTATGGATCCCAGTGTCCGAACATACCCAAAGGATGCATTGTTGCCATATTATACTGTGCTTGATGCGTAATTTTCCGAAAAATATACTTTTTAGGAAAAAGGTTTATTTAGTCCGAGTTAGGTTAGATTGTTTTGAAAAAGTACAGTCTCTTTTGCTCTCTCAAGTAATATTCAGAAAAATATATTTCCTAGGAAGGAGGTTCATTCAGGCCGAGCAAGGTTAGAATGTTCCGAAAAAGTAGTCTCCTTTCTTATGCAGAAAGGGTATTTTACTTCCTCATATTACTTATTCGGAATTGAGGAAGCCATAGAGGGAAACGCTATAGCTAGACACGTGTACTAGACATTGTGGGTCTAACGCACCTTGTGTTACACCCACATCTGGCAAACGTGCCTCCTTCGGGTATATTCCGAGACAGTGGGAATAAAGAAATGTGGGGCTAACGAAATGTGGGCCGATCGAAATGTAGATGTATCGCAATGTAGGCATAACGAAATGTGGGCATAAAGCAATGTGGGTGTAACAAAATGTAGATGTAACGCAATGTGTCGATAGGCCCACAATGACAGTTTCATTGAATTCTGATATATAGGATAGTATTTGGCAACAGTGCCTCCTTCGGGTATATGTTCGGAGACTGTGGGTGTATCGAAATGGGTGGCTAACGAAATGTGGGCATATCGAAATTAGCGATGGCACTCAACTCGGACTCAAGAGGTCAATTTGATGTTGATATAACAAATGTTTCTTTGAAATGCCATCATACAAAGTTGGTCTAAAATTCTTCAATACAAATTAAAATTCAGTGGCTATCACGATTTTGTCTGAAGTTTAGTGCTGAGTGGTACTTATTCCTGAATATGAAAATATTGCTGGATAGTAATTTTGTTTTATATTTTGATCAAACTACCAATGAGGAACTGAAATACATAATCGAAAACACAGTATATTTAGGTATCTAGCAGCCAATCTACAATAACATCATGTTTTCGATTATCAACACAGACATTTCAACCAATCAAAAACGTGTATTTTGAAGTGAGTGGAATAATTATCATTATCAATTTGCAGTTTTCAAAAATGTAAGTAAGTTCATGAATAATCATGGAGTTTGCTGCAAGGAGGATGCAGCTCCGTTTTTGAGTTGAAATATGAAAACTAAGTGGTTTGACCGGTTCGAAAACGATGCATATTCAATTAGAAATAAGGAAATTACAGGCATTTCGTAACGTACATGGGTTTGCACATTTACAGTATGAAGGACAATTAACACCAGGTTCAATAATTGCGTTATATCGTAAGAATCCTCGTAAGAATCTATATATCAATCACACCCCTAGGCTGTTGCATATACCTCATAAAAGATAATACATATGATTTTTCGTTGACCTCTACAAAAAAATCACATTTTACGTTCTAATTTCCGATCGAAAAACCGACGTTTTCCGAAAGCAAGTACTTTTCGTCCGCAATACCAATCAGACGAACTAGACAAGCCCAGTCAGCACATCCTTTCGTTGTCAACCTCGAAAGATGTCGAACAGCACTTTATCAAGACTCCTTTATCCATAGAACGGCTAGGCTCTGGAATTCATTGCCTGTGGAAGTATTCCCAACAACATATAATCTCCAGAAGTTACAAAAAATTCCAATACCTACCTCCTGTCCCTATCCTCCCTAGGAACGTACGATGCTCTTTAAACATTATAGGGATTCCCTTTCGTGCGCTCCAAGCGATAAAAAACTTTTCGTCTGCTGCAGGGTGTCAGTTCTACTGAATATTCAGTAGATCTCCTGATTTGCATATTGATCTACTGATCTACTGAAACATTTCATAATCTACTGAAAAATATCTCGACACATTCATTATTATAATTACCTATATTATTATTATTCTTTCGGCATGCTCTCTTCAAATTAATTTTACAAAATAAGTAATAAATGTACATAACTACATAATTCCATTCAATTTGTTTATTACATTCAGTAACGTATTACTTTCCATGAACAATTTTCATATTTTTTTGCATTTTTGCCCACCCTGTACCAATTTGAAGCAACATATTATACATTTTTGGAATCAGCTCAGCAAGGGCAATTCTTAAATTGAAAAAAAAGGGGGTTCCATTTGAAAAAAAATGGTGATGACGTCATTACACGAAAGTGGTTCACCCTGTATATTAGATTATGATTTGAAACAATAGTAAATTGAAATCAAAAATCGACCTGTTTCGGGAATTTCTAATTTTATTGTTCATTTAGCCAATAATGAATTTATGCGTTACTTTATGGATGCACTGTATGTAGGAAAGATATGTAAAAACCAAAAAAGGACAATACTTTTTCTGATTCAGATCAAATTCAATTTCTTATATGCCTCTGATATAACGCAGTTTGTTTCTTATGCTTAATTTCTTTATTTGTTATCTTTTTTGTTCATTTTGTTCCTGTTTTTATACAATACTCTATACCTATATTTTTTTATACTCGTGAGTATTTTTGAATTGAGAATTAGGAATATGATTATTTTTGCATGAGCATGTCTGTTTTGTTTGTTTCTTTTTTGTTGGAAATAGGTTACTTTTCTGTTTCCTAAAAGTAAATAATGTTTTGACTTCATAGGTTTATTTCATTATCTTTTCTTGGGATTCGTATATCATAAAATAGATCTTAAACAGATCTGTTGAATTGTAGAATACCATACCATATCATTTTGTACGAACAAAATTGCGAGAATTCAATTTCAAACTGTATATAACTGAAATAGTAACATAACATAAAAACATCAATTTTTTGATAAAATATGCTGCAATATTTCTAAAAACACCATTTGAATACCCTACAATTCCATGAAACTCTTCTATCTGGAAAAGACGTCATAATCCATTGCGTTTTATTTTGAGAAAATATCAAGTAAATATTTTTCATTTTTTCAATCGATCCAATTGTGAACTGCTGAGGTGATTTGAGATAGTAAATGTCACCAATATAGGCTTCATCTGCATTGCCAATTCTACAAGTTTATATCTGACATGATTACCTACTGTTCGAGTAGATTGTAGCATGTTTTGGGTTCAATCAGCAGCAATAAAATTCGGTCTAATACTATACTAAAATAAATAATTGTCATTTGCCATGTACATATTTTTCTAGAATTTTGATTATAAGATTTCTGATTGTACCAATCTTGTTCTCAGTTTTGTTGCCAATCTGATGTAGTGCTGTGCTATGGTGTTGCCCCCCATCACCTAATCTGTCTATCTATGCAACTAGTTGTTCCATGATCTGGATGACTTGACAGTTGACAGCATACAATTTTACTGTTCAGTGCTTCCGCACACGTGATTCTTCTCTTGGTTATTTCCGAAGCCACATCTTTCTTATTATAAAAGATTGATATTTTCAAGCTTAATTACCAATTATCGGTGATTTAAGGGTACCGTGGGCCCTTATTAAATATGTTCCCGACCCCTAAACCTTCAATTTTTTAAAAAACATTTTTATTATATAAACAGTAAGTTTCGCTCATATGGATATTTCTTCAGAAATTTTCACTGTTCCTTTTCCAGATCATGGAGCAATGGCCTTTGCTTGCTCCGTTATTGCTTATTTCATACACATTGCAACATTTTTCACTTCCATGTAAGTAAAATATTATTGTATCATACCATAGGTCAAAATCTGTCTTTTTCTAGAACTTTACATTTTCTTGGCTGATGATCTAGGATCATTAAATAAAAGTTGTGGAGATGACTTTGGGTTTTCATCTATGAGCTAATACTATACGTTTATTCCGAGGTTCATACAATCTAACTGAACGATTTTGGTAGGCCTGCCATTTCATTGAAACTCAAATTCTGAAAACATCACTCTAATATCATTGTTATAATATGTCATAATCCAGTTTATAATAAAATGAAAACAAGTGTTCTGCTCAGTTCATCCATGACATTGTTGAAATCAGTCAAATCCAAACAATCTAGAGAATCGGTTGAGACGGCAAAACTGTTTATCTCATTGAATAGTGAATATTTCTCGGGTTGAAACGGGAACATTTCTCTGGGAAATTTAGTAGTAAAAAATTCGAAAAAAATCTCTGTATTTTTTCTAGAAATCAGAGTTCTTGCCTATTTTCATTAATAAATCAACTAACATTAATCTTCAGGAGCACGAAGGAGCAGCAGTGAAACCATAAAACAACGATTAATTAAATGTTGTTACATCAACGCATGCAAACGATATATTCGAATGCAATTTGAAAATCGACACAACGTCCAGTCATTTACTTTACTCATTCTTACTCATGTTTCTGAACACCAAGTGAGCATAAGTCCATTTCATGAATACAGTGTAGATCCTTCCGTGCCAATGTTTTTCTTATAATTTGAAGATCGAATCTTGAATAACGGAGAGTACCATATTCTTTCGCTTCAATTATCATCAATACCAGGGGCGCAACTAGCTCGTACATTTCGGGGGGACTACTGCCCTAAGTTATCAGAAGAAATGATTTAGTGGGTCTGAAATATCACAAGGAACTACCACAGAATAATAACTGCGATCAACAAAAGAAAGCTTAATATAATCAACAAACTAAAAATGAAATGATTAATTATTAAAACTAACTGAACTATATAACGTGACAAATTTATTTTTCTTTCTTTTGCCGCATATCTATCCACTACAGTATTGAGATCAATATAGATGTTTATTTTATAAATAATAGGCCAAGTGACGAGAATCTTTCTTGGCCCATTGAAATTCGTAACCAATTTAAAATTAACCTCATTATGGAGAATGACCTTTAACACTTTGCAGTAGATACTGGCAATGTTATTGCTACTTGAAAAAGCACATATAATGCTGGAAATACTTCTAACCTGAGTTCATTTTTGAGAGTGTCATATTGTGCTTCCTGACCTTCGTTTGCTAAACTATTTTTCATCCGGAACTTCACCCCACCCGTCAGGCTGATCAAATTCACAATAGCTGCTTTCGTTATTTTCAGACGCATTATCAGGCAACCAAATAAAATTTAGGAATGATATACAAATTAAAGGTTACTGAAGAACTAGGGTAGATATGTAGATATCGTTAGTTTATGATTTATTGATTTATTCTGGGGGGCTAATAGTGAGCTAAGGGGGGCTTAGTCCTCCCCAGACCCCCCCTAATTGCGCCTATGATCAATACATCAACTGACATTAATCTTCAGGAGCACGATATCGGCGGTGGCCCGAACCAAGCCCTTCAGAGCCTCCAGGTACAGCTCGGCAATGAAGTGTTGGGCCATCATGCCGGCCAGTCAGCGCAGGCCCAAGAAGTTGCGAATCTGAGCGACACGACCGCCTCGGCAGCTGGGTCAGACGATGAAGGGTCGACGGCCGCGACCGACGGATCCACCTTGAGGACATCTCCTGCGGAACAAGGAGGTAGTGCGGGATCGGAAAGTGGAGGTAGGCTGCTTATATTTCTTCGAAAATTCCACACCTAACGTTTTGGACCAATTTAAAGCCTATATTTTGTATCGCTATCATAGTAAACTAAAAGATTTTTTTCTCTCTGGGGTAAGGAGCATGAAATTACAATGAACATTTTTTGACGGGGTTAGGGAAAATGACATGTACATTCAACTTCAGATTAGGTCGAATATATTCTATGAGTAAATAAGTTCCTTGTATGTATGTAGGAAAAGGTGATGTGTACACTACAACTATGTGATCTATTGTGCCTCCTCTTCTTGCTATGCGTCCTAGGACTTCTCAATCATAGTTGTTCTTCTTATCCTATTCTCCTCAAAAAGTTGAAGATGTGGGATGGTTTCAAAGTGGTTCGATCTGCTCCGATTTCAAATGCTCCTGAACCAGCGACGGATCTATCATTTTTTGGGACCCTACGCTCAATAATACTTGCGGCCCTTGCGGCCCCATTCCTTATTTCTCATTCTGTTTTTTTGCTTACCAATATATTGCATATAAAAAACAAAAACAACAATGAAAAATATTAGAGCCATTCCTGAAAAATTTTGAAGAAACTGGAAATCCTTGATTTTGATTTTAATTATTTTCGTTGATAAATATTTTACAACATAATTTGAAATTTGGCGGTCCATGGCTATGAGGAAGTATTAATACCGTAGTTATTACGACTGATATTTTTTTTATCAGCATGGTCTACGACATTTGGTAATGTAGAGTTAGGTTAGTTCAATAACTTTGAACAGTGATAACCGACAAAAAATGGTTTTTACAGTTTTTGGATGTTTCATGTGATATGTTGTACATAATTTTGAAGAACATTTTTCAGCCCAATATTTCTAGAAATATGGTGACCATTACAAAAACAAAAGTTGCATGGTATATCTGAATATGAAATCAATGTAGATGAAATATTTCTGGTATTCCCAACTTTATCATAATCAATTTCCTGTATACGCAGAGTTTCAAATTTCTTCATCAAATATCAACTGAGAAAATTAATAAAAACAAAATCAGCGATTCTCAGTTTTCTTTTATATTTTAGGAACAGCTGATTTTTTCAGTTTGCAAAACGGCATATTGAAGAGGTTCAAACTATGCAACATCTGTCTATACTTCTCCCTATGAAATCGGCGCTACCCTCTGTATACGTACACGTTCGATAGGAATAATTTTCCTATAGACAAACCGTGTGCATGGGCAGCGACTCCAGTTAATATTCAAATCTTATTTTAACTTAGGTTGATGTATTCGGTAGATCTTTTCTGGTTGTGGGTTCCCAGGAGTGTCTTTGCTTGTCTCATGCCTTGTAGATCCTACCAGTATCTCTCTCTCTCTTATGATATATTTCTTCATTCAATTTTCCAACTATTCTTGTTTTACTGATCCAACGGAAGGGTTCGGGTCCCATGAATGGTTGTATGCGTTAGTTTTTCTCAATGTTGTAGTTTCTTGTTCACTTTATCTTATTTGAAGGATAATTATAGGATGCGTAGGTTTCACTAGCTAAATAATTATACTCCATACCTCAAAACACACATACCTGGTTCATAGTCTCTGGAAGAAAATTTCAGGCAGGTATTCCTCTCTGGCCTACTGATCCATCCAAAATTGCATTCTCATTCGCATCAAGATTGAAGGTATACAGAAGTATATATAAATATCCATATTTTATAATGGTACTTATAATAATATACTAGAAATTAATATAAATATGCTGAGCAGACCAACAAGTCTGTATACTCTAGTTGGTAAACAACATTTAATGATATTTGTCTTTGAGGTTGACATCTTGTCATCTTACTGCCTGTGACGTCACGAATGACCGTTTCCCCCCTTGCCTCACTATCGATCGAGGGAACCTTCCTATACAAATTATCATCATTTCTACCAACCTTCATTCAAAATAAGCGATGCGCTTAGTTTAGTAGTTATTGTGGTATTGTGGTATTTTTCGAGTTTGAATTCTTCAGTAGAGTATCTTGAATCATTATTGCTTGATTTCACATGTTATTCATGAAAGTTTTTTGCGTTTCGCAAAAAAATGATTATTTCAGTCAGTTTATGATTGGAGGATATTCTCTCAACTTCGAGATTGAATTCAGTTGCATTTTATTTCCAGAAGTCAAGTCACAGAAGTAATTTGAAAAAATAAAATCCTTACTCAAAAGCAAAGCACATAATATTTTCAATTTTGCCTACTAGAGGTAGATCAATTATCGCACATACATCCAGCTATTAGGACTTTTTCTCTTTCATATAAACACATGTAAGTAGATGAATCGACTACAATATATACATCTCAAATACCCACTCTGTGAATTTCAACATCATATTCAAGACATATTTTGCAATATTTATCTCACTACTGAATGGGAACGATGCGCAAACTAACGTAACCTCAAATTGGGACGTTTGTATTTGAAGTAATGAAACATAGTTTATTGAACGAATATCTGCTGAAAAGCTCTCTCGATTCACAAGAGTACACAAATGAACAGTCAAAAGTGACGTTTTCTTGCTCAAATCACTACCAAAAAATCTAAATAATACACACAAGCATATGAACAATGTACTTTCATATAGTTCACAACCGGCCACTTTGATCGCATAAGTAAGCTGTGGACAAAAGTGCGCAAGGCGATTCCCAGAAACTTGATGAAATAAAACTTCCTTTTTCACATCAGCATTCCTCAATAGATTCGGATATTAACACATCCTTGCAGAGTTTATTATTTTTAAATCCATCGAATTCTTTCTGAATTTCTTCCACAATGTCTCGAATATTAGTACCAAGATGGTTTTTGATCAACTTTAAATTCGGTTTCGTTACCTATCTCCAGATAATTAACGATTAAATTTGTTAGCCAGCATCCGTAGATGACTTGATGTTTTCTCGTAAGTTTGCACTGATTATGTCATATTTTTCATTATCGACAAGTGTTCTCCATGCGGCAAACGTAGAATAACTGTTTTGGTCCACTGTACCTATTCATAATTGAAGTTTACAAATGAAGTACAAGTGAAACTGATTTTGTACTAAAACGCACAATAGAAAAATTATTTCACAAAAAATTTCAACAATTGACAATGTGTCGATTCTGCTCGAGAGTGTTGGAGACCTGTGGCTCTGTGAAAATATTACGAATTCAGCGTACATACAATGAACTGTGTCAAATTCAGAACTACCTTTCTGCGGACCAGTCCCGAAGCTCTCACGGACCACCTGTGATCCGTGGACCACTGGCTGAGAACTACTGGTCTATCTTAAATTTTATCTCATCCTATCCTGTGCGTTCTTTTCTCTTGAGATACTCTTTTTCATACTACTAGTAATTTAGGTATGTGGGTATCTGTATGTATGCTTCCTTTCTAATCCAGATCGTAATTGGCGTTAATTTTTTCATTGAATCGCAACCATATCAGAATTAACTCGTAGTTGTTGATTCATAAACGACCACAATCAGGAGATAATGGTTTTTGCTGAAAAGAAAACGATAATATAAATTTGAATTCGAAACAGGTAGCGGAGTTGAGAGCATTACTGGTGAACATAATGTCTCTGGAAGATCTTCTGCTTATGGTGATAACATGCAAGAAGCCATCAACCTAGTTTCCAGATCGGATACTAGCTCTATCGCCAACACCACAGCTGGTGTTCCAGAACATGAAACTGTGCAACAGGAAGAAGTTGAAATTGAATCTGAAAACAGTAGCAGATTGCATATCCTAAGATTGCAATTATTAGAGAGGCTAATTGAATATTTACCAAAACTGAGAAACATCGATGGAGCAAGAGCCATACCATTTTTACAGGTAAGTAATGTTATGATTATTACACAGCATACCCACTATTGAATAATAATAATAATCACATTCATTGATCTCAAGAATCATACATATGTTTATGGAGGGACACAAGAAAAGATAGTTAGGTAGGTAACTCGAAATTTCGTCTTACTAACTCCAAATGTCACAGCATACCCACTATTGAATAATAATAATAATAACATTCATTGATCCCAAGAAACATACATATGTTTATGGAGGGATACAAGAAAAGATAGTTAGGCAGGTAACTCGAAATTTCGTCTTACTAACTCCAAATGTCGTCTAACTAACTCGAAATTTCGTCCTAGTAGGTCGATATTTTGTCTTGGTGAGTCAAAATTCTGACGTTATAAATTTCGACCTCCGAAAATTCCACTTCAACTATGGCGGCCAATTCGAATCTGTATCCTTTAACAATATAGTATTATTCAACAATTTCTGTGGTGTATATACAAAACTGATGTGGGTATTAGGGAATGTGGGTGGGCAAATTTATAGGTATATATATCGATAATTATCGATAATATCGATAAAATAGATCCATCGATAATATAATCCTCCGATAATAACAATACTATCGATAATATCATTTTTGATTGTTGATTGTAATCGCCCACTCCTATAGTCTATTCCAACTAAGAAGACAGCATGGGAAGTCATAGGGAAGCGTTGACCTTCGCTTTCATTGGTTAATATTGGAGGCAATATTACACTCGCCTAATATTATGACTTACTACGTGGCGTGTTAATATTGGAGGCAATATTACACTCGCCTAATATTATGACTTACTACGTGGCGTAACTGTTGAAGTTTTGTTCATGGGAAGATTTCCATATCATAAAATTCCGATTACTTTTCGTACATTGAAACCTTATCATCATTTTGTATTAGGCGTCATGCATTTATTTTGTCAGTGTAAACATTCCTTCAGAAGAAGCCACACCTACTATCTTCTTATTTGGAATGTAGTATATAGTTCGCTTTCTACCCGTAGCACGTCCAATGTTCCTTTTCCGGTACTTAATGCAAAAAGTATCGACAATTTCGATAATATCGATGAATTAATAAAAAAATATGACTTCTGAAAATTCTCGAGACACGTCAACATGTTATGTATTAACCCACATTTTGCAAGCAATATGAAGGATATAGCCCTTCAGGGGTAGGTGAAGCTAAAGTGAAGCCACCCTCAACTTTTTTTTATCGTGCATCAACCCTAATATATGGCTGTGAACCCTCATTGAAAAACTTGTTGAAAGAAGAATCCAGCGCACCTACTGATCAAATTTCAGTTTTTTGTATATTGGTTTGAGGGTTGCAATATAATCAAAACATAATTTCAAAATTGAATTTATGTTCAACGTGAAAATTGCTCAAAAGTTTATGTCGATCTTAGTTTTCAGATGTCTCCATGTAGAAATTCAAAGCAATTTTTTGCCACAACTGATCTGCTATTTTTTGCCAGTGTTTTTACACAGCCGCAAAAAAATAATTTGTATACGTATGCCGTATTGCCACCAATAAATCAAGGTACCTACGTATAATTAGTAAAATAGAGGCACTATCGAAAGAGGGGTCATGTCAGGAATGTTACGAGAGAGAGGCAGGCTGCTGTTGATGATGGCGCAAACTTGAATTTATTACTGGCTTCAGAAGAAAATCCAGTCACTTCTTCTCGTTAACTGGCCCGTGATATACACCTATATATAATCCCAATCATAAAACAATTTTAAGATACTCAAAGATGAGAAAAGACTCCCAAATAAAATGCAAGCTCTTTAAGAACTTTAGATACTTGAAGATATGATCCATATCGACGACTGAAATTTTTTAATTTATTGATGACTCATATTGATCAAAACCATTTATATCTTTAGAGTGGATACTTTTCTCAGACGAGGCTACTTTTACATTAAACGGGCATGTAAATCGTCAAAAATGTCGTTATTGGGCTGCAGAGAGCCCCCAATGGATGAGGGAATTTCATATAGTCAGCGTTCACACAAATCTAATTTGTAGGCTGGAATAATACGAGGTGGGATAGTAGTATAGTTATTATTAATGAAGCAAAGATACTTGCATTTTTTCATGTACTAACTAATGCCAGCTAATGCCAGTGATATACAGGGTGTTGGAAAATTCGACCGACAACGCTTGACAGGTGATAGCCCTTGTGATTTCATAATCACTGAGATAGGGACATACGGTCTTCAAGGGTTCAGTTCTCGAGATACAGGTCGTTAGAGTTAAGAAATAAAAATAGTTGTTTCGCAATATCTCAAGGAGAAAAATTGAATATAATGCATTCAATTTCTGTATATGGTTCCATCTTTGAATGGGTCATTTTTTGACCAGAAAGCTATTCCGGACATTTTATCCAGTGGTGCCCTACAGGGGGGTGTGGCAACTTTTCCTCCCATATTTTCTACGTCACTGATTGAATTTCAAATATTTTCAATTCCTCGAATTCATTGTTCAATTATGTTGAAAAACTGCATCATCTTCCACTGAGCTAAAATGAACAGTTATCGAGATATTTGACCCAAAATAGAAGTTTGCACAGTAACTTACAAGATTACAAAAATTTTTGTTTTCTCTTTATGCGTGGAATAACTATTCCTGATCAGCTACTGGAATTTTCGGAATGTCTTTCTGGTAAAAAAATTAACCATCGAAAGATGAAACCATATACCGAATTTGAATGCATTATATTCAATTTTCTTGATATAACGAAAAACCTATTTGAATTTCTAAACTTCAACGCCCCCTTATCTCGAGAACTTAACACTTGAAGACCGTATGTCCCTATCTAACGAGGGCTATCACCTGTCAAGCGTTGTCGGTCGAATTTCGCAACACCCTTTATTCATTTCCAAATCCCTCTTGAACCCTAATAACTCGACTGACGAGAGACTATAGTTTTAACAAGATGGGGCCCCGCTTCACTACGCTGCTTTTATTGTTCCTGAATATCTGAACAGATTATTCCTCGGTGGATTGGAAAGCGGTACTATTGAGAGGCCAGGCAGCAATAAAGTCTCCCGAGATAACATCGCTGGATTTCTTTTTATGGGGACATCTCATAGGTAATGAGATTTATTTATCAGGCAACCTGACAGCATATCGGATCTGCAGGCAAGGATAAGAGAGTTAGCGAAATAACTCTGGAAATGTTGCATAATGTAAAGGACGAAACCTACTGCAGACTAGGATATGAGGCCCATGGACTTATATCCTGTATTAGTTTTGTATAAGTACACCACATAAATGTATAAATGAAATAATAATATATTGTTCAGGAAGGATTCGAATTGACAGTCATGGTTGAAGTGGAATTTTCGAAAGTCGAAAAAATATTTCAAAACATTTTAATGAATTTTGTGTATTTTTAATATACAGGGTGTCCCAAAATTAGCCTGCGAAACTTCACCAGCGTCTTCTTCGACCAAAAATAGGAAGAAAAGTTCCAATGAACATGAGTCGAGAAATGTCTCCTAAGGAAGCTACGGGTGCTCCTGAAGATGATATTTCTTGAATATTCCCGAAACGCCACGTGATGAAATGATGCAATTTGGTACAGAACTAAACTTTTCATGCCCAATGCGATGAACGTAAAATCATTTCAGAGTTTCATTCAGGAGTGTATAATACAGGGTGAGACTACATTAAATAATTCACAAATTTTTTCGTATGCATATTTTTTGACAATTTAATCTGGGATTATGAAAATCCACACCATTTCACAAAAAAAGTGCTCCTGTTCCGCATCGATCAGATGTATCATTTTCGAGTGAAATCGATTTTAAAAATATTGATGCACTCACATCTTATGCATAACGTTGCCAATATTCAAATCATGGTGGCTATAAAAAAAAATCAAGTACTTTCTTTTTACCAAACAACCTCATGAAAGCGCGAAAAATAAAAAAATCTGATGAAGAAATTAATTCAATTTTTGTGCATTTTTTTCATTTCCACTATGCCTCATTGCAATGTTATGCATAATATCTGAGATGTAACAATATTATTAAATTGCTTTCACTCGATAATAATACATCTGATTGTCACGGAACAAGAGCACCTTTTTTCTGTAAAGAGGTGTGGAATTTCATAATCCGAGATTAAATTGTCGAAAGATATGCATGCAATAAATTTTGAGCAATATTCAATGTCGTCCCACTCTGTATTATACACTCCTGATTGAAATTTTGAAATGATTTTATTTTCACTGCATTGAGCATGGAAATTTCAGTTCTTGTACCAAATTGCATCATTTTATTACATGGAGTTCCGGAAATACTCAAGAAATATCATCTTCAGGAGCCCCCTTTCGGGGGGCCATAGCTTCCTTAGGAGACATGTCTCGACTCATGTTCATTGAAAGTTTTATTTCTATTTTTGGTAGTAAAAGCCGTTGATGAAGTTTGGCAGGCTAATTTCGCAATATTTATCAGTATCCTTCCTAATTTCATGCAGGCGGGATACAAGCTTCCTATCACTTAAATTCTCACTCGGTTTTGTAGTTATACATAATTCCACCTGCAATTCTAATACAGCGCTCATTTTCTGACAGCCAAATCGAATTTTCTTTTAGTTTGAAAACTGAACTCCTAGTCTCCTAGGCTCAAAATTTCAGTAATATGCTGAACAAAGCTGAATATACTCGGTGAATGGCATTGCTCCTTCAATGGAAATGAAAATCTGATTTGATGAAAGATGTTGATTAGAATGCTATTATATTCTCGCCCTAGGTGTATAATATACTATTATCATTATAGAAGAATTTCAATCGTTGGGAGGAATCGACATTCGAATCTGAGGTGCAACATTTCCTGGTTCGTTTGGTAACATTCAGTGAGATAAACAATTAGCTCTGAAATGATTTGCGAATGCTAGGAAAAAGTAAATGAGCTAGTCAACAGAAATACAAGAAAGGAACTAAAACACCCTTCGTTGGGCTAGCACCTTTCTGCGGGATCGGCAGCAGTGTATCAGAAAAAAAAATGAAAGATTGTTATATGTTTATCGATTTTTATTAGCTTATTATAAAGAAATTAGGCATTTAATCTGTGATTGGACTAAGAGAGGCGCATTTTCACGTTTCTTCTCGATATTTGACAATTTTTTTCCGCTACATCAGAAAATACATGGTGCTCGGAACAAACGATCTACGGACGAACTCATTGAGCCACCCACATGAGCGTAATATACAAGGTGTCCCAGAACAACGAATCATCAATTCCACAGCGTGAACTAGTGGCTGAAATTGGCCGATTGAAATCAACTCACCTCTATACGAAAATGCGCTGTTGATCCGCGAGAGGGCTATGAAGGATGATTTTATTCACAGATTTTCTTCAATATTTCGAAATCCTTGAAAGATATTACTCTGAAGTAGTGCAAATTACTATAGTGAATGTACATGGAAAAATTTTCCAATTCAATCTATATACAGGGAGATGAGTATTTGGCATTCTCTTTGATAAAAACTAATGTTACTCTTTTGGAGTTCGGCACTGACCACATTGTGATATTTCAAAGAATGACAAAATCAATTATCCCACTTTTGTCGAACTGCAGTTTTTTTTATAATTCTTGTTTTTAGAGATAAATAACAAAGTAAATTTTGGTGCTTCTCCTTACTACTCGTTTATGATGTTAGAATTATCTTCATGTGCACTGAAAATCGAAGGCCAATTTACTATAGTGAATGCGCATGGAAAACATGTACCAATCCAATCAATATACAGGGAGTTTTTCATTCTATTTGAAGAACATTAATTCAACTTTTCTTGGAGTACGGCACTGACCACATTGTGATATTTCGAATGATAAAATCAATTATCTCACTTTTATCAAACTGCAGTGTTTTTATAATTCTTCTTGGTTTTCGAGATATTCAACAACATTCAATTTGTTGCTCGTTGTGACATAAACTTAACCTTCGTGAGTAATAGCCCTCAGTAATTGCTCGTTGAATAATATACTATTATGAACTACTTTAGCATAATGATGATGTCGTTGGTCATCCTCAAATTTATTTATTTTTTCTCGAATAAAGTTTTTTTACCAAAAATCCTGAACTGAAATTTACAAATATACATGATTATTTATGTGGTCAATAACTCAACACAAATGAGGTAGAAATTTTGTTGTTTACCACCAAGGAAAATTATAAAAAAATGTCAGTAAGAAAAAAGTGATATAACTGATTCTGTCATGTTTTGAAATATCAAAATGTGGACAGTGCCGTACTCCAAAAAAGTTACATTAATTTTTATCAAAGAGAATGCGAAATACCTAACTCCCTGTATAATGATTGAATTGGTGAGAGTTTTCCATGCACATTCACTATAGTAAATTGCGCAACGAATTTCAGAGCAGTATCTTTCAAGAATTTCAAAATATTGAAGAAAATCTGGAATGGGCTTATATCACAAAAAAAATGTATTGCATAATTCGATAGAACTCACCGAAACTAGCTCACCACCGCAAACCGTTTCTTGCTGTGAGCTCCCTACGTTTCATGAAAAATTATTGAAATCCCCGATTTTTCGGACCTCTGAAAACGAGGCGATAATGTGACGTCAAAACCCTGATACTGAAACAAGACTGTTTCAGACAGAGATGAATGATACAAGATTTCTGACAGAGTGAATTAGAGATCACAGTTGATAGAATTAATACATCAGTTGCCTCAGTCTCCGTCGGGCGTTTGGTATTTTCTTTTTACTATGGCGAGATGAGGTTTCTACGTCATTAGAGGGTCCGTTTTCAGAAGATACTATTATTTATGCCCAAAAATAGAATATTCCAGTTAATTTTTCGATCGAATTATATCGTCAATCACTATTTATGTATAAAAAGATCATTGTAAACATGGTTTGAGTTAAAAGTTCTACTAAGGTGTACACGCCCATTGCAATTCCCCTTCATCGCCCTCACGGCTCAACGGTGCATTTTCGCATAGAGGTAAGTTGATTTTAATCAGCCTATTTTGGTCCCTAATTCACCCTGTAGAATTTTTGGTACGTTGTTCTGGGTCACCTTGATTATCAAAAAATCGGTTATATCTTCGTAGTCTCTTGACAACCCCATCATACGCCGTATTGTTGGATTCATTTTCGAAATCAATCTCTAACTGATTGTGGAATGACATACCGGGTGTCCTATTAAAAATCAACTAATAACCTGTAGATCGTTTTTTCCGATCACCCTGTATTTTCTGATGTAGGGGGTACATTTATGGTGAATCATCCTGTACAATTCATAAGATTGAGCAATATTATTCAGCATATGTGCAGATTCAGTAATTTCATACATTCTGTCAAAATTCTCAATGTTCGTCGTTTGACGTCGTATCACATTTATGTAGATGAATATACTCTTCAAAAACTTTGTCACAATAATATATTCTTTCAACAAAGGTTAAATGACATTTCCCATATCTATTCTAGAATGCAATATCTAGCTTCAATATGTGGCTCTACTGGAAGTGGAATACAGAATCCCTTGAAAATTTTACAAAACAGGGCCATGAAATAACTACTCCCTACCTTCGTCTAACTCCAACCACTGAACTTTACTCTCCAAGAGGTTTTCTCTCAGTAGACAGTACTTTAAAACCAGCATCTTCATGCATGCAATATTAAATAAAAGAAACACGCGATCACAGTATTTAGATCAACTCAAGATGTTCACGCACACTCTACAAGAAACTGTACAAATATTTACATCCCATCCATCAAATCCAAACATGGAATGAACTCCATCCATTATAAAGGTATAAAATATTATAATGAATTGCCAGGACGAATGAAAAATCATTCCTTTTTCAAATCCCGAACATTATTGAAAAAACCAGATTCTAGGTAGATGAATAAATAAAAAACACTTTCATCCTTATTCCTTTTCTTGTTGTTCATTAATATTAATACATATAAGTTATGGGTATTCTAATTCGTATGTCTTACTACTTAACCTGTGTACTATTGTATTTATAATATATGTATATTGAACTGTTTGTTATTGTTATTGCTATTATTATTATTATTATTATTATTATTATTATTATTATTATTATTAACACTCTTCAACTTTCTTTCTTTGTTCTTATCATTGAAAAAATATATGTTTTTCTAATTAGAATAAATGAAACATTAATTCTCAAAAACATGTCGAAATAACTCATTGTTGAGCCAGTTTCCATTATCTGTTATCGTTGGACATTTATGCAGATTCAATTTTGTTCTTAGGTTGTTCTACAATTGACCGCAGATTTGGATGGCAACTGTGAACGCGACAGATCTTGTCTGAACTCTTTGTTGACTGTAACAGTAGCTGAATTACAACTGAATAAGGATCAATCTGATGATGTTTGTACTAGAACAAAACAAAGAGAAGTTCAGTTGGTTTTGTTGAGATTGCTAAGTAAGTAATAAATAATAAATCAGAATTGTTGAAAATTTTGCGGTCAACGAAAGGGTACATACTTATTGAAGAAGAAAAAAAAAATAGTCACACGTCAGGAACGTAGTGTATCAATTAACGATGTTGAAAATTTGACATTTACGTGAATATAAATAAGTTTCAGGCTATTTGGAATATCCTGTCATAATCACTGCTGAAAATCAATCACATCTTGACGACGATTTATTCATTTTTCCTCTTACCTAACCAGACAAACCAGGTTAACATTGTGATGACGTCACGGTAACTTTATTATGAAGTTACGGTTTACTTGTGAAGCTTGACATATGTCAGTTTATCAGCTGTTTTTGTTTATTGTTTGGTTCTAGTAGTAATACATTGAATAAGAAATTCATCATCTGTAACAAGAATATATCATAGATAGGAACTAGGTACTTACATATACTTCAAATTCAAGAAAATTGGAATACACTTGGAGGAACATTTACTGGTTGACTGTTTGTTGGCCCGGTTTGTGTGGTTTTCTTCGAGGAAAAATGGCTATTGTTTCTTTTATGAATTTTTGTTCATTGTGAACAGTTTCTCACCATATTTTTGAAAATGATTCAAAAAAATAATGATCGGGCATACATGCAAAATTCATACTAGCACTGTTACTGTTACTGAACTAGTCTAATGCAATCGGTCGAATATAACACCGACGGCTCGGGACATTCCAGTAAAATAATTAAAAAATATAATCAGTGTAGTACCAGTCAGTGTATTCTCTATATTTATTTTCAGGTGTTTTCATGCAAAGGTGTAAGACAACGCCATCGAGTAAAGTACCTACCACAGAAAATTCGACTTTTGTCTCTCGTACCACTGCTACAATTTTGCATAAAGCTGGTATCATCGAATACTGTAACAAACTCCTTCAATCATTGCTTTCCTATTGGCGAAATTTGGCGGAAGAAAATTCTAATAGCGTTACCGGCAATTTACTCAAGGAACATTTATCACACCCTCCACCAGATATGACGCCATTTTTCCAAAGACAGTTCGTTAAAGATAACCAGGATGTTTTCTATACTTATCCACAACTACTGACAGAAATAGCTTTACGATTACCATACCAAGTTCATAGGCATTCGGAAATATCAGAATCTATTGCTATTGCTTTCGATGTCTCGTGGTATAACCTCCTTTGTGACTATATGATGACACCACAGACACCATTTGTCAGAAGACAGGTCAGGAAACTTTTGATGTTTATTTGTGGGAATAAAGAAACTTACCGCCAGCTTAGAGACTTGCATGGTTTGAAGAATCATATGAAAGGTGTGAAGGAATGTTGCATAAAAGGTGGTTATCAACCTACAATGGATGTACAACATGCTTTAGGTTTACCATATGATTCTCTAGTTGAGCTCATTGAACATCTAAAATATTGTGTTGAAGTAGCACAAAGTCGTACTGGAAATTGGCAACGCTTTTGTATCAAAGAAGATGACACCATTCAGCTTTTGTTACGTGTAAGCTTTCTGTTAGATGATGGTGTCGCTCCTACTATCTTACAACTTCTGCAAAGTGCTCTGGTTGTCAGTTCTACGAGCCCTAAGAAGCCTGATGCTTCTAAGCAAGTATTACGAAAAGACCGTGAAAAATCTGAGGATTCAACCATAGAGGCACTTTTTGAAGAATCAAGTGGCATAACCCTAGTAGAGCAAATAAATAGCCAAATATCTAGAGAAGTGTTCGCTAGATTTGTGAAAACATTCATGCTAGAAACGAACATTACCGCAGTGCGATGGCAAGCACACGCATTGGTGCAGTCTATTTACAAGAACTCTGATCCAAAGAACCAAGAGTCGGTACTAGAACTTCTATGGCAGTTATGGCCACTTTTACCTGCATATGGAAGAAAGGCAGCTCAGTTTGTTGACCTACTAGGCTACTTCTCATTGAAATTCACCGAAAAACCTGAAGGGATGTCTCTTATTCCTGAATATGTAGAACGTGCTGTAAGTATTCTGAGAGCTCAAAATGAAATGTTGGCGCATCACCCCAATGCCAACTTGTACGCTCACATGAGCCAATTCGTCGATTTGGATGGCTACTACCTGGAATCGGAACCATGCCTTGTATGCAACAATCCAGAAGTCCCATTTAGCACCATCAAACTGAGCTCTATCAAGGTAGACTCAAAATTTACAACTACGACCCAAATTGTGAAACTTTTGTCTAGTCATACAATCAGTAAAATCACTATCAGAATTGCAGACCTGAAACGCACTAAAATGGTGAGAACTGTTAACATTTACTATAATAATAGGACAGTTCAAGCTGTTGTCGAATTGAAAAACAAGCCAGCCTTATGGCACAAAGCTAAGAAGGTGACCTTACAATCAGGCCAGACAGAGGTTAAGATCGAGTTTCCATTACCTATAATAGCTTGTAATCTGATGGTAGAATATGCTGACTTTTACGAAAATATACAAGCATCGTCTGAAACATTGCAATGTCCTAGATGCAGCGCTTCTGTTCCGGCTAATCCAGGTGTATGTGCAAATTGTGGAGAAAATGTATTTCAATGCCACAAATGTCGAGCTATCAATTACGACGAGAAAGACCCCTTCTTATGCCATGCTTGTGGCTTCTGCAAGTATGCTAAGTTTGATTTCAGTTTGTATGCAAAACCATGTTGTGCTGTAGAACCAATAGAAAATGACGAAGATAGAAAAAAGACTGTGTCTAGTATAAACACATTATTGGAAAAAGCAGATCGAGTTTATAAACAATTAATCGCTATCAAACCAACTTTAGAGTCACTGGTCTTGAAAATCTCTGAACATAGGTCTGATAAGAGACCCGAGGAAGTTGTTACTACATCAAATAATTCTTCTAATGCAGCAGCAACGACATCAACAGCTGGGGCTCAGCTCAAGGTTAATAAAACAATACAGTTATTGGGACAGCAATATTGTATTGAATGCAAGACTTCGTTTGAAGAATTGAGTAAAATTATTCAGAAAGTTCTCGTGTCTAGAAAAGAGCTTGTGGCATATGATCGAAAGCATAGGTGAGTGGAGTATTCTATTATATTTCATATTATTATATGAAATATCAACTCTAAACAATGTGCGGATAAATATTAACTTCTCAACTATACACAATCAAATTTATCGATCAAACAACTCTCTACTAAAACTATCTCATTCAGGAAGTATTCCGACAAATTCATAAGATCTAGAAGTTCAAATATTTCTAATTCCAACTTGCTATTCAATTTTTATTCATATTTTAAACTCCTCTGACAGGTCGATTTTTTTTTGAGAATCATTTTTTTATATAAAATGTTTTAACCACTTTGCATATGGTGCAAGGGGTTACAGGGAGGTCGAAAGATTTCAAAATAATTAGAATTTTTGTCCAAATTATTGGTTTCATTGTATTAGCTGTAAAGTGAATTTTATTTAAAGTTAACTCAGATTTTATCATTAATGTCCGTCTACGCCTATGTACAATGAAACAGTACTAACCATTACCAATAATTTGGGCAAAAATATTAATAAATTTCAAATTTTTCTTCTGCTCCCTTGCGAATATGACGCAACCGAATTAAAAAATTAGGTACCTTTGCATAGATATTTGGAATACCTCTCTGACAAAGTATACCTTGACCCCATGTACCATTTAAATAGTTTCAAGGAATGAGTCAAAGGACAGGAGGTTGACAGGTGGGTGAAAAATTTCAAGAAGAAAAAAACTATTCCATAAATGAAAATAGACCTGTCCGAGGAGTATTTGAAAAATATTCCTGTTATGGAGATTTATTCCATCGTTGGTTACCACACTGTATAAAAAATATGGTTTCTCAGGAAGGATGAAGTAAATTAACACACATAGATAATCTCAAATGTAGATATTATCGATTTATCAATGTTAAACAGTCAATCATATTATTACTTTCAATTCATATACAATTTATTGATATTTGATGCAACATATTCATTTAGGGATATGGAACTTCCAAAATCAACACCTGTTCTTGGTGACACATCAGTTATTCCTCGAATCAATAATCGTTGCTATGGTTGTTCCACTTCAGCGACAGAACATTGCCTAACTTTGTTGAGGGCTCTTGCCCACAACCCTACAACAAGACAAGCCTTGTGCCAAGAAGGTTTAATTCAAGAACTAGTTTGGAATAATCTCCGAAAAGGAACGGTTCACAACCAGGAGGAAGTCAGACAACTACTCTGTGTTCTCACCAAAGACAACTTTTCTGCCACAGAAGAACTATGTACCCTACTTATGGAGAAAATTACATTGAGTTTGAATGGACATGTCAATAGTTCTGACTTAGGAACAAGTGTTCGGCATGAAATTGCACTATTGGCAGCAATGGTTCAGAAAGAAGATGAATGTTGGGAATTGAAACTGAGATGCATGATGGGACTGTTCTTGAAAGCATGTGAAGATTCTAGAAGTCCCTTAGTAATGGAGTCAGTCATCCTACCCTGCTTGAAGATTTTACAGGGTCTGATGAGACCTTCAGACAGTACTAACAAGAAAAATAAAGATAAGGAGAATGATGTGACTAGTAAAACGACCCCACTTGCAGGCACAACAGTTGATGTGCACAAGTTCTTGGACAAAGATTCTCATCACACTTTTGATGGTTGGAAGGCTAGATTACCAAGTACACAAGATATTAACCCTCCAAAAGAAACATCGAAAGAAGAGGTAAGCGAAACTTTCCCAATAGTCTTGACATTACAGTAAATAGTGTTTTTATTCTAACTAATTAGTAATCAACAAAGTATATATATCTTGGTATCTGGATTGATGAAAAATTGAAATGGAACAAGCATGTAGAGGTTCTGATACAAAAAATATCTCCAATAATTGGAGCTTTGTGAAGATGCCCTAAACTTGATAAAAAAAATCAAAAACATAGTACTTAATTCTCATATACTCAGTTGTATTAGCTATATGATAAACGTTTGGGGATCTAGTTCAAAACATTATTTCAGTTAAATATCTCCACTTTATAAGAAATCTCTGAAAGTATTGTATCGCCTCTCATTCGATATCCCAACAAATGATCTGTATGCGATAACAGAAAAAATTTCATTGGATGAATTCTATAAGATGGATACTCTAAAAAATTTTCATATAGTATCATATCACACGAGACAATTAATCTTATTCCATCTTGATTTTGCTACTTTCATACTTGGCCAAAAAAAAATACTCATGCTGCTCTAGCTGAATTCAATAAATTTACACATGATATGAAAATTGCAAATATATTTCAAAATTTGAAATTGCGTTGAAAAACAAGATTTTATTACGAAATCGATAAAATTAATACTTTGCCATCTACTGATTTGTCCCTGTTGCTATTTTATGATTTGATCGATTAAGCATTTTTAGATTTTTTAGATTTTCTTCGTTGTCACCTTAAGATATTTTATCATTGTTGTTTGTAATCAACTTCCTCATGATAGAATTTTATTTCTGACTGGAAGCTATTTTCTCAATAAACAATAAACAATATGTTCATCAGAAGGCAATCTGGCAATTACAAGTGTTCATAGTCGCTCGAGTATTTTGTCATCAGATAAAAATTCGTAGTTCACAAATCAAACTTGAATCAAAATTACTTTATTGACTCAAAAATTTTATTTGAACATTCAAGGCCACATAGTCAATACTATGGAAAAACTACGAAATATATACATAAATACACTTGAAAGTCATTACATTACATTTGTAGTGCAGACTACACATCAATTTTTCAAGGTCGGACAGGCAATAAAATCTAAAACATAAGTACATGATATATCTCAAAACAAACAAAATCAAGACAGACAATAATATCTGATATCTGTCTAGTAAATCTGAACATCTAGAAGATATAGAGGTGGGCCTCTCTGTTGAAATAAGAGAACAACTTATTTTGTATGTATTTCTCCGAAAAGTATCGATGTGTATATGCCAGAAAACTGAAACTTTGGGAATCTTCCATTGCTTGTTTGATCCAACTTTGATAGACATATACTTTTCAACACTAACTCTCTTCTATTTTATGTTTTATTACTTGAAAACTCAGACGTGGTCGAATATTCAAATTTTCTGAAATGATACTTCACAGAACTCTCTGCTATCATTCCATCACTAGCAATACCAGTCAGACGAACTCGACAAGTCCAGTCAGCACATTCTTTCGTCGTCAACTTTGAGATATCAACTCTTTACCAGAACTCATTCACCTATTGAACGGTAAAACTTAATTCTTCGCCAAAGAAAATATTCTCAAGAACTTATAATCCTCGGAAGTAAAGATAAAAATAAAAAATATAAAAAAATATACTTAGTCGATTGATCTTTTCAAGATCTCTTCCAGATAAACCTATATCACTAGCTATTTTCGAAAAACCTACAGCAGACTTTTCAATGTTGGTTGATCATGAGAGTGAATCTGCTGAATTCGCTGATGTCCGGCACCGGTTGATGTAACTCACTATTATACTTAGAATTCTGTCAACTCGGAGAGTGGTAAAGTTTGTTATTCAGCATTACCAATTTAAGTTCCGTATTTGTAACCATAAATATGAAAAATTTCGGTTTTGTAACAGAAAATAAGGTCTTCGATTAGCCGAAAAATACCAATGAAAGTCTATGATGAATTTTCCGATATTGTTTTTTATAGTGGAATTTTCTTAGTGTTTTGTTTTAGTTTCAATATCAATCTCAATGTAATTTAAACAGAAAATTTTCCAAATCTTATTTATGTCGACATAACTACCGAGACGTAATGAAACCTAGTGAAACTGCAATTGAAAAATATGTTTTTTTTTTCAGGCAAGGAAGTACTACTTGAATGAAAAATATGGAAGAATGTGGAGGCGAACTGTGAAAAAAACGTTCGTTAGTGATAAACTCACATTACATGATTCTTCTTGGTTGAAAGCTGTCATTTTCAATTCAAGTTCACGGCTTGCCAGACAAGTATCATGCAATATCATCGAGTTTATGTGTAGCAGCTTTGAACGTAAACGAGAGGTATAAAACATTGTTTGTGTTGAATGAGTACTCTTCTGAATCCCTTATTTTTTAGATTCTCAATTTACTAACCCATTTTCTAATGGAACTCAGCATTGCTGGAGAAAGCTCGGCCGAATTTCTCGCTTTATACCAAAATCTGATACAGGAAACACCTTGGAAACAATACTTGACTGTCCATGGCGTTCTTCTAGTATTGGCACATCTTGTCACTGTAGAAATTGAAAAACTACACAAGTTGGAGGAAACAACTTTAACTTCGGATCTTGCCCAAGGATATGCCTTGAACCAATTAACAGAATTACTCTCTTCCTTCCTGGATGATGCCACTATAAGAAGGCAGTATAAGGGTAGATTAGTAGGAGCTGTACTGAATGGGTATTTGTCCCTTAGAAGACTGGTGGTACAAAGAACAAGGTTGATAGATGAAACTCAAGAAAAGTTATTAGAATTACTCGAAGAGATGACTTCTGGTACTGAGGAGGAAACAAAAGCCTTCATGTCAATCTGTATCAAAACTGTAGGAAAGTACAGCCTCCAAGATATTTTAACGCCAGTTTTCATTTTCGAGAGGTTATGTTCCATAATTTATCCAGAGGAAAATGATGTAGGAGAGTTCTTCCTGACTTTAGAGAAGGATCCCCAACAGGAAGATTTCCTCCAAGGGCGAATGTTGGGTAATCCTTATTCTAGTATGGAGGCTGGTTTAGGCCCTCTAATGAGGGACGTCAAAAATAAGATTTGTCAAGATTGTGAACTGGTGGCTCTCCTTGAAGATGATAACGGAATGGAACTGTTGGTCAATAATAAAATTATGAGTCTGGATTTGCCTGTCAAAGACGTCTACAAAAAGGTAAGATATTGTAAAACAGTGTTCAACATTGTTCAACAAATGCGCAGAAAAGTTGATTGAAAAATGTTATGACAACTACGTTGATTGAACTAAGTCAAGTATGAACGATTGCACCAGCACAGCACCAGATCCGTTATAACAATTATCGAAATATTCAATTGAAATTTATCATTTTGATGTGTTCAAAACCCTTTTAAAAAAGATCTTGTCAACTTTGAAACGGGTGCAGATCAACGAAGATTTTTTGGTGGTGGTAGAATATCACATGAAAAATGGATAATTTGCCAAGAAATGCGGCGCAGCAGAAACATTTCTTCGTTTGATGTCAAATGCTGTATATTTTGTTGCATTTCATGTAGCTATCAGAATATCAAAATTTGACCCAAAATCATAGATACTTTTTCATACAATAACTATAAATTGGAAACAGTGTCATTTCTTGGATATTATATAGGTACAATTTGAATTCGAAAAAAATCCTCCATTCACATAAACTGAGACGTAACAATTTATTTTTCGGGATGGTAACGTTTGAAGCATCAATTCACGAGTTTGTTGGATACATGATAAAAATGCACCGCAAGTTTTTTTATTGAAATTACTTGATCGGTTATCTCATATCGGGGGGGGGGGGTGGTCAATTAATAACACTTTTTTATCCGAACCTGCTCTGAAACCACTGTATACAGCTTATGGCTGCACGATATTGGATTTCACATATCGATTATCGATAAGTCAAAACATATTGATTCGATGGTTATCAGTATCTCGATTTTTATCGATGTTGATTTTTTTGGAATTTTTCCAGGCCTAACTCAAAATAATCCTATGTTTTCTCCAAACCAAAGGTAATAGAATCTTCAACCAAACTAATTAAATCAGCATAAAACCTAACTATACATACCTACATCACAGATCGTACATACCTACCTACCTACACCATATATTTTCATGCCTGAACAAACCTTACAAAAAAATAATAAAAATTAATTTTAAAAATATTATAATTATTCCCTGGATATTATGAAAGCGTGTAAGGATCACAAATAAAATGAATACATTTTCTCATCTTCAACTATATTAGTAGCTGTAGCAATCAATAGATTTCGTATAGGATTTGTAGGGATGCAGCTAATATATTATGGGACTCAGAAGAATACTTTACTTTTGAGAAAGCTTTCGGAATATTTTTATTCCTTCGTCAGTCTCTCAAACGGAATGTACAATTATTATATTCAAAAGAAATGGGGATTTGAAATCACAGTAGATGAGATTGTAGAAAAGCAAATCAGAAATGTATAAAATTGTTTTTGAGTGTCGTACTTGATTTTTTTCTCCTTTATTGTTCAGTTCTCGGTATGAAATTTCTCAATAATTAAAAGAATTAGAAAAAAATCTGATATCATGTGGATATTCGCTAGGCTGTATCATATTGATGTACTGAATATGTGTACTTATTTCAAAAACATCCTGTATATTAACGAATATTTCAATCCCATGTATTTTTTCATGTTACATGTTGTAATTTTGACAAAGTTATATTTGGTTTATATCCATCAATTTATGAATTTTTTTATAATTTATACATTTCTGATTTGCTTTTCTACAATCTCATCTACTGTAACTAATTTCAAATCCCCATTTCTTTTAAATATAATGATTTTACAGAGAGATTGACGAAGGAATTTAAATATTCCGAAAGCTTTGTCAAAAGTAAAAAGAGTTTTCTTTTGAGTCCCATATTAGCTGCATTCCCACAAATCCTATACTTAATCTATTGATATATTTATCGATATTTTTTCCCAAGCCTAATACAGCTTGTTTTTGTGAGTTACTGAATAGGTTATTTAGAAATCAAAATTATCTTGAAAAATACAATCAAACCCATAAAATTCCATTTTTATTCGCTTTTGTGAAAAATATGCTTTTTCAAGTTTCAAGATAGAAAATGGTGTCTTACCTTTTACACGAAGCAAATTTGTATATAAATTTTGTTACTTGTAATCTCATTATATGCGTATTTTCTCGAACTTTTTACTGTTTCAAAGGTTTGGTTGGCTGAAGGTGGTGATCATGAACCTATGCGAATAATTTATAGAATGAGAGGACTCCTTGGTGATGCTACTGAGGAATTCATAGAAAGTCTTAACAATAAAACTCAAAGTGCCGTTGACAATGAAGAAGTTTATAAAATGGCTAATGTTCTTGCACATTGTGGTGGACTTCAGGTGAGTAGAAGGATTGTTGATGGAAAAATATCATAGCAGAAAATCTGATCATGAATTCAAATTCAAAATCTCATATCCATATAATTTCGAATACAACATACAAAACCTGTTGTTACATTATGAAACTTGTCTTGGAACAATGAATAACAGCACTTTCTATTTGTAGGTGATGGTTGTCAGATTGGGAGCAATACAAAATGTTAACAGAGCAAGACCACTGTTACAAGTATTGCTGAAATTGTTTAGGCTCTGCGTCAAAGTTAATCGTTGCCAGGAAGTACTGATTCAACCGGAGATCGGTGCCATGGAGGTGTTTTTGCGCACCCTCAAACTTTGTTTAGATAGCGACCCTGATTCCAGTCAGGCAGCTGTTACAGAACAACTCCTGGATGTAAGTTGAATATAACTAGACTCACTAGCTGGTATTATTTAGATAGGAGTGCGGACACAGAAATTACAACAGTTAGTGTTTTTGAATGTTAATATTCATTAAGTTACCCAGCTTGCATTGTGACAAGAGCACCATAGTTGTTCCGCGCTTTTTCATTCAAAATTGTTTGAATACATTGAAATTCCCTTCTCATAACAGCAAATTACAATGAAATTATACACACACTGGCACAATTAGGGGAACGGGCAAAATTTACACTAAGTTTGACATCAATTTTCTTTCGAACCGATCGCTCGATTCAAATTTTTTTCTTCACGAAATGAAGCTTCATTCTTCACGAATACATCTGAGAAATAATTACCTTCAAACGATGAGTCTTTCCATCATATACAGGGGTGTAAAGAAAGTACGAATTTTTCGGTATTTTTTTAGACATCCTGTGGACTGAACCACTGATAATTGAAACGATTTCTCAACACCAAATTGGAGCCCAATCTATTCCGAATATTTTCGTTTTTTATTCATCTTGATATCTCAATTATTCAAGAAAATACAGAGTTTCAAAGGAAAGGTGGATATTGGTATCAATTTTACACCTCAAAACTCAAATTGGATCTGAAAATGTGTCGTTTCTCGACTAACCTAACCTAACCGTGACTAAACCTCTGCCATAGGAGACAAGCAGTAAAATCAAATTGTTCATTTTGTTCACCTCGACGATATAGTCTTTCCCTGCCATCTATTGAATTGGTGCAGATGCGGCTCTCATATGTTGAAAGAACATTGGCCCACTGGTCATTTTCAATTAATGCTACAGCCCTCGCCACATCAGTAGGAGTCGAATCTCTCATGTTGAATTTTCAATAATCAAATTTATGAATTGTGAATCGCCTGACTTTGACAATAATTAATGACATTAACAAAATAGCCAACGTTTATTAACAAAAATAGCATTTCACCAAAAGAACATTGGAGCAACTTTTATCACCCCTGCATATTCATGGGAGTATTCGTATATTATGTGTCTTCAAACAGTAAACCGATAAGTCGAAGCCCTGAGGGGGCAGAAGGACGATCTAGAACATTAAACCACTTTGAGAATTACAGGTGTTGCGATAGTCTACAGAATCTGACATGGATGTCTTTTCTGTAAGCATATAGACGTAGGGGTCTATATGCACGACTTACTCGCAAGGTATGATTGATGAATCTACCATACACCTTTGCACTTAAGCCACTAGATGGCTATGAAGGCTAGATCGTCCTTCTGCCCCCTCAGGGCTTCGACTTGTTGGATATATGGAGGTACCCTTCGTGAATCGATTGTCAGCTGGCCAGTGCAACTGATGAGACTTATGGCAAGTCGAAACAGTCTGTCTTGCATCAGCTGACAATCGATTCACGAAATTTCCCTAGAATCTCTTAGTCTTGAGATTCTAGGTTTATCACCATCTGTTAGTGGAACATTAAACCACTTTGAGAATTACAGGTGTTGCGATAGTCTACAGAATCTGACATGGATGTCTTTTCTGTAAGCATATAGACGTAGGGGTCTATATGCACGACTTACTCGCAAGGTATGATTGATGAATCTACCAAACACCTTTGCACTTAAGCCACTAGATGGCTATAAAGGCTAGATCGTCCTTCTGCCCCCTCAGGGCTTCGACTTGTTGGATATATGGAGGTACCCTTCGTGAATCGATTGTCAGCTGGCCAGTGCAACTGATGAGACTTATGGCAAGTCGAAACAGTCTGTCTTGCATCAGCTGACAATCGATTCACGAAATTTCCCTAGAATCTCTTAGTCTTGAGATTCTAGGTTTATCACCATCTGTTAGTGGAACATTAAACCACTTTGAGAATTACAGGTGTTGCGATAGTCTACAGAATCTGACATGGATGTCTTTTCTGTAAGCATATAGACGTAGGGGTCTATATGCACGACTTACTCGCAAGGTATGATTGATGAATCTACCATACACCTTTGCACTTAAGCCACTAGATGGCTATGAAGGCTAGATCGTCCTTCTGCCCCCTCAGGGCTTCGACTTGTTGGATATATGGAGGTACCCTTCGTGAATCGATTGTCAGCTGGCCAGTGCAACTGATGAGACTTATGGCAAGTCGAAACAGTCTGTCTTGCATCAGCTGACAATCGATTCACGAAATTTCCCTAGAATCTCTTAGTCTTGAGATTCTAGGTTTATCAGTAAACCGATAGGTAAAACTGTGAACAATTCTCATCTTGAAGTAAAAATCCTCACAGAAACAAGTTGAAAAACGACACGTTCTCCCCAGTTCGAGTTTCGAGGTGGTAAAATTAATACCAATATCCACCTCTTCTTTGAAACTCTATATTTTCTTGGATAATTGGGATATCAAGATGAATTAAATTCAATTATCAGTGGTTCACTCCACAGGATGTCTTAAAGAATACCGAAAAATCCGTACTTTCTTTACACCCCTGTATATGATATAAAGACGAATCGTTTGGAGGTGGTTATTTCTCAGATGTATTCGTGAAGGATGAAGCCACAATTTGTGAAAAACAAATTTGAATCGAGTGATCCGTTCGAGAGAAAATTGATGTTAAACTTAGTGTAAATTTCTCCTGTTCCCCTAATTGTGCCAGTGTGTGTATTTTAGGCACATTTTCAAACAGAATATACTAAGATCCGTTTGAGAAATCTTCTGTTTCATTAATTTACCAAACAAAATCATCATTGAGAAAGAGGAATTGATTGCAAAACTACGTAATGAGATTGAAATTTGAGAACGGAACTGAGTAAATCAAATAAATTGCAACTTGATATATCATTGAATGGCGTTTTCAATACCGTCCAAATTCGAAATGTATCAGTGAAAAGTGAATGCAGCAAAAGGTGGAAAATCAAAACAATCTTCTTGTTTCAAACTTTATCACTCGGGTACAGTTTTACATACAATAAGGAACTAGTGATAAGTATGTCCATATGTGTCTGTTTTGTCATATCAAAATGTTTTGACATGCCTTCTTTACATGTTTATAACTGTTGTTCTGCGAAAAATGTATCACAATAAATTGAAGTAGGTGTTTATACCCTATTTTTATTTAACAGCTGCGGCTATGATCGATTTGATAAAAAAACTAACCTCAAAAATCGTGTCTGACAATCAGGCGCTACTAGGAAACTGAAAAGACAAAGAGCAGAATAAATGTCTTATTCTTTTATTCACTCTAACCATTGTAATATAGAAAATAGAAAAGGCCAGAAGCTCAGCTTTGTTCGAACTCTTATCTAACTAATACCATTCAGTGACTCTAAATATAACGTATTATGAATGTTCATGATTTCGAAGCGATTTCTTCTCAGCATCTTGATTTGCAGCTAGCAGTTTCAGTGTGTTATTCTCAAGTAAACTTCTAATTTTGAGGAAGTTGTGTGTCACAAATATTATTTATTCAAATATGTTTCCACACAAATATCTGTCACTGGCAATCAGTTGCTCGTCGTTTGTCGTGAGTTTTTTGTTGACAATGTCTTCTATACATTGAAAATTGTATTCATCTTACACTGTTATAATCAACGCAGACCACGCATCATTTTATTTTATATTGAAGCAACTGAAGATTAAAAGAAAGTCGCGTGTTTCCATAAAACTAACGACCACCTCACAATGGACTTCCTATGACCAAGTTATTGAGTTGAATATAAAGTTTTTCTTATTAACGATTCATCTAGGAAAATATCACGATGAGTCGGCGGGATTGGCGCAGTGTACGAGCGCCCGACTCATGGCCGCGAGGTCGTGGGCTCGAATCCCAGTCAGTGCAAAGAATTTTTATAAATTTCATTTCAAAAATTGAATATTGTAAATTCTCGGAGCTTCGGCTGGGGATTTTTTTTTAAATTTATTGTATAAGAGTGAATTGATTCCATTCCAAACTGATTTCGGAGTGCTATTGAAAAAATGGTCATCTTTTGACTCTCTTCTAGTTTTCTTCACCAAGTTATTATAGAAATCATATTGATCTTCGAAATAATTCATATTTGGGTGATTTCTCCTTTTATGATGAAATTTGTCACGTAAAATGATTGAATTACTGACATTATGGTTTGGAGTCACACCTCTGTCTAATAATTTTTGAAGTCAAACAATTATTGAAAATTTTCAATATTTCTTCATGTGCTTAATCAAGATTATTGTAATTATCGATATTGACATTCAGCATGTCCACTTCAGTTCGTAATTTTTCTATGTCATATGTTCTCATTAATTTGGTCACATATTTCTTATTGTCCGAGATTCACGAATGCAAGTTAGGTAAAATGTATGGTCACTTAATGAGTTATTGATAGTGAAAAGTCAAGATTTTTTTTGCATTTGTTATGAAATGGTCAAGTAGTGATGAGTTTCTAGTAGGAATACCTTCATTACAATTTCTGAAACTACTAGAATTGTAAATATCTATCAAATCTTCTGATTCATTGCTATTTATTAGAAAATTCATGTTCATATCGCCAAAGTAGAAACATTCACATTTGTCTCTATTAATTGTATCAAGCGACTTTTCCAAAAAATTCAAGGAATATCGGTCTATAAGTGCCACAGAGCACTATTTCTGGGGATTTGATTTTAATGGCCAAATATGTTATAGGGGATTCTTCTTTCTGAATGATATCAAAATTGAAATTTCCATGTATGAAAATTCCTACACCTCCTCGTTTTTCGCCAGTTGCATATACTGCATTGAAGTTCCTGAAATTGTAATACTTTTCCTCTTCTTCATTATTCCATGTCTCAGTTATGACAACGGCGTCCATTTTATTTTTGATAGATCTCAAATTAAGGTATAATATTCTCAGTCTGTTACTGAAATTTATTTCCATATCATTACTATATATGTTAATTCACATAATTTTATAGTGGAATCGTTTATCATAATTTGATTATTTTGTTTTCAATTGATATAGTTAATCTGAGACTTGAGCTGATTGTGAGATAAAACATGTATGTTGTACAATTCTGATCTGTAGGTGGATTCTTCATACAGTATTCTTTTTTGTAGCGTTGGTTGGAAAACTTACAATTTTTACATTTTGGTTGTTCATTGTTCTGACAAAATCTAACTTCATGTGAACCACAGCAACGAGGACAATAGTTCATTTCTACATTTGTTGGATTTGTGATTGAATCCTTAACATTTATTACATTGGGATATAATATTATAATCGTTTACCTTCAAATTTTGCCATCCGACAAAAAGTTTGTTAGCATTTATCATTACTCTTTGTAGTAGCTTTCCATTTATTTCTGCAAATACTGTATATGTACGCTTTTTTTCCAAATATTTCATAAACTCTATTTTGAACGTACCTTCTTCTCTTATAATAGATTCTAATATCATTCTTCCTTTGTTACATTGCCCTCTAATTTAGGTTTTTTTATTTTCGACTCATTCAATTTTTTAATCTCTGCATCATATCTATTTGGTAACTTTTCCATCATTTCCTGTTTAATTTTTTCAACATCTTCCGTCTTTTTACACTTGATCATGATATTGTCCTTACGCATTTCTTTCATCGAATGTATCCAAACTCGTAATTCTCCAATATTCTCATTTTGTTCAAGATCTCTTTTGTTTTTCTCTGAAGACTGGTCGCATTTAGGTTTCATAATTAAAGTTTGTTCATTTTCTTTAGATCCACATTCATATTTTCTGTTGACGATATCAGAATAACTCAGACTATTTGTTGTTGTTATTTTCTCTTCAATCTGGTCCAGAAATTTCATAATATTATTTTTATCAATCATAATCGACACTCTTGGATCATAGTTTTCATTCAATCTCTCATTTAGTTCTGTCAAAACTCTTATATGGTTATCTTTCTCAGTAATTAGTAAATCTTTAAATACTGTTTAATGATGTCTTTCCAGCAATGAAATTTATCCTTCATGATTTTTGGAATAGTTTGTGGAACCAGTTTTACTTCCATAAATCACCCGGGTATAATGAACTTTAGACGGCTCGTTTTTCTCTGATTCAAATAAATCACTACATCTTGAAATACTGAGGCGTTCCTCTTCTTCGGATTCATGAAGAAATCGATCAGTTCTTGAATTATCATTGCTGCAAGTCTTTTGATCACATTCACTCGTTTTTTTCTTTCTTCTCATTTTCATTCCAAATAATTAATATTCTGACATAAACAGATGTTTCTTGGGTTAATAAAGACAATCAATCAATCAATCAAATTATGTGGGTTGGAAAATTATGAAGAAATAATCTGAATTACCTGTATGAGGGAACAGATCAGTTGATCTGTACTAAGATGCTCACTGTTCGTATAGGATGTTGCCTTGATCTAAAAACGCGGTGTAGTGAAATAGCCACTTGTGAAGTCTATCCAAAGTGGAAGCATTTCGGAAAAACCAGAATCTATATTCTATATTTTATTCGCAGTAGATTAACCAGATCAATTGCAAGATCGATCATGGCAACCTCCTCTGTAATGGATTAGATCAACAGCTAATTTGTCATCGATTCAGATGTTTCAGATTTATTTTTAATAATTTTTCAAGAAATACTGATGAGCACAAGAAAAGCATCAGAAATTTGGAAAAGTAGGCATTGTATTGATTTTCATTTTTAGTTTCAATAATTCAACTTTTTTTTTTATAAAATTTTCTCCAAATCATTTAACATATTGGTTAGAATAAGATGACCATTGTGCCGTTCTCTAATTTCTTCATTTTGTTTTGTTACAGATAATGGAAACAGTGCTATCGAAGGCAACTAGCCAGTCATTTGATAAGTTTAAAGAATTTTCTCACACTTTTGGGAGCCCTGAATATGTGAAATCCCTGCTTACATGTACAAATCAATCAGTTGTAAAGAATAATGTTGCCGTTCAAGAACATCTGACTAGAGTGCTGGCCGCATTGGTCTATGGGAATGAAGAAAAAATGAAGATTCTTGTTGACCATTTCAGCTCAGTATTGTATTTCAACAAGTATGATTTCGAACATAATTCAGAAGATCAGCAGAAATTGGAAATGTTCTGTGTACTAACCAATGGCATTGAAAAGAATGCTATCGGAAACACATTCAAAGACTATATCATATCTCTAGATATAGTGAAAAACGCTCTTGAATATATCACTATGCACGCGCCATGTGTGAAGCCCACATTACTTCGTGTTGATAGTGATGAATTGAAAGATTTCATCTCTAAACCTGCATTGAAGTATGTGTTGAGGTTTTTGACGGGATTGGCACATAGTCATGAAAAAACACAGGTATCTACTTCCTAATATATTGATTTGTGTGAAGTATATTGATTGATTTTTTTAGTCGACGATTGCCGCAGCTGAGACAATTCCTATAATACACAGATTAGAACAAGTCTCATCAGATGAACATGTCGGCTCTCTAGCTGAAAATCTCTTAGAAGCCTTGTGCACCAATCCCGAAGTTGCGAAACAAATAGATGCCGTTCGAGACTTCACTAGATCTGAAAAGAAACGTTTGGCCATGGCGATGAGAGAAAAACAACTCGGTCAGCTGGGGATGCGAACAAATGACAAAGGACAGGTGACGGCCAAATCTACCATATTGCAGCAAATCGAAGAACTGGGCGAGGAGTCCGGCCTAGTTTGCTGTATTTGTCGGGAAGGCTACAAATACCAGCCGACTAAAGTGTTGGGCCTGTATACGTTCACCAAACGGTGTAACATCGAGGAGTTCGAAGCCAAACCGAGGAAGACCGTAGGTTACACGACCGTAACTCATTTCAACATCGTTCACATCGACTGCCACATGAGCGCTGTGAGGTTGGCTAGAGCTCGCGACGAATGGGAGTCCGCAGCACTTCAAAATGCTAATACGAAGTGCAACGGCCTGTTGCCACTGTGGGGACCTCAGGTACCCGAATCCGCATTTGCTAGCTGTCTGGCCAGGCACAACACTTATTTGCAAGAAAGCACCAATCATAGGGATATCGGACATAGTTCGACGATTCATGATCTGAAGATATTGCTGTTGAAATTTGCGCAAGAGAAATCGTTTCATGAGGATACAGGAGGAGGAGGGCCACAGAGTAATATGCATATGGTGCCTTACCTGATACACGTCGCTCTATATGTTATAAATACGTAAGTATATTTGTGTGTAATATATAATAGGTTAGTTTATCCTTGCATTAAATTGATTATTCTCATTGCTGATGATGCATCATCCATTGAGAACATACAAGGTATCACAACGAGAACGAAACAGACGATTCAGTCCAGGATAATATTCGTTCCTTGGAGAAAATATTTTTATCATATCCTCAAATGCCACATGTAGTTTTCCTCTCCTCCACTTTGCTTAACAATACAATGTGAATCGAGAAGGCATAATCAATAGGGTAATTTGATGAAGAAATCGGTAATCGGAGCTTATTTTATTGGTATTCCAATGCACTAAATAGAATTAAATGTTACCATAGGAAGTTACTGTAGTTATTGTTGGATGACCCAACTGAATTTCTATTTCCTTTATGGTTTTTTAATTAAACTATATACATTTCCCATGTTTTTGTATTTATATTCAAGGAATACAATTTGGTATCAAAACCTGTCACACATATTTCAGTTCTATCTATTTATTAAACAAAAAACTAAAAACAAGAGGTATATGTTACTATACCTAATGGCACCTTTCTAGAAACCGTGGACTGTATATACCATATGATAAAATTAATATGCCAATGAAGTGATGTTGAAACTGATATTCCGAACAGTTATATTGAGTGTTTTCGAAATTGGGGCGATCAATGAAATGGATGATATGAGACGATAAAACAAAATGAAATGAAAGAATACATTTTTGTCGATAAAAATATTTTGAAAGATATTGAGCTGCAAAGTTTGCCTGAAATTCTGAAAATCATTGATCATAGGTTAATAGCCCAACCCGAGCTTTTGCTTTCGGTGACATCACAAGCACCGGAAGTATCAATGACTTTTGCAATGTGCCGGACGTTCAATAATAGTTGAATGATGTAGTATGGTGGGAGCGAATTTTCAAAAAAAAATTTCCTTTAATTCATCGTGTCTCATAGAACACCTCATTTCTCTCATCGCCCCAATTCCGGAAACACCCTGTATATGTATAGTTTTCCATTTGTGAAGGCTGTATGCAAGTTTATTTTAGATATTCTCATGTAATGTTATTCGTGGATTGAATTAATGATACAATAAGCTTTCAACAAAAGTGCCAAACATTCTGATATATTACATTTCCTCTTTCCGAAACAGCTGTATGTACGCTGGGAATCCCTTTATTATGTTCGCCACAAATTTTTTGTACATTCCCTACGCTCCGTACACTTGGAACAAGTCGGCATATCGTCTCCGTCCAGATTCTCCTCACGCGTAAAAGAGTCCATACATTGTGCTAGTCTCATATGACTGGTGCTTTGCGTTAATGGCAGTGGCAAATCCCAGTAACAATCGAAGGTGACCTAACAGTAACCACAGCAAGAACATTTTGAAGTCTATTTCAGCTGACCGACGAAATCATTGTCGAGTTGTTCATTTGTGAATATCTTTTCCCTGATCCTTCTACTTTTCCATCGTCATTCATATCTTCTGTGATCTCTGTCAAAGAAGGTATTGGCTTCCCCAACTCCCTGTTCACATCTTCATGCAAACAAACCACAATTAACGTAGGAATTCTTGTGCACCCTGCTGGACGTAACCCATGAAACGTTGACGATATTTTTTTAAGGATCATCGGACCAAAGTTCTTTTATTACGACGCAAATGCTTCCACATACGCGTCCTTCTTCACATATTCCAACAGACATCTCGTATTGTAAAGACACTGGATTACGCTGTAAGTGTTTCCGATGTTCATGAGTCCATTGAGACCGGCGGTTCTGAGAGCATCAACAATTGCAACTGTCTCAGGCTGAACGAAGTTTTTTTCCATTTAAGTTCGGAGAATATCTGTTTTGGCAATGGATTTGTCTATCGCACAATATATTTGTCAGCGAACTTGAAATTAGGCTTCTAGCTGACGTTCTGGATGAAGAAAAGGCTAAAGTCGTCCGTTTTGGACGTGGCGACAAATCTTTGCTGCAAAATCCAGCAGATGAAATCGTGCAGAAATAGTAACTTACCTAACAAAAGTTGTAAAGCGCATATTATGCAGGAAGTGAAGCGAGTTACACCTGGCGGCGAGTCTGTAAATCCACAAGTGCGTAATTGCTTTACAACTCGAGAAATGTTCTATACTTTTTGTACGACTACACTATACTTCCTTCAGGATAGTTCAGATATTGTGTTGAGACACAATAGTCGAAAACGTCTCCTGCATCACAATTCTTGTATTTGTTAACTAGCTACCCGGTCCGGCTTCGCACAGTTGGTGTAGACATTAAAAAAATGAATCTATGGAAATACACATACTTAATTTCTACCAAATTGGTCAAGTCGCTTAGTAGCTACGTACAGACAACAGCGCTACCTACCGCGTCCAATGGTATTTTCAAATCATCCAGGAAACCATGACATATCTAAATACTCAAAATATGTCAACCCAATCGGTTCAGCCGTTCAGAAGTTATGTGAAAAAAATAAGTACGGAAGGATAATTCTTACTACCCGTTTTTCCGTAGGAATGTTCATAAAGAATAATGCCGGCTTCTAATGGTAAAATAATATTTTCGGCAACCGTCCTGGAAGTGCTCACTTCCCGGACTATGTAGGGAAGTATCACATCGTTGTCGTCACTGTAACTATGAAAATCTCGGTAGATATGGTTCTGATAAATGCAGATGATAATTACCATAGCAGCGAAATATCGGCTGACAGCTATTTGACATTCGAAAGTTTGGTTGCAATTATCGCAATGGGTTGCGTGCAAGAACTGTCAGATGACCGACGCTGGAGGCAAAACATTGAAACACAACGTCACTTTACTTATTTGTTTACAAGTGATCGAAATAGTTTTTCACAATTATTTTGGCATACGAATCGTATTTTTCCGCTATTCATCAATTCGCTCATGCCATCACAATATGCTGTTGTGAAATGCACAAAAACTTCAGCGGAAGACGAAGTAATCCGGTTGGTACAATATGATTTAAAAGTGAGTACCTACTATAGTCACTCACATATAGTTTTCATTTTTGAAATTTGGTAATTTCTCTGATTTCTCATCGGAATCCCTTCTGCGATAGGAGCTAATAGAAATACATCTGAAATTTCTAAAATGATGCAAGAAAATTGGATTCATGCAATCAATCGGGAGGACTGATCTGACATGCTGACGATCGTGTGTGTTGTAGACATTTTCAATCTATTAGCAGCATTAGCTTGTATTGCAGAAGTGGCAGAAGGCAGAAGGAATTTTCATAAGGAATGACAACATTTCATAATGATAACTATGTGAGAATACTATTTACCTGAAAAATCATATTCCCTAGTCTCTTGCTGCATTTTTTGTGCATTGTACAACAGCACAATGCGAAGGCATGCTCGAATCAATGAATAACGCAAAAAACACGATTCGTATGCCAAAATATTGTGAAAAACTATTTCAATCCTTTGATTCCTCTGTAACCAAGTGAAAAAGTGAGGTTGTGTTTCAATAATTCACATAAGAATGAGGTTGTGTTTCATCGTGCACGCGACCTATAAACTATCGAAAGCAGCTGCGATAGTGAGTTTCAAAATGTCCATACGAAATTTTCAATGTAGCAGTTAGTAGGTATAGGTATTCTGTTCAAATTTCAGCATTTGATACAAATAAGAATTAATAGAGAAGAAATTGTATTCTACAAGAAAATATGATATGGAAATGGGTCTCTTTGATTCGTTATTCTACATGGTTGCTGAAAAAATAGTGTACGCAACACGTCCAAAAACAGTTTTTTTGGACTCGCAGACTTCCAGGACTCGCCTACGGCTCGGCCTAGAATTTTGTCTACTCTTCCAAAAAACAGTATTTTCCGGACTTCTTACGTGAATTGCTATTTTCGTCGACCCTCTACTGAAAATCACATTTTACGTTCTCATTTTCGAACGAAAAACCGTCTATTTCGGAAGGCAAGTACTTGTCGTCCGCAAACACTAACTTTTCATCAGCAAACACTTTTCGTCCGTTACAAGGTTGCCAGTTCTACTGAATTTTCAGTAGATCTGATTTGCATATTGATCTACTGAAACATTTCATAACCTACTGAAACATATTTTGGCACTTATTCATTATTATAATTACCGATATCATATTAATCTTTGGTTAATCACATAAACCTTATAAATTGCATGATATTTTGGCACGATCTGTTTAAATTTATTTTACAAAATAAGTTATAAAGCATATAGGTACTGATAGTATGTATAAACCAAAAAAAGGACAATACTTTCTATGATTCAGATCAAATTCGATGTTTCATAGATAGATAGATTCTATCTATGAAACATTGAATTTGATCTGAATCATAGAAAGTATGTATATATATACCTCTGTTATAACAGTTTGTTCAATTTTTCATTTGTTTTCTATTTTTGTTGTTCATTTTTACTATTCATTCCTGTTTTTTATATACTCGACGTTACTGTATTTGTGAGTATTTTTAAATTGAGAATTAGGAATGTGATTATTTCATTGGTAAGTACGTTTGTTTTGTTTGTTTCTATTTTGTTGGAAATAGGTTACTTTTCTATTTACTAAAAGTACATAATGTTTTGACGTCATAGGTTTATTTCAATATCCTTTCTTAGAATTCGTATAACATAAATAGATCTTCTTCTGAAGGTATTTACTGGTGATATTAAAATCGAACTGGCAACCCTGGTCCGCGCGGAGAGTGAGTTGACAACAACTGTCATTTGCTGTTAAATTAATTAGTTACGAAATCCGATAGAGTTCACGTGTGAATAGGACCGTGATGTAAGTGTTTGAGGTCGACGAAAAAATGTAATATGCACTTTGGCGAAAAACTGCCCATTGTCTCGCCTGATTGCTAGCCCCGGCTAATGGCAATTTATAGTCACTGTGCAGTTTTTGGAAGTAACATTTTTGCTCTTTCCAGGATTTCTGGTGGTTTCAAAAAATATTACTTGTCTGCTTTCGGTTACCATTGATTACTTGATTTATTGATGGAAGGATAAGTAATTTCCTAGATAGAACACATGAAAACAATGGGTGGATAAATAATAATATTATCAAGGAAATGAAAATAAGAAATATTAAATTCGAAAAACAAAATGATGATAATCCAGAATTCTTCAATGAATATAAAATACAAAGAAATAAAGTGAATAATAATAATAATAATAATAATATATGTTTATTAATACAAATGCTTTGATAAAACGAGCAAAGGCCCAATATATCAATAAAAAGTTCGAAGACTCTGAAGGCAACCCGAAGAAAATGTGGGATACAATAAATTATTGTCTTAGACATGGATCAAGAACTAACAAGAAAAATCACATTGAATCAATAAAGGTTGATGATACCATTATTGTTAATAAGGATTTGGAGATAGCTAATTAGCTAATTAGCTAATTATGAATAATCACATACTATAATAACATTCAACGTAAAAATATTAGTCCTGATTATAACAATTCCACAATGATTTTATTTCCCACTGATGAAATGGAAGTTATTGAAATAATTCAGTCTTTGAAGAAAACATGCTCAGATCCGAAAGGTTTATTAACTAAAGATATATTTGAACTAAAAAATATTTTGGCCAATCATTATCAAAATTAATCAATAAATGTTTTAACAGTGGTATATTTCCACAAGAATTAAAGTATGCTTCATTAAGACCAATTTACAAAAATTGTTGAACAGATTCCTAAAAAACGCATTGTAGATTGCATAAATAGAGAATATAGCTTTGACATAAATCAATTCGGTTTTCAAGAAAATAGTGGCACACAAGCGGCAATATTACAAGTGATACAAGCAATACAAAAAGGACTTGATACCGGAAATTATGTGATAGCAATTTTTGTTGATCTCAAGAAAGCTTTTGATACAGTAGACCACATAACACTTTTGGGAAATATAGAATCAATGGGACTCAGAGGCATCATAAGGAACCTTTCAGATTCGTATCTTCAAAATAGGACAATCAGTACCAAATCTACCAACTCAGAGTCTCGTAGACTACCTATGACTAAAGGTGTCCCTCAAGAATCTGTTTTAGGACCAATTTTATATTTATTATATATTCAAAATATCACGAAAATTGATACAGAATGTAATTACACTATTTATGCAGACGATACGGTACTTTTATATGAAAATAAAAATCCTATCATTTCAGAAAATATAATAAACAGAGACTTGATGAAATTTGAAAAGTGGCTGCATTCAAACCTCTTATCAATAAATACTGATGAAACTGAATATATGATTTTTCAACAAAAAAATAAACAAAATATAAATTCAAATCTCAGAATTAAAAATGAATCTTTGGAACAAACTAATGAGAAAAAGTATCTTGGGATTTGGTTTGATGATAAATTAAAGTGGGACAAACATATAAATGTTTTGACGAAAAAAATATCTCCTATTATTGGAGCCCTGAGAAGATGTCCCAAGCTGAATAAAAAAGTTGCAAATATAATTCTATATTCTCATATACTCAGTCGTATTAACTATTTGATAAATGTTTGTGGATACTGTTCAAAAAACAATTTTAATGAAATATCTGCATTATATAAAAAGACGTTGAAAGTGCTGTATCGTTTACCATATGATACACCAACAAATCAATTATATGAAATAACTGAATCATTCTCATTGGAAGAAATGTTCAAAATTGAAAGACTGAAAATTACATACAATATCATAAATAAAAGATTGAAATCTAATTTTATTTTAACACGAAACAATGAAATTCATAATTACCGAACTAGACAACATGGTTTATTTCATCTTGATATCGCTAATTCTTCTATAGGCCAAAAAAGATTCACCCACGCTGCTCTCTTGGAATATAACAAATTACCAGATAATATAAAAAATTGCAGAAATACAATAAAATTCAAATACCAACTTGAAAAATTTATCATTTCTGAACAAAATAGATTATTGTTTTTTTTTCTCAGCTTTTGATTCATATTCAAATTGATTTTTGCTCACCAATATGAAATGATTTGTCAAAATTTAATACTCAATGTTTTCAAATATTATATTATTTATTAGTTTATCATAATGGGTTTATATCACAAAAATTTTTTATTTCATAATTCGATAGATCTCACCCAAACTAGCTCACCACCGCAAACCGTTTCTTGCTGTGAGCTCCCTACGTTTTATAAAAAAATATTGAAATCCCCGATTTTTCGGACCTCTGAAAACGAGGCGATGATGTGACGTCAAAACCCTGATACTGAAACAAGACTATCTCAGACAGAGACGAATGATACATGATTTCTGACCAGGTGAATTAGCGCGAGATCACAGTTGAAAGAATTAATATATCAGTTGCCTCAGTCTCCGTCGGGCGTTTGGTATTTTCTTTTAACTTTGGCGAGAATTAGGTTTCCACGTCATAAGAGGGTCCGTTTTTACAAGGTACTATTATTTATGTCCAAAAATAAAACATTCCAGTTAATTTTTTGATCGAATTATGTCGTCAATCATTATTTATGTATAAAAGGATCATTATAAACATGGTTTGAGTTAAAAGTTCTACTAAGGTGTATACGCCCATTGTATAGTTTTAGGTATTATTGTTAATTATACTTCCTTATACCAGAACTTGATTCTGACTGGAAGTAACATTTTCAATAAATAAATAAATAAATAAATAACTGAAATTTACCCATCTCCTGAGCAACAAAACAAAGTCATCTATCAACATACCTACAAAATTGCGATCACTACTTTCCGCATTTATTCGGTAAATAACTATATCGCATTTCCCTCGTTGCACTGGCTCAAACTTTTTATGCTTTCGATGTGTTTGGCCTTCATTAATCGTTTGTAATTTATGAAAGATGGATATAAGGAGTGGATAATTTCAGTTCAATGGAAAACGATATAAGAACACTGACTGAAATTGAGAAATTGGAAACGACATTTTTTTAATATTTCAAACACAGGACTATTTCCATGAGCCCGGAATTGGCTGATTTCAGTCGAAATTGAAAATTGGGGAAACTTCCCAAAGTCGTAGTGGTAATTAATTCTATTCAAAATTTCCTGTTGGGTTCATAAACGTCTATATATCATTCTAGATAACAAATGAAGTGATAAATCTACTTGTAGGAAATTATGGAATATAGAGTTCTATGATATCATGAATGATACCTTCTCTTCATTACATTTTCTGATGGTGACGACCTCCCATGTGAATAATCATCAATTCTACTGACCTTGAAACTGCCTAGTCGATTATGAACCATCCTGTAAAGTTTGGTTGTTGGTCTCAATAATGGACACAGTTCTGTTCATTTATTTCATTCATTCACTTCATACAAAAAAATTCAAAAAACATTTCTTTTATGTTTATTCCATGAAATTTATCATTTCTCTTTCCAGTAGTGAACCTACCTATTTGGTATCTCCTGAATTTGATTATTCTCTATACTGAACGAATTATCATTTTTTCTAGGACAAGGGTTAGTAAAAGAGAGGAAGGTAGCCTGACGTCTTATTTAGAATCTACTAATATGGAAAAATGGGTAGAGTCGGCCTATGAATCCGAAGGTCCTCTATATTGGGCCACGATGGCCATTCTGCTTCATTCATTCTCGCAATGGATCGAAAATAGAAATTATCACCTTAGAAGGCTCATCATTCTAGCACATGCACGCCATTGTCAGCCTACAGGACCTGTCAAAAATTTATCTGATAAAACAGAGAAACCGTATGCTGTATATAAACCATACTTGGTCTTTTTTGGACTCGTAGATGGAATCTTCAAGTATTTCTTCAAGGTAAGAACTTCAAATTACTCTACATTCTGCATAAACATGCGAATCAAATTTTTGTGATATTTCAGAATATATCTGGCACTGATGAACAATGGCCCAATAATTTGGCAGATTACATTCGTCATAACGATGAAGCTTTGTTAAAATCGTCAGAGAAGTTGTTGACGTGTTACACTGATGATCTACTGCCATGTACATCTTTCGTCGAGTTTTGTGATGTAACAGGTAAATCAATAGTAAATTGTTTTGTGAAAAATACTGGAAATTTTCCCATCGATGCGAGTTGACCTTGTGGTTGTGAGGTATTCATCAGTATTAGTACATTGATTAGATAAGCAGTTTAGAATATAATGCTTTGAATTCATAATTTCTCATAGGTTTGTTGTCCTTTGGGTGGTCACATTCGTGGAAATTAACGAATTAATTCTCATTCCAATGATTTCAACTTTATAATTCGACTCTTTTTATCTAAACGTTCACACTTTCATTCTTCAGTAGACAAATTGTTAACAATGAGCTGATCCTCAAACACCAGCATTTTTGTTTAACAATTTTATATCAAAATGCCTCAAAAAACGATTGACAAATATGTTCATAACAGGGAACAACAAAAAACAAAATGTATTATGTTACATTCAAAATGTATTATGTTACATTCAAAATGTATAATAATTATTCTAGTAATTCTTAGAGATTGATCTGATCCTTGTTTGAGTGAATGAAAGATTGAAATAATTGATATGTCATATGATCTTTCTTTGAGAAAGTAGCATTTTTCTGGCGTAGTACGGGAAGATCACATCGTTGTTATCACCGTAACTATGAAAATATTGGTAGATATGGTTTTGATAAATGCAGATGATCATTACCATAGCATCGAAATAACGGCTGACAGCTATTTGACATGAAATTAGTTGGCATTTTGATTTTTGAAAGTTTGGTTGCAATTATCGCGATAAACTATCGAAAGCAGCAGCGATAGTGAGTTTCAAAATGTCTATACGAAATTTCCAATGTAGCTGTTAGTAGGTATAGATATTTTGTTCAAATTTCAGTATTTCATGCAAAGAAATATAATATAGATATGTGTCTCATTGATTTGTTATTCTACATGGTTGCCACAAAAATAGCGTACGTAACACGTCCAAAAAAACAGTAGTTTCCGGACTTGTTACGTGAGTTCTTTTTTGAATTTTTTGGTACTGACATTTTTTCAAGTCTTGTTGGCAACTCTTTGTAAAGGAATAAACCATTGCCAATAATCTTGCCCAATTCAGATTTGATTCCAATGAGGGAAAACATGTCTGTTTTTGAATGTGAAATGTATATCATTACCATTAATTTGTGTTCCACTGAATGAATGAATGTTAATATTTCAAATTTATACAGTCTGTCCAAGATAAGGTTGAACAGCATGGGGATCTCGAAAACTGTAGGAGATACGAAGTCGGTTAAATGGGGAAAAAGTTGCGAATTTGGAGGCTCATATCAAGAGCCTTCGAACATTTTTAAAATTATTTTTAGTTTTTTAGTTATGTCGAAAAAAGTGAATTTTTGGAATATCTATTTCATTTTTTTTCTCCGTTATTATTAGAGATACAGAAAAACTGAAAATACTTTTTTATAGCAACTTTTGATGACGTTTAACGTGGTTATACCGAATTTTTTATGCGACGTTTCGTATCCGTAGAACCATCATCAACTTTTGTTTTTTTAAATAAATAATTTTTTCACAGATTCTGGAAGGTTTTTTCATTCTGAATTCAACCATGTATTAGACAGGGTGATTCGAATGTGTTTCGACCTATTTCTATTCATCATCAATGTTTTTTCGAACTTCCAAAGGAAAAGTGCCATTTATTTCTGATCATTTAGTGTCAAATATTGATGGATTAGTTATTCAATACTGAAAAGTGAATAAAAAATATTTCACCACATCATTCAATGCAGCGCTTGAAATTGTTGATGAATTCGAATTACTTTAACATCTTAACTTTGACAATATCTACAGAAACATTTATAACGAATGTTCAAAATGATAACCATTATATTTTCTGAACAAAGATATCCTCTCCTCACAGTTGCTTCTAAGACATTACTAAGCATTTCTGGGGTTATTCTATTGAATGCTTCGATGACACTGTCCCTCAGTTCTTCTTCATCATCAAAGCTATTTGAGTGTACAAAGTTTTTGATATATCCCCTAAAAAAAATCCAGCTGTGTCAAATCAGGTTACCGCGCCGGCCAAGGGACTGCAGAATGAGTACCAATCCATTTTTCTGGATAAAAACTTCTCTGGAATTATGTACCGGAGCGACATCTTGTTGAAACCAACAGTTCTGAACTTCCGCAATCGGTAAATCATCCAGAGCTTCCTCAAGATGATTCTCAAGCAAATTTCTATAACGTTAGGAAGTCTGTGATTCATGGTGAATAAAAGGACCAATAATTCGTGTACCAAATATTGCAATCCACATATTAAACGGTGTTGGTGTCTCGCTGTAATGTATAAATGTTCATTTTCTCGTGAACAATAATGTGTATTTTTTCTATCGAAGATACCATGGTTAGTGACCATGCTTTCATCAGTCCAGATGATTGTTCGCGGGAAATTTGCAAAATTTCGACATTTCCTGGTATACCACTCACAGAATGTCCTGCGCCTTTCGTCATCGCCTGGTTTTAGCTCTTGACATATTTTGAATTTGTATGGATGGAATTTTTGTTTCCGCAAAATGAAATAGGTTGTTGATTGAAACCAGTTGATGAGGTATTAGTGTGTTGACTAATTTTTCTTCAAAATAAGTGGAACTGATGACATTTTTCCTTTGGAATTTCGAAAATAGGTCGAAACACACATAAACCACCTTGTATAATACATGGTTGAATTCAGAATAAAAAAACCTTTCAGAATCTGTGAAAACATTATCAGGGCCGTATTTAAAAAAAAAGTTGATGATGGTTCTACGAATACAAAACGTCGCATAGAAAAATTGGTATCACCACGTTAAACGTCATCAAAAGTTGCTATGAAAAAGTATTTTCAGTTTTTCTGTATCTCTAATAATAACGGAGAAAAAAAATAAAATAGATATTCCAAAAATTCACTTTTTTCGATATAACTAAAAAACTAAAAATTTTCGAAGGCTCTTGATATGAGCCTCCGAATATGCAACTTTTTCCCCATTTAACCGACTTCGTATCTCCTACCTTTTTCGAGATCCCCATGCTGTTCAACCTTATCTTGGACAGACTGTATATCGATTGAAGATCCATCATTTCATTTGGTTTATAAAGGTTTCTTGTGGGTTACAAATATTCCAATTTATATATACATTTGACAACTTCATTCTGAAGCATTCTAAGTGGTTTTATAATTGATTAACTAGCCGTACCCCAAAAAGATATCAAATATTTAATTTTAGAATAAATTAAGGAATAATAGATTAGTTTTTAGATGATTCAAATTAATTAATAATTCTGTAATGTCCTCGTATTATTGTGATATATTTTTTTTCGAATCACTCCAATATGTTTCGACCATGATAAAATTTGATGGATAATTAAACGAAGACATTTTATATCTGTGGAATATCTAATGATTTCAACATTGAATATTATATGATTCTTCAATTCATTTGGAGGAGATTTTTTAGATACATACATGAAAGCTGATTTGCTGTAACCAATACTCATTTTTTCATGATTCAATCAAGAAAATAAGGTACTTGAATCACTTTCAATATTTTTCTTGAATTTTCCAGTCGAACTTTGTTGTATGTTGTATCATCCGCAAACATATATTTTCCCTTTCAACGTGAGCTTGGCAATTGAGTTTATATATATATATATCAGAAATAAAAGATGACCTGCGGTCGATCCTTTAGGGACTCCACATATTATTCATTCGGTTCTACTTGAACCTGGCTCCAAATAAACTAATTGTCTTCTTTCACTCGAATAATTTTTAAAAACCACCTATAAACAGAGCCTCTTATTCTGATATTAAATGATAGTTTTAGAAGAATTTCTTGATTGACAGTATCAAACGCCTTGCGAAAGTCAAGTGACATAAGTCCACACCTTGTATTACCATCAACTTGCATTTGGAACTCTGTTACAACATCCAAGACAGCTGATTCTGTTTCACATGTCCTACAAAAGCCATATTGATGAGTATATAAACATTTCGTGACCTCTGAAAATTCGTGTAATCTATTAGTCATAGTTTTCTCCAGAATTTTTTGAAGAATTGGTAGCAAGGAAATCGGTCTGTAGTTTCCATGTCATCTTTCTGACCATATTTGTATAAATATAGGTTCAACTTTTGCAATTATCATTATCAAAAGATAAATTTATCAATTTCGAAAGGATCCGTGAAATTTCATATTTAACAATCTTAAAGATGTACAGATTAAAATGATCAAATCCAGGTGACTTTCTTGAATCCATTGTGTCTACAATTTCTTTATGATCTGTTGGTTTCAGGTACATTGAAATTGAACTTGATTCTCCTTTTTCTATTATTGAGGACGTAGGCATTTTTGCTGCTAATTTTGGTCCAATATTGATGAAATGTTGATTGAATTCCTCGCAAATATTTGAGAATTTTTTAGTTTTTATAAAAACATCTTTGTTGGTTACTTTTGCTTGATCATGTAGCAACAAGTTAATGGCATCCCACATAGATTTCTGATTTACATTGTTGAAATGTAATAGATTGTTTCTTTTTCTCACTGTTTTTTTCATCAAGTGTGTTATGATACCGAAATAATTCATCATATTTAGATTCGTTATTCTGAAAATATTTATCACACAATATGATTCATTTCATCTCTCATGAAACCCTGGTTCCGAGTCTTGTTTGATTTTTACTGTTTTATTGTAAGAGCAACTATCAAACATTTCAAGTATCTTATCATATAGTGTGTTCGGACTTTGGAAGTTGTGCAGCAGCATTTCTAAAGATATAAGTTTATTTTTCAACATGTCGACATCAAATTTTTGGATTCTTCAAGTTTGAATGTTGGTGCATTGAGAAGATATTTGATAAATGTTTGGGGATCTTATTCAAAAAATAATTTCAATAACATATCAGCATTAAAAGTAGTGAAAAGTTCTGAATCGTCTTCCAAGTATTACATCTACTAATCAATTGTATGCAATAACAAATACGTATTCTCTAGGTGAAATATATAGAATAGAAACTCTGAAAATTTCATAT